ACGGATTTATCATCTGTGGAGAATACGATCAATAGACTTCATTATCAGTGGAAAATTGCCTCTGCCTGAGCCTGTGATCTGTAGGCTCCAGAATCGAAAGAAAATGGCTTTTCAGATAAATTGCCCGAAATCTGTGATGGTACCCCTTTGGAATCAGCCAAAAATTGACCCGGAATAAATCCGCCCAAATCGGTGTTGAATGGACTCAATCATCGTTGGAGAATAGCCTCAGGCCGAATCCGTGATCTGTAGCCTTTAATATCCAAAGAAAATGGTCTTTCGTCGCCCAAGAAATTACGAAAATGCCATCCGAAAATAAATTGTCCAAATCGATGCTTAACGGATTTATCATCTATGGAGAATAGGATCAATAGACTTCATTATCGGTGGAGAATAGCCGCGGCATGATTCCGTGATCTGTAGCCTCCAGAATCGATAGAAAATGGCATTACGGATAAATCGCCCGAAATCTGTAATTGTACCCCTTAAGAATTTGCCAAAAATTGACCCGGAATAAATCCGCCCAAATCGGTGCTTAATGAACTCAATCATCATTAGAGAATAGACTCAGACCGAATCTGTGATCTGTAGCCTTCAATCTCCAAAGAAAATGACCTTTCGTCGCCCAAGAAAGTACGAAAATGCCATCCGAAAATAAATTGGCCTAAATCGATGATTAACGGACTTATCATCCGTGGAGAATATGTGATGGCATTTCGGATAAAACAGCCGAAATCTGTGATGGTACCCCTTTGGAATCTGCCAAAAATTGACCCAGAATAAATCCGCTTAAATCGGTTCTTAATGGACTCAATCATCGTTGGAGAATAACCTCAGGGCGAATCCATGATCTGTAGCCTTCAATATCCAAAGAAAATGGCCTTTCGTCGCCCAAGAAAATACGAAAATGCCATCCGAAAATAAATTGTTCCAAATCGATGCTTAACGGACTTATCATCCGTCGAGAATATGATCAATAGACTACATTATCGGTGGAGAATAGATCTGTCTGATTTCGTGATCTGTAGCCTCCAGAATCGAAAGAAAATGGCATTTCGGATAAATCGCTCGAAATCTGTGATGGTACCTCGTTGGAATCTGCCAAAAATTGACCAGGAATAAATCCGCCCGAATCGGTGCTTAATGGACTCACTCAGCGTTGGAGAATAGCCTCATGCCGAATCCGTGATATGTAGCCTTCAATACCCAAAGAAAATGGCCTTTCGTCGCCCAATAAATTACGAAATGTCCATCCGAAAATAAAGTGGCCCAAATAGATGCTTAATGGACTTATCATCCATGGAGAATAGGATCAATAGACTTCATTATCGGTGGAGAATAGCCTCGGCCTGATTTCGTTTTCTGTAGCCTCCAGAATCGAAAGAAAATGGCATTTCGGATAAATCGCCCGAAATCTCTGATGGTACGCCTTTGGAATCTGCCAAAAATTGACCCGGAATAAATCCGCCCAAATCTGTGCTTAATGGACTCAATCATCGTTGGAGAATAGCCTTAGGCCGAATTCGTGATCTGTAGCCTTCAATATCCAAAGAAAATGGCCTTACATCGCCCAAGAAATTACGAAAATGCCATCCGAAAATAAATTGGCCCAAATCGATGCTTGACGGACTTATCATCCGTGGAAAATAGGATCAATAGACATCATTTATCGGTGGAGAATAGCCTCGGCATGATTCTGAGATCTGTACCCTCCAGAATCGAAAGAAAATGGCATTTCGGATAAATCGCATGAAATCTGTGATTGTACCCCTTTGGAATCTGCCAAAAATTTTCCCAGAATAAATCCGCCCAAATCGGTGCTTAATGGACTCAATCATCGTTGGAAAATAGTCTCAGGCCGAATCCGTGATCTGTAGCCTTCAATATCCAAAGAAAATGGCCTCTCGTCGCCCAAGAAATTACAAAAATGCCATCCGAAAATAAATTGGCACAAATCGATGGTTAACGGACTTATCATCCGTGGAGAATAGGATCAATATACTTCCTTATCGGTTCAGAATAGCCTCGGCCTGATTCCGTGATCTGTAGCCTCCAGAATCGAAAGAAAATGGCTTTTCGGATAAATCGCCCGAAATCTGTGATGGTACGCCTTTGGAATCTGCCAAAAATTGACACGGAATAAATCCGCCCAAATCGGTGCTTAATGGACTCAATCATCGATGGAAAATAGCATTAGGCCGAATACGTGATCTGTAGCCTTCAATATCCAAAGAAAATGGCCTTTCATCGCCCAAGAAATTACGAAAATGCCATCTGAAAATAAATTGGCCCAAATCGATGCTTAACGGACTTATCATCCGTGGAAAATAGGATCAATAGACATCATTTATCGGTGGAGAATAGCCGCGGCCTGATTCCGTGATCTGTAGCCTCCAGAATCGAAAGAAAATGTCATTTCAGATAAATCGCCTAAAATCTGTGATGGTATTCCTTTGGAATCTGCCAATAATTGACCTGGAATAAATCAGCCAAAATCGGTTTTTAATGAACTTAATCATCGTTGGAGAATAGCCTCAGGCAGAATCCGTGATCTGTAGCCTTCAATATCCAAAGAAAATGGCCTTTCGTCGCCCAAGAAATTACGAAAATGCCATGCGAAAATAAATTTGCCCAAATCGATGCTTAACGGACTTACCATCCATGGAGAATAGGATCAATAGACTTCATTATCGGTGGAGAATAGCCTCGGCCTTATTCCGTGTTCTGTATCCTCCAGAATCGAAAGAAAATGGCATTTCGGATAAATCGCCCGAAATATGTGATGGTACGCCTTTGGAATATGCCAAAAATTGACGCGGAATAAATCCGTCCAAATCGGTGCTTAATGGACTCAATCATCGATGGAGAATAGACTCAGGCCGAATCCGTGATCTGTAGCCTTCAATATCCAAAGAAAATGGCCTTTCATCGCCCAAGAAATTACGAAAATGCCATCCGAAAATAAATTGGCCCAAATCGATGCTTAACGGACTTATCATCCGTGGAGAATAGGATCAATAAACTTCATTATCGGTGCAGAATAGCCTCGGCCTGATTCCGTGATCTGTAGCCTCCTGAATCGAAAGAAAATGGCATTTCAGATAAATCGCCTGAAATCTGTGATGGTACCCCTTTGGAATCTGCCAATAATTGACCCGGAATAAATCAGCCCAAATCGGTGTTTAATGAACTCAATCATCGTTGGAGAATAGCCTCAGGCCTAATCCGTGATCTGTAGCCTCCAATATCCAAAGAAAATGGCCTTTCGTCGCCCAAGAAATTACGAAAATGCCATCCGAAAATAAATTTGCCCAAATCGATGCTTAACGGACTTACCATCCATGGAGAATAGGATCAATAGACTTCATTATCGGTGGAGAATAGCCTCGGCCTTATTCCGTGTTCTGTATTCTCCAGAATCGAAAGAAAATGGCATTTCGGATAAATCGCCCGAAATCTGTGATGGTACGCCTTTGGAATATGCCAAAAATTGATGCGGAATAAATCCGCCCAAATCGGTGCTTAATGGACTCAATCATCGATGGAGAATAGCCTCAGGCCGAATCCGTGATCTGTAGCCTTCAATATCCAAAAGAAAATGGCCTTTTATCGCACAAGAAATTACAAAAATGCCATCCAAAAATAAATTGGTCCAAATCGATTCTTAACGGACTTATCATCCGTGGAGAATAGGATCAATAAACTTCATTATCGGTGCAGAATAGCCTCGGCCTGATTCCGTGATCTGTAGCCTCCTGAATCGAAAGAAAATGGCATTTCAGATAAATCGCCCGAAATCTGTGATGGCACCCCTTTGGAATCTGCCAAAAATTGACCCGGAATAAATCCGCCCAAATCGGTACTTAATGGACTCAATCATCTTTGTTGAATAACCTCATGTCGAATCCGTGATCTGTAGCCTTCAATATCCAAAGAAATTGGCCTTTCGACGCCCAAGAAATTAAGAAAATGCCATCCGAAAATAAATTGGCCCAAATCGATGCTTAACGGACTTATCATCCGTGGGGAATAGGATCAATAGACTTCATTATCGGTGGAGAATAGACTCGGCCTGATTTTGTGATCTAAAGCCTCCAGAATCGAAAGAAAATAGCATTTCAGATATATCGCCTGAAATCTGTGACGGTACCCCTTTTGAATCTGCCAAAAATTGAGCCGGAATAAATCCGCTCAAATCCGTGATTTGTAGCCTTCAATATCCAAAAAAATGACCTTTCGTCGACGAAGAAATTACGAAAATGCCATCCAAAAATAAATTTGCCCAAATCGATGCTTAACGGACTTACCATCCATGGAGAATAGGATCAATAGACTTCATTATCGGTGAAGAATAGCGTCGGCCTGATTCCTTGTTCTGTAGCCTCCAGAATCGAAAGAAAATGGCATTTCGGATAAATCGCCCAAAATCTGTGATGGTAAGCCTTTGGAATCTGCCAAAAATTGACCCGAAATAAATCCGCCCAAATCGGTGCTTAATGGACTCAATCATCGTTGGAGAATAGCCTCAGGCCGAATCCGTGATCTGTAGCCTTCAATATCAAAAGAAAATGGCCTTTCATCGCCCAAGAAATTACGAAAATGTCATCCGAAAATAAATTGGCCCAAATCGATGCTTAACGGACTTATCATCCGTGGAGAATAGGATCAATAGACTTCATTATCGGTGGAGCATAGCCTCGGCCGGATTCCGTGATCTGTCGCCTCCAGAATCGAAAGAAAATGTCATTTCAGATAAATCGCCGGAAATCTGTGATGGTACCCCTTTGCAATCTGCCAAAAATTGACCCGGAATAAATCCGCCCAAATCGGTGCTTAATGGACGCAATAATCGTTGGAGAATATCCTCATGTCGAATCCGTGATCTGTAGCCTTCAATATCCAAAGAAATTGGCCTTTCGTCGCCCTAGAAATTACGAAAATGCCATCCGAAAATAAATTGGCCCAAATCGATGCTTAACGAACTTATCATCCGTGGAGAATAGGATCAATAGACTTCATTATCGGTGGAGTATAGCCTCAGCCTGATTCCGTGATCTGTAGCCTCCAGAATCGAAAGAAAATGTCATTTCAGATAATTCGCCCGAAATCTGTGATGGTACCCCTTTGGAATCTGCCAAAAATTGACCCGGAATAAATCATCCCAAATCGGTGCTTAATTGACTCAATCATTGTCGTAGAATAGCCTCAGGCCGAATCCGTGATCTGTAGCCTTTAATATCCAAAGAAAATGGCCTTTCGTCGCCCAAAAAAATACGAAAATGCCATCCGAAAATAAATTGGCCCAAATCGATGCTTAACGGACTTAGAATCCGTGGAGAATAGGATCATTAGACTACATTATCGGTGGAGAATAGCCTCGGTCTGATTCCGTGATCTGTAGCCTCCAGAATAGAAAGAAAATGGCTTTTCGGATAAATCGCCCAAAATCTGTGATGGTACCCCTTTGGAATCTGCCAAAAATTGACCAGGAATAAATCCGCCCAAATCGGTGCTTAATGGGCTCAATCATCGTTGGAGAATAGCCTCATGCCGCATCCGTGATCTGTGTAGCCTTCAATATCCAAAGAAAATGGCCTTTCGTCGCCAGAGAAATTATGAAAATGCCATCCGAAAATAAATTTGTCCAAATCGATGCTTAACGGACTTACCATCCATGGAGAATAGGATCAATAGACTTCATTATCGGTGGAGAATAGCCTTGTCCTGATTTCGTGTTCTGTAGCCTCCAGATCGAAAGAAAATGGCATTTCAGTTAAATCGCCCAAAATCTGTGATGGTACCCCTTTGGAATCAGCCAAAAATTGACCCGGAATAAATCCGCCCAAATCGGTGCTTAATGGGCTCAATCATCGTTGGAGAATAGCCTCATGTCGAATCCATGATCTGTAGCCTTCAATATCCAAACAAATTGGCATTTCGTCGTCCATGAAATCACGAAAATGTCATCCGAAAATAGATTGGACCAAATCGATGCTTAACGGACTTATCATCTGTGGAGAATAGGATCAATAGACTTCATTATCGGTGGAGAATAGCCTCAGCCTGATTTTGTGATCTGTAGCCTCCAGAATTGAAAGAAAACGGCATTTTGGATAAATCGCCCGAAATCTGTGATTGTACCCCTTTGCAATCTGCCAAAAATTGACCCGGAATAAATCCGACCAAATCGGTGCTTAATGGACTCAATCATCGTTGGAGAATAGCCTCAGGCCGAATCCGTGATCTGTAGCCTTCAATATCTAAAGAAAATGGCCTTTCGTACCCCAAGAAATTACGAAAATGCCATTCGAAAATGAATTTGCCCAAATCGATGCTTAACGGACTAATCATCCGTGGAGAATAGGATCAATAGACTTCATTATCGGTGGAGAATAGCCTCGGCCTGATTTCGTGATCTGTAGCCTCCAGAATCGAAAGAAAATGTCATTTCAGATAATTCGCCCGAAATCTGTGATGGTACCCCTTTGGAATCTGCAAAAAATTGACCCGGAATAAATCATCCCAAATCGATGCTTAATGGACTCAATCATCGTTGGAGAATAACCTCAGGTCGAATCCGTGATCTGTAGCCTTCAATATCCAAAGAAAATGGTCTTTCGTCGCCCAAGAAATTACGAAAATGCCATCCGAAAAATAAATTGGCCCAAATCGATGCTTAACGGACTTATCATCCGTGGAGAATAGGATAATTAGACTATATTATCGGTGGAGAATAGCCTCTGCCTGATTCCGTGATCTGTAGCCTCCTGAATCGAAAGAAAATGGCATTTCAGATCAATCGCCCGAAATCTATGATGGTACCCCTTTGGAATGTGCCAAAAATTGACCCGGAATAAATCCTCCCAAATCGGTACTTAATGGATTCAATCATCGTTGGAGAATAGCCTCAGACCGAATCCGTAATCTGTAGGCTTCAATATCCAAAGAAAATGGCCTTTCGTCGCCCAAGAAATTACGAAAATGCCATCCGAAAAATAAATTGGCCCAAATCGATGCTTAACGGACTTATCATCCGTGGAGAATAGGATCAAGAGACTTCATTATCGATGGAGAATATCCTCGGCCTGATTCCGTGATCTGTAGCCTCCAGAATCGAAAAAAAATAGCATTTCAGATAAATAGCCCGAAACATGTGATGGTACCCCTTTGGAACCTGCCAAAAATTGACCCAGAATAAATCCTCCCCAATAAGTGCTTAATAGACTCAATCATCGTTGGAGAATAGCCACAAGCCGAATCCGTGATCTGTGACCTTCAATATCCAAAGAAAATGGCCTTTCGTCGCCCAAGAAATTACGAAAATGTCATCCGAAAATAAATTGGCCCAAATCGATGCTTAACGGATTTATCATCTGTGGAGAATACGATCAATAGACTTCATTATCAGTGGAGAATTACCTCTGCCTGAGCCTGTGATCTGTAGGCTCCAGAATCGAAAGAAAATGGCTTTTCGGATAAATTGCCCGAAATCTGTGATGGTACCCCTTTGGAATCAGCCAAAAATTGACCCGGAATAAATCCGCCCAAATCGGTGTTGAATGGACTCAATCATCGTTGGAGAATAGCCTCAGGGCGAATCCGTGATCTGTAGCCTTTAATATCCAAAGAAAATGGTCTTTCGTCGCCCAAGAAATTACGAAAATGTCATCCGAAAATAAATTGTCTAAATCGATGCTTAACGGATTTATCATCTATGGAGAATAGGATCAATAGACTTCATTATCGGTGGAGAATAGCCGCGGCATGATTCCGTGATCTGTAGCCTCCAGAATCGAAAGAAAATGGAATTACGGATAAATCGCCCGAAATCTGTAATTGTACCCCTTAAGAATTTGCCAAAAATTGACCCGGAATAAATCCGCCCAAATCGGTGCTTAATGAACTCAATCATCATTAGAGAATAGACTCAGACCGAATCTGTGATCTGTTGCCTTCAATATCCAAAGAAAATGGCCTTTCGTCGCCCAAGAAATTACGAAAATGCCATCCAAAGATAAATTGGTCCAAATCGATGTTTAACGGACATATCATCCGTGGAGAATAGGATCAATAGACTTCATTATCGGTGGAGAATAGCCTCGACCTGATTCCGTGATCTGTAGCCTCCAAAATCGAAAGAAAATGCCATTTCGGATAAATCGCCTAAAATCTGTGATGATACCCTTTTGTAATCTGCCAAAAATTGACCCGGAATAAATCCGCCCAAATCGGTGCTTAATGGACTCAATCATCGTTGGAGAATAGCCTCAGGCCGAATCCGTGATATGTAGCCTTCAATATCCAAAGAAAATGGTCTTTCTCCACAAGAAAATGGCCTTTCTCCACCGACGAAAGATGAAGAAAGACCATTTTCTTTGGATATTGAAGAATACAGATTACGGATTCAGCCGAACCAGTGCCATCTCTTTCAATTGTCCCAAAATGCACAACATGCTGTTTTATGAATGAATCTAAACATTTCGCATTTGCATAAAAATTGGCCCATTCCATTCCCACATCCAACAACATAGCAACTAGCAAGTAACGCACTTATACCTCTTCATGCTCAATGTCACCAGTGCCGAGCTGAAACGGGAGAGCCCCAAACCTAATATATCGAGAAGCTACAACAACAAAGGTCGATCGGTTAGCATCCCAGAACACTTGAACTAATGAAGAACATGAGAAACACAAAGTATCAACACCTGTAAAGAGTGGAATTAGACATTATGAACCCTACATAAATGTTAAAATCAAAATGATCTTACCATCATTTAGCTATATTCTGGAGACAACATCAGAAAAAAGATATAGCACCTTTGGTTGCTAGTGAACCTGAAGTTGATTATAATGGAAGCTCAAAGCACTTGATGATTGAAGATAACATCATCCTTCACACCATACCCTGTCAAAAAAAGAGGTCCATTGTCAGTCGAAGAGATAAGAGATAGTGGAAACCCCACAGAAATTTCTCCAATTGCACAATGGAAAGGAATATCAATCAATGGAACTCCTTAACTTCTTACAACAGAGCTCCAACAAACGACTCCCCACCTCACTCACATTAACAGTCGAAAGAGACAAAGGGCAAGAAGAAATTACCAAGGTCCCTAAGCAGTGCTCTTGTGGGCATTTCGTCGAACAGTCGGAGTGCATCAATTTAGAACCTTGAAATCGATGATTCAAAACCATCCCCATCGGAGAAAGGAGGAGCGAACCTTGAAATCGGAAGAAGGGCAGAGAAAATCTACACCGGAGGAGAGGAAGAAGGCGCCGAGAATGGAGCACTCCTGTCTCCAATTAGCAGCGGAAACAAGACTCCGCCGCCGGAAGTCAAGGACTCCACCACCGGCGCCGCGGTTTCGAGGAAGCCATATAATTAATTAGACCGGTCCAAAACCGAAGTCTCCTTTGTACTTTACTTCTTCATTACCCCTTCCACCATCCACCCGAAAGCCCACGACCCGTCGGCCGGCCCCACCGCCGGACAACCGGCCCATCCCTCAACTCCTTTATATATTAAACAATTCCCACCTCGCCCTCCAATCGTCTTCTTCCACCAGACCACCACCATCTCACAGCAGCTTTCTCTCTCTCTCTCTCTCTCTCTCTCTAACTTGGCTCCCTTCTGCAACCTTCTACTATCCCCATCTTCAATCAAAGAACCCATATCTTTATTATTCACATCTCCCAAGCTAGGTGGAAGGAAGAAAGCTTATCCCCAATCCCATTCTCCCTGCCTACCCTACAAAAACAAAAAAAACTAATTGAGAAAAAAAACCCACCTCCAGAAGATAAGCAAAATCCAAATCCAAACATCCCTTTCCATCTATATCCAGAAAAGGAAAAAACCCTAAAAAAGAAAAGCAGCCATGAAAGGAGAATATCTAGACCACCACCCACATCACCATCCTCCTCCTTCTTCAAAGCATGAAACCAACATGTTCTCCAAGCTTCACCATCACCAACTCCCTTTCCCCACTCACCACTTCCACCTCGACGATTCTTCCGATGACCCGCGCCGCTCCCCGTCTCCTCCTCCACCACAACCAATTTCCTCTTCCAAACCCAACTCGGCCACCTGCGACGGCGCGACGATCGAGGTCGTGCGGCGGCCCAGGGGCCGTCCCCCTGGGTCCAAGAACAAGCCCAAGCCGCCAATCATAATCACCCGCGAGCCTTCCGAATCCGACCCGCCGCCCATGAGCCCGTACATCCTCGAGATCCCTGCGGGATGCGACGTCGTCGAGTCGGTCTCCCGATTCTGCCGCCGGAAGAGCATCGGGCTGTGTGTGCTCACGGGGTCGGGAACCGTCGCCAACGTCACGCTCCGTCAGCCGTCCGCCACCCCCGGCGCCACCGTGACGTTCCACGGGAGGTTCGATATTCTTTCCGTCTCGGCAACTTTCTTCCCACAACAGAGCGCGGCGGCGGCGCCGAATCCGAACTCGTTCTCGATTTCGCTCGCGGGTCCGCAAGGGCAGATCGTCGGCGGCATTGTTGCTGGGGGTTTGGTGGCTGCTGGGACGGTGTTCATCATCGGGGCGACGTTTAGCAGTCCAAGTTTTCACAGGCTGGATGATCAGGAAGTGAGGAGCTCCGGATCCGGCGGCGGCGGTGGTGGAGAAGCGGTTGCTTCTTCGCCTGCGATTTCAGGCGCCGGCGGCGGAGATTCGGCTGGGGATGGCGGGATGCAGCAGCCGGCGATTTGGCCGGACAATATCAGACCACCAGCTGCTGCTGCTGCCGGTGGAGGGAACGAGATTTTGTGGGGTGACATCACCACACCGCCGTCAAGCAGGGGGCGACACGTGGGAAGCGAGATGATGTGGCCACCGCCGCCGCCGAACAGCAGAGCAGGGCCGCCGCCCGCGCGATCCCCACCGCGAAGCGAGATGATGTGGCCGCCGAACGGGAGACAGTCTTCGTCCAGGTCGCCGCCTCCACCGCCTTACTAGGAGAAGAAGTAGGCCGTAGTTGAGTTGAAGTAGATGGGAATTGTGACCCGTAGATCGGCCCGAACCCGAGCAAACCGACGGCCGAATCGGGACGTGAAACCCATGCACATTGGACCACTGATGCGATGGGTTTGGTTCTTTTGTTTAGCTTGTTATATTTCTTTAGCAATTAGTTAGCTATGGTGGATATCTTTTGCAGGTTGTTTGTTAGGGAAAATGATCACCTTGAGTGGTGTTCTTGAATAGGCTTCAGGATGGAGACCGCCTCTCTTTAAATCGTAGAATCATCGATGTTAATCCGATCTTAGTTCTTAGGGTTTTTCATTTCGTCATGTTGAATCAAGTTTCAAGTTTCAAGTTTCATAGACATATTACAACTAATTCGTCACTGCAATTGAGTGTTTCTTCAGGTCATCTACAATCTCTTCTGCATTCGTGATAATAGAGGAAAATACAAACAATACATGAATACAAGGACTGCTTAAGAACAGCAGTAAGTTGCCACCAACGCAGGACGTTTCGACCGTTACAACCTCGTAGAAAAGTCCCAAAAGCTCTCTTCTCTTTCCTATCGCTTATTGATCTCAAAGGTTACCCCGTTGCTAATCTCGGTCGAAAGCTGTCCAGGAAGTAGGGATGGCAATGGGTAGGGGACGGATAGTGCATATCCGTTACCCTACCCAAAGTAATTCGGATTTTACCCATGTCCATACCCACATATAAAACGGGTAGAAAATTAAAACTATGCCCATACTCATTCGGGTTTCGGGTATCCACGGTTATCCATGGGTAATTATTTCTCTTCATAACTCCAACTAATATGTTAACATTCACACGTATTCTCACATTACGCAAGAGGAAAAGTATGACAATAATTCACTAAAATGAAGAAAATTAATTAAAACAACACAATTTCATGAAAATATTATATTTATATGCTAAACATAAAATATGTTAGAGAAAAATAATGACTATTTCTAGACAAAATACATATGTATGTGTATAATCAGACGGGTTCGGGTTGGATACTGAGAAACCCATGCCCACCCATTACCCGCAATATTCGGGTTCGGGTTTTACCCTACCCGATTAGGCCGGGTTCGGGTGGATATCCACGGTTACGGATATTTTTGCCATCCCTATCAGGAAGTGTGAAAGGCAAGTATTAGCCAAAACTAACTCCAAAGAGTTGGTTCTAAGAGCTTCAGTTACCCACAATTAAGGCTGTGTAATGGGCAAGGATAAAGAAGAAAATCAATTGAAGCTGCTGTTGGCTTCTTATGCTCCTTTCTTCTTTTGGGTTTTGGACGCAGCAGGAATGTCCTTGGTTAGCATTCTCGGTGCTATGGCCATGGACATGAGCTCTTGGAACAGGAGCTTACAAGCGTATGGAATGTGAACCTGCCATTCACAATCATGGACCGAAGTAGAGTCGAGAACAATCAAACATTGCGAAATGTTTTGTCATGGAAAGTAACGTAGAGAATTCCAGGGGTTAAGAAAGAAGCTCACCTGAACAATCTCGGTTTTGTTCTTGCAGCCTCTACACTCGAATGAATTCTTCTTCAAATTTGCAATGGCGATCAGTCCACAACGCTCACAGACATGGACCCTATATGCATCACTTTGGTCAAACAATCTCTCCTTTAGAAAGTGTGCAGCTCCATGGGCAATCATGCAATCGCGTTCCATTTCACCGAATCGGAGACCGCCATCACGCGACCTTCCTTCAGCAGGCTGCCTTGTGAGGATCTGAACTGGACCTCTTCCCCGAGAATGGATCTTATCGTCCACCATATGTTTCAACCTTTGATAATAAGTTGGGCCAAGGAAAATCATGGCTGTAAGCCGTCTACCAGTGTGGCCATTGTACATGGTTTCGAAACCACGCATTTGGTACCCACATTTGTGTAAAGCCTTACTGATATTGTCGACCTACATCATCCCAACACAAAAAGGAAACCGTTCAGTTAACGTGGATCAGCAATTCAGCATTGAGTTGCTTAATACTGGAGGAATGAGATAAATATGAAAGCAACTGTAGCAGAAGCATGTGAAAGAAAAGAAAATACAGGGAGCATTTGTTTCAGGCTAAAATAAACAATTCTCCTGCACTGTAATAGTCATTTCCCAAGACTCGCTCGCATATTTCTGACTAAGATATCCCATCAACTCTGTTTTCTCTAACACCGTAGCAAAGACAATTCTCCTTCACCCTAACTAGGTTCAATATGTGTTAGCAGAACGGAAACAGACACCCACGTGTAGCAGCATGTCTACCAATTATACGAGACACTGTTGGACTGAGAAATCATAAACGAGACATGAGGCATATTCCCAAAAGCAGATGACAGAAACTTACAGTGACATCTGTAAATGGCGTAGCATCTCCTTCCTTGCCCATGTGAGCAGCAACCTTCCCCATGATGCACTCGATGAGCTGGCCAATCGTCATACGCGAGGGAATAGCATGTGGATTCACAATAATATCAGGCGTTATGCCTTCAATCGTCCACGGCATGTCCTCTTGCGTGTAAGTCATCCCTACCGTTCCCTTCTGACCATGCCGACTACTAAACTTGTCCCCTATTTGGGGTATCCGGACAGATCTCACCCTCACTTTCACAAATCTCAACCCATCAGCATTTGTTGTCAGCAAAACCTACAAACATACAAAAATTTATCATAAAGCCTTCCTGCAATGTAAGGATCATTCTTACGCCCGTAGTTGTTGTAGGCTTTGGTGATTGTTTTGTACGCAGGTTTGCCACTTAAAGGGATATTTTGTTCGGGATAGAACACAAGTTAATAACCAGTTGAAACAAGCACATTTCTTCATCTGATTTCTAGAACAACAATTTATGGTGACCATTTAAGTAACTAATTTCAAATTATTAACAGTCACCTCAACGGTGTTTATGTCAATTCGAATGGCTATTTCGAAATAATATCTATTCTTAGGGTTACGCCCTATAGTAACGATTCTACGATACCCACTTATTCCTCAAGTATCTCACAATTTAAGCAACCATAAAACTATATCCTATTATATCTAATCAATTCTATTTGTTCAACAACCTTACCATACACAGCATGGGGAAAAGTGACTTAGTTTTTAGCAAAGAACAGAAACAAGCACAATGTACTGCATACAAATTTATTAACAGCCACCTCACCGATGTTATGTCAATTCCAACTTTGGCATTATGAAATAAAATCTATTCTCACGGTTACACCCTATAATAACTATTCTCCAATACCCACTGATATTTCTCAAGCATCTCATCATTTATCAACCATAAAAGTATGCCATATCTAATCGATTCCACTTTTTCTACAACCTCACCATACACAGTCAGGAAAAGTGACTTGGTTTTTAGCAAAGAACAGAATCAATCACAAGGTATACTGCATGCAACTTAGAGAGGCTTACTTGATCAACCATCCCGGTTTCACTGTGACGTAAGCTTATGCTGTGATCACGCTTTGTGTAACGTGCATTTGAACCTTGGGCATCTTCCGGTGAGATAGGAGTGGTCTTCCCAATAATAACATCTTCACCAGCAACCCTTGTACCCTAATGAAAAATTGCAAAGTAGGTGCAAAAGATGTAAAACTTCCTGGATTTCCACAAAATACAAGACAAGACAGTCACAACCAAAAGCACAAACAAACTTACAGGAGGTGCAAGGCCATCGTCATCCAATTTGTCATATGAGCCATGCCGCATGCCCTACAGAAGAAGGGGAAGTCTATTAAATACCAGAAACTGGAAGAAGGATAAGTATATTTATTAAATACAAGAATTATCTAGCACTAAAATAAATGTCAAGGGGAAATGGTGAAATAAACAATAACCATGGTATTAGCCCTGTCTGGAAGTCCAAAATCTTCTTTCACCAGTGTTCCCATTTTTTTCTCCTCGTCCCTGTAAAATTGAGGTTGGTTAAACCATCAAAATTTTATAATGCTACAACAAAGGCCAACAAGGCAATATGATTACAATTAACAAGAGCACTTGCCTGTATGAACGGAAGAAAAGTGATCTGAAGAACCCACGATCAATTGATGATTGATTCATGATGACAGAGTCTTCCTGGTTGTATCCAGAATAGCAAGAAATTGCCACAATTGCATTCTGAGAAGACAGAGAAAGACGGTGAATCCAACTACAGAGTAATAGATCAGAGAAATCAAAACCACAGATGAGGTGTCAACTACTTACAATCCCAGCTGGAAGCTGTCTAAAGTGCAGATGCTCCATGGCTCTTGTAGTAACAAGTGGCTTTTGCGGATAGTATAGAACATATGCCAATGTGTCCTGACCTCATAAATGACACAAGGAGAAAATGATATTAATATTATAAATAAATTGGAGGGCACTCAGAAACAACAGAACGCTAAAACAGAAACATACCATGCGGAATTGGTAGTTGGTGACATAAATTCCCATGGCTTGCTTTCCCATAGCAGATTGATAAGTGTTACGTGGAGACTGATCACAAGAAGTCAGTGACAATGTGACAACACATATTCTGATACCAAGTAAAATCTCGGAGGATAATAAACCATACCTGGTTATGGTCAGGAAATGGAATAATCGAGGCACAAACACCTAGGATCAATGATGGATGGATCTCACAGTGTGTGTAAGTCTCAGAATAAGCTTCTTCTGGGTTGTTTCTTGCTTGTACAAGGTCCTTAAAGGAAATCCATTTATTAGATTCACCCAAAAGGTAAGGATAAATGATCTAAAGGGAAGTTTGTCTGCTTTTCCAGACCAAAATAAGATTTTTCACTTACATGTATAGTCATAGAGATCATAGTTGTTTCTTCTTCCTCTGTATCAATGTATTCGATAAATCCTTTTGCGACCAGATCAATCCAGCCAGCCTCTTCAGGAGATTCCTACAGAAACAGAGAAAATAGATATGAAACACATGGAAGGAATTGTAGGTGTAAGCAGAAGGAAAAATTACAATCCTATTGGTGTACCCTCTGCTGCAGTGCAATGATATCCCTCTTTCTTATCAGAAGCCTTTGTTTATCCACGATGAACAAAGGGCGACTGCAACGGCCATAATCTGTATAGATGCGCAACTCCTTCAACCGGATATCCCTGACAACACCAACTTCGGTGTTGACATCAACCTGTACAGCCAGCAACCATTCTGAGATCAATAGTGCAGAAGGAAAGCAGTAACAACCATTGAACCAGACAGTTCACAACATATGGACAAATGAACTACAAAATTATGGCATACTTGTGCCTAATGTTTCACCAAACTGCATATGAAGGAATTATAACGCTTAGTCATCAAACTAAAGATGTATAAGGACGAGTGTCCCATCTAGTAAGACTCTATAAGCAGCTATGCACTATTCTACTGAAGGAAATATTTTCTAATTGAAGTCAGCTGGTAGAAATTTCCTAGTTTGGGTATTAATTTAAAGAGATTAACTACAATGTCAAACACAAACAGCCAGAGCATAGCAAAAAAGAAAAAACTGACCCGCCTCCTCAGTCGCCGCAATGTCTTCACCAACATATCAGGATCTCGATGGATACCTACCCAGCAACCATTAACAAAAATCTTGGTGGCTTGGGGAATAACAGCAGGTGATATTTCCTAGAAGAAAGAGCAACCAAGTCAGCCAACGAATGAGGAAACAAATAATATATTGCATATTGTAGGGAGCTCCTCAGAGATGTAAACCTCAAAGTTCTCAGTGCCCCACTCTTCCAGAAACTCCAATATAGGGTGTGGTGCAGACCCAACGGTTATATACACCATCAAAGCAAGATTTTTCACTAGCCCACAAGCCTGAAATCATAAGACAAGCATAGTCAAGAGCAAGACAAACCATATAAGCAACTCACCTAACTCCTAAGAGCAAATACATGTTGCGAATGAATCAATGATGTAATGTTACCTGTCCTTCAGGTGTCTCAGCTGGACACATCATTCCCCATTGAGAGTTATGGAGCTGCCTTGGTTTGGCCAATTTTCCTAGTAAAAAATTAAGTACTCTACTTAAACATACAAGGGATGGGAACAGAATTCAAGTTAAGCAACACTTGCAACTATCCCTAAGAGATCATAACAACTTCAGAAATCTTCAAGACTCAAACCCATGGCAGCACAAACATAATTAAATGGTTTTGCCCAGATACCTTCACGCCCTATCGGGGAGTTCAACCTCCGCAGATGAGATAGTGTAGAGGCAAAGGTCAATCGATTTAACACCTACAAAATGACAGTAAAAATCACCTCCATATAGTGCTGGGAATACTTCCTGAGAAGAAACAGCAAAGACAATGTTAACTCGGAAGATATACTTGTGATACTCCAGCCCTGGTGCCAGCTGCATTCGCTTGTCCCCAGTTTCCTGTGGCGAGCGAGTATTTAAGACCACTGGTTATGGTTTTTGCTTTGATGGCAAATTGAAGATTGACATCTTTCCCATTATCAACACACTGTAACAATCCACACAAAAAGTTAAATGATCTTTCAATTGACTATGCATTGTACATAATACTATTGTAGGACTATGAGGCACACCTTCTGGACATAAGACCTCACATCCCTAGTCAGCTTTCTGAACAGCTGCATCAACAGAACAAGATGAGCTACATAAACTGATAACTGCAGTAATAATTAATGCCGTCACACACATACTCCAAGCCTTATAAACCAAAACGGACCATTCTGAAGAGGCCTCCAAGTAAAGGACCAGCAAGGTCAAGCCTCTTGTTACCATAATGATCTCTATCATCTTCAGGTCTCCGCCCAAGAGCACAGAGTAGAAGACGGTGGATGATATACCTACCAGAAATGAGAATTTAGTACTACAAACCCGAATAACGCATGGAAGATTATTGAGATGAGACTCACCCAAAATAGTACGCTTTTTTGGTCTCACAATATTCCGCGGTTCCAACATGAGGAAGCATTTCCTTTTGTAGAATATCTCTAGCATACCTGAGAGACAAACAGATACATTAAACAGTTGCAGCCAAAAATCTCTCAAGCAACTTTACCAAAACTGGACATACTTGATCCTCTTCTCCCTTGTAACACCAACAGTTGCCCCACGTTTTCCGATATAGTCAAGAGCAACCTAAAGCAAAGATTAACATACCATGTACAGACATTAATCACAACCAAATGATAAACGTGAACCACATCTCTTTAAAGTGGGTAATAATTTTAAAATGACAAACAGTGAAACAGAAGAAAATGTTGATCATTTGAACTGAGACAAAAAAAACTATACTACACGGCAATGTAATATTCTAGTTCCAGAAACTATATCCTTAAGGCTAAATAACATCAAACCATCTACATTCATGTATGCCACAGATCTACCAGCCAATAATGACGCAAACAGGGAAAATCATCTTTAAGGCCATCCAATGAGCAGCCTTAAGAAGTTTCGATAAAGGGCAGTTTAGGTACCTGTTGATTCTGAATAACAAATGCTTCTTCCAATGAGGGACGAAGCAACTCCATCATTTGTGTATCAGCGAAATCGTAACATATGTGCTCTAATATGTCCTTGTCAGCAACAAACCCCAGAGCTCGAAACACAATTATGATTGGAATCTCAGTTCTGATGTATGGTAGTGTAGCCTTAATGTACTGTCCTGATGAACCCTGTATATAGCACCAAATCATAAGCACAATTCCAAGAACCACAGTTCCCAAACCACTAGCATATTTAATTCAGTTCGAAGTACAATACCCCTTTAGCACTAGTCCGAGAAAGCATCCGAACGAACATGGTACTCGGAGGCCGGTTTTGAGACTCTGCCATGGATCGAACTTCGGCCACATATGCATACTTGTTTGGCTGCCTTTTCTTGAAAACATAAACATGGTTTGTGCTCATCTTCTCCTGGGCAATCAGCACTTTCTCACTGCCATTAATTATGAAATACCCACCCTGATCAAACGGACACTCTCCAAGCTCCGTTAGATCTGTCTCAGAATTGTGGTGCAACGTGCAAAAACTTGACCGAAGCATTATAGGAACCTGAATGTGTGCAACAAAGAAGTCAGCCACACATCCAACAGTATATTCATCAAAGTTTTAGCAAACAGCTAAGTTTGTAATCCACACACCTTCCCAATGAAAACTTTGGTGAAATCCTGAGATTCAGTTACTTCTTCACCATCATGACCCTTCTTTATCACCCTCTTTGAAACATCCACGTACAAAGGAGCTGAATACGTTAGGTTTCTCAACCTGGCAGCTTTAGGGAATAGTGTTGCTGTTTCTCCGTCAGATTCGGTCATCATAGGCTTACTCAAATATATCTGCTCGAAGCTGATCTTATAAATGGTCTGCAGAAAACCATCTCTGTCAGAGCAACTTACAAAAACCATACATAACCCGACCAAAATCGACAACTTCTAACTCTGGCAAGTCCCAAAAAACTCTCAATCAACCGCAACGATAAGCTCGGTCATGGCATTCAATGCATTCTAAATCATCCAATCTCCTCCTAAAACCCCAAATAAAAGTCTCATTTCCTAGGAACTCTTCTACCTCTAAAGAAAACACCTAGAAACCCTAAACCAAAACACGCTACACCAGCAATTATTTGTTTCTCCAAACAGGTACCAAAGTTTTGTACAGAACATAGAGAAGTCCCCCCATATTACCCAAGCCTTCCATTGCATCTAATTCCACCCAGTGTGACAACAATAAAGAACGATAAACTTTACACTTCATTTTCCATTCCTCACTTATGATCAACAACCACAGCCAAACCCCTAAAGACTGGGGGATACCTCAGCGAAATCGGACTGATGGCCGGGATTATGCTGGCTCTCCGGCCGAATTTCGATATCAGCCGACTCGTCCACAATCTCTTGCATCGTGTTCTGGATGAACTCATCGAACGAGTCAAGCTGCTGCCGCACCAAACCTTTCTCCTCGAAGTAGGCGGAGATGACGGCCCACGCGTCCTCCTGAGTAATCTCCTCGTCCCCTTCATCTTCCTCATTCATCTGGGGATCGTACTCTTGATCTTCGTCCATCGGATTCATATTTTCAAACAAAGTTGAGAGAAAAAATCCCTAGAAATTTGTTCAGTTCCCGCCGCTTCTTCTCCTTATATCTCTTTATAATTCAATACTCGCGCTTCAGTTCAACAGAGTGTCAAGCGGAAACACCTTCGGGAACCCTAATAATGGCGGTTTTTCCGCGGAAAGGAAAGGAAGAGGAGATCGGTTTCTGAGCAGGAACTGCCCGACGACAGAAAGGGAAGGGAGAAGCTCTAGACTTTAACTAAAATAGACGAATAAGCGGCGAGGGGTTTTAGTGAAGGCGGTGAGTGGTGTGACGAACTGACGTGGAATTTTTGGATTTTATTCCCTATGTTTGGCCTTTTAGAAGTGCTTTTCGGTTTCAAAAGCTGAAGCAGAGCCAAACACCTGTAAAAGTTCGGCTTTTGAAAAGCCGAAAAGCGCTTTTGTATAACATAAAAGCAGAAGCTCCGATTTGGAACTTCTGCGAAAAGCTGTTTTGAAAATACAAGATTATCCTTACCATATTTTAATTTATTTCAGAAAATATAATTTTTCTTCATTTATATCATTTTAAAAATAAAATAAATTATAAAATCATATTATTTAATATAAAAGAAATCTAACAAGATCTATTTTGACTAATTTTTATTGTTTAGAATTTTTACTTTTATTTTATATTATAAGTCCTTTATAGTCATTTTACACAATCTCTCACATTAAAAAACACTTCTAATAGTTTTACAGCCAAACACTCAAGTGTTTTTTTTTTTTTTTTTGAAAAATACTTATCTAAAAGCTCCAGCCAGAAGCTGCTTCTGCAAAAACTACAACAGGGCCAAACTAAGCTATTTATGCCATCGTTTTTCATTTACTTCTTTCGCGCTTTTGTCTGAAAAACATAGGCCCTGACCCTGAGCTATGGATTATGGAACGATGTTTGGGCCAAGGCAGTCGTCTGGCCCAAGTTTGAATTCTAGTCCCGGATACCCCTTCAAAGTCCCGGGGCGGTTACCTAAGCTCAAGCCGATTTGCGAGTTAGTTGATGAGTTGAGGTTAAGTAGCATTCGTGAATCGTGAGCCTTTTTTTTACAAAAGATAATCATATAGATTGAAACCAACCAATAGATCGTTACATTCTGAAATTCAGTCTGTGAATCGTGAGCTCAAATATTATACCAATCGAGATTTTGATAAACGAATTGAGCTCAAAATCAACTTATTTATTAACAAATCAAGCTCAAATTAAATCACCATTCTCCTCGACACAACTAATTGCAGTCCTAGTCACATTGTAGCATGCTACATACCCTTACATAATTAGGGATAACTTGCATATTATGGCCGATAACTATAGATCACAATTGGGTATAGATTCCGGAGTGTCGTTCAACCAAACCGTTGATATTTGTACCACCTCCAAAACCTCAAATATTTCTTTAATCACTTACCATTTTCCCATCTGCCCCTTTTCCCCAAACAAAGTCCTCCAATTGTTTAAAACGATTGCATTATGGGGGGAAAAACCCAGAAACAAAAAGCTATTGGCAACTAAGAATTTTTTTTATATAAGCAGAACGCTGTACAGTTCCTTCTAACATGAGACTCTGTTTTTTACCAGTTGACCGGTTACCCAACAAAGAACTTAGCCTTTTCGCTTCCTTTCCAGAGAAACAGAGCTCCTTCCTCAACCCTCCATCTGTCCATCCCAACCCAATTCATCTGCCACATCGCCAGGGAGAATTGGCTCTTTAAAAGCTTTCCCATTAGAGAATCGATCGTTCAGTGGAGATTAAGAAGGTCCTCTGCAACCATGGCGAAGATCAGGAAGGGCGTGACCCTGACTCTGAGGCTCATAGCTCTGGCTGCTACGGTGGTTGCAGTTGTGATCATGGTCACCAGCAAGGAGACTGCTCGTGTCCTGAACTTGACGTTCACCGCCAAGTTCACCCACACCCCTGCCTTCAAGTAAGTTGCTCGCTGAACTCTGATTCTCGTGTAACTCAATTTGAATCGAGTTGGGTATCCATGGATTCGGGTTTAATTGCCATCCCTATTCACAACTAATCGTTTATACATATTTGCAGATATTACGTTGTCGCAGAAGCGATTGCTGGATTGTACACCGTTCTAGCCCTTCTGTTGGCTTCGAAGAGCTTGTTGTCGCGATTGACCCTGATTCTGGATCTGGTAACTAATCACGATTAAGATTAAGACGCCGTTTTGGTTCGTTTAATGATGTTACGGGGATTGTTTCGTTTAATTTGGTTTTCCGATCAGGTGGTGGCAATGTTGCTAACTTCGAGCATCTCTGCCGCGCTGGCGATCGCTCAAGTGGGGAAGCAGGGGAACAGCCACGCCGGCTGGCTGCCGATCTGCGGGCAAGTCCCTCATTACTGCGACAAGCTGGTTGTTTCTCTCGTCGCCGGCTTTGTGGCTGCGCTGGTCTATTTACTGCTACTCCTCTACACGCTTCGTGCTGCACTCAGTCCTGTTTTCGCCATTAAACCTTAGGAAAATCATGTGATGTAATGTTACGAAGCTAGCTATTAGCTACCTTTTTCTTTTTCCTCATTGTGTTTTGTCTTGTTGATATAATGGTATTTTTAGCATAGTTTATGTGTACTATTTTTGTTCTTATATAAGATGATTGAGAAAAAATTTAACGAATTTCACTATGTAGGATATGATGTATTTTGTGAAACTATTGTTTGATTTAATACATTTGTGCTAGAAAATACTTATTATTAGGGGTGGCAGCCAGTCGGTTTTGGTTTAACCGAAAACCAAAAATTTGGTTGTCGGTTAAACCGAGACACCCAACACGGCTGTCGACCACAGACCGTGAGAGAGCCACAGCTAACCGACCACCGATCGGTTTTCGGATTTAGGCTCGATTAACCACATATCCGGAAAAAAATACCCCTTCCTTCTAAAACGTTAGCGTTTATAGGGGTGTTCAAACGGTTTGGTTACCATGCTAACCATTTTAACCGGTACCATTTGGATAATTTGGTTTGGTTAATTTGGATAATTGGTTTGGTTTGGTTACTGTTTTTAGCTTGTTTGGTTTAGGTGGTTTGGTTTGGTTTCAGACACTCCTAACCAGTCAAACCAAATTAACTAGTTAAGTAATTAGTCATATATCTAACATATATTATATACACATAATACTTTGCATAACCACTCAAGAGTTACCGTTCATCCCTTTTAGACTCATAAAATATAAAGCTCAATATTGCTCATATAGTGTATATTTGTATATGTAAAGTCTAGACCACAACATATGGACGATTGACGCCTAATTTAGATAAATTTCATACATTATGATGAATGAAAACTTGAAAGGAAGGTCATTTACAGCCTATGATAATTGCTAAGAGACTAAGTCAATTTACACAAACACAACAATTCATTAACCCATACCATTGTCATAATTTTTTGTTAGGTGAATACTTCTATACTAATCGTAAGATAATTGTCTTAGTTGCATGTATTTTTGTTAAGGGTCAACTATAACTACGTGTTGATTGTTATGTTTTATTCATTATATAAATTGCGAATTGTTGCATTAACCAAAAAATTTTCATCGTCAATGATAATGTGATTTTATATTGGTTAATCTGGTTAACCAATTAACCAAACTGATTAAACTTTAGTTTGGTTAATTTGGTTGTTGTATTAGTTTGGACGGTTTGGTTATGATATTGTATTCCATGGTTAATGGAATTTAGCCTTATTTGGTTTGGTTATAACCATGGTAACCATTTGCATACCCCTAAGCGTTTAGCTAATTTCAAAAAAAAAAAAAAACCAGACATATCCTCCACCACACAATCCTTATCTTCTTCCTTCTGTCTCTTACACAATCTTATATCCTTCCACTTTTTCAAACCCATCAGCCACCACACAAATCTAAATACCTTATCTCCTTCCTTCTCTCACCTTCCTTCCGATTCCAACAATCTTATCTTCCTTCCACCAGCCTCCAATTCACAGATTTGGCAGGGGTCGTGCCGTCGCGGGGGAGGGAGATGGAGGACTGGGCGACTGGCGGTGGTTGATGATTGAGCTGCGGGGGGTTGCTGGAACCAACGGGGGAGGGAGATGGCGAACTTGCGAGTTGGCGGCCAGCGAGGGAGGGAGATGACGGACTGGCGAGCTGGCGGCCGACGTGGGAGGTGGTTGCTGTTGCCGGCGGTCACAGGGTTGGATCCCGGGAAGGTCACAGGGGATCGTGCAGGGTTGTCGGGGTGTCGCGCGGGGTCGCGTGGGTCGATGGTTTGGCCCTCTGGATTGGATGGTGGAGACGGCGGGGGGTGGTTGGTGGTGGTGACTGGTGAGGGAAGGGAGGGGTCGAGGTCGACGAAGGAGAAGGAGAATAGGGTTTGGGGTGGGCTGGGGTAGTTTCTTTAGAGTAAATACTTGGTCGTTTAGGGTAGGACGACATCGTTTGGGCACGGGTTTTCAACTGTCGGTTAGCCCCAGTTAGCCGATTTCGGTTGCTCGGCCAGCCGACGCTCCTACCAGCCGCTCCGACCACCGACCGAGGCTTTATACAGCCGGTTTTTGGTTAGCCGTTAACTGGTGGTTAACGGTCTAACCAACCGGTTAGCCGCTAACGGACAACCGAAATGCCACCCCTATGATTAGGGGTGGATAATGATTTGGTTCATATTGAATTGAATTTGACATAATGATATTTGGATCGAACCGAATCAAATTATTGAGTTTTCTATTTTATTTGGTTCTTGAATTTGGTTAGTTTTTGGTTTTGGTTTTGTGTGAATCAACACCATGAATTAAACCTAACAAATGGATCAAACCGCAAAAAATTATTCGTCTATTGTATTTCCATTGCAAGAAAGGCAACTAGATAAGTCGACTTGGGTGAGTTCTAAACCCTAAAGGCCTCCACATCGTAAACGTAGAAAACTTGACCTCTTAAAGCTTTGGTTTCATTTTAACTCTTCTATTGTTGCTCCTCTCTTAGTACGTCGTGTCACCGCGCTATTCCACCACAAGGTTTGAGAACAATTGAAAGTTGCTCGACCGAAGGTCTTCCTATGTCACAGTCGTCCAGAGTTCTCCCTGACTTTTCCCTCAAGTTGTATACCTTCATCATCATATAAACCTTTTGCTTGAAGATTTTGTAGTCGTCCTTTTTCTAATCAAAACCAAACCCAACCAGTCGAATTTCTATGAAGTTATCGGGACTATGTGCCTTTTCCTCTAAATCGAATCCCCCATCCAAATGACCCCAAGAGGAAATTGTATTGGCGGGAAAAGAAGTGCCCTGAAAGCAGTATGCTAATTCATTCGTTTGACATTAGCAGTGAGACTTCCGAAAGAGTTGAGGTGCATTTTCCTGAGGAGGTAGCAAATGATGATGATGGTTGGTCGCCAATTGAGTGACATTTTTTATGTTACCTCAACCAGAAATTCATAGTAGCTCTCCTTTCTTTCTCTGATCCTTGTGGCACGACCATGTCTCACGAGATATGTATGTTGTTGGAACATTGGGCGCATGAATCTTGGATCAAGTTATTTTTCATTATGGAGCATCCTGCAATGCACAGATTCAGAACCACCGAATCATCATCGAGGAATTTGAGATTCTTTTTCACGGGCTAGACTAAGGATGAACGTTGTAAAAAACACGTCATCGTTTTTTTTTTATCTTGAAACGCAAGAACTTAAAGATTTTGAGTTTGAAGGACAGAGACAACGGTCATGTCATAAATATGTAACTTCTCAAGTTTCTTTAAGATGATTATTACTTGTAAATTGGAAGTTTATTTGTATATTTTTTTCTCTTTTTTCTTAATTAATTGGAGATTTCTTACAAGACTTTGGAAGTTTATTTGAAATCTGAGATTTCTTACAAGACTTGGATAATTCGTGGCTTTTGAAATCTGAGATTATTGTTATAATTACGTGGAGTAGGGGGTGGATTTGATGTGTGGGAATGTGGAATAGGCATATGGTAACTTTTTCTTGCTCACTTGAAGCAAACATTTTTCCACTTGACATGAATGGTATAGCACTATAGCTACATGCTACAACCATAGGAAGAAGGCTACCCCTTTGGAGAGGCCAAAGCCCATATATATATATTAAGTTCAGAAATTTCAAATTTAGGCCCATTATGTTCAATTTATGGCCCAGTAGAAAGCCCAATAATTGGATTTTTAACCTTTCTGTCTCTTCCCTTTTCAGTGAATCAAACAAAACCAAAAACCCTCCGATCTAAACCCCCTCACCACCATTTCAGCTTGCAGCCGGCCATGGCGCATCGACGTTCACTCCACTCGCTGGCTCGCCTCATCTCGTCATCGTCCACCGTGGCTCCGCGCTGTACTGTGAAATCACTCGCCTCGATTCTCCCGAATCATTTCTCCACGGCCGCAATCAGCTCGAGCTCCGATTGCATTCTTCCAGACTCCGAAGCCACTTCTTGGTGCAGCAGCCTCTTCTCCCGCAACCGAGCTCGCCATTTTTGTTCCAGCTCACGAAAAGATGATGACGAAGGCGAAGACGAAGAGGACGGCGGCGAGGATGATGACGAGGAGAGTGAAGGAGATTACAGTGATGAAGACGAGGAGGGAGCTAGGGAGTCGTCTGATTCTAATTCGAAGCCGAAACCGCCGCCGCCGGGTCCCGTAGACAAGGTGGCTAGGGCTGCTGAGATTGGATACAAAGTGGTCGGCAAGCTACGGCCTTCTGAAAAAGTATTCAAACCGTACGAGCCTGTTTACGCTGTCGTTCAGGTTTGAGTTTAACCTACTTAGCATTGGTCTTCTTTCTTTCGTTGGATTTTGAATTTTTTGGATGGATTTTGTTGATGCCTTTGCTGCGTTTCTGTGATGTAGATTGGGTCTCACCAGTTTAAGGTCAGCAATGGGGATACTATTGTCGCCGAGAAATTGAAGTTCTGTGATATAAATGACAAGGTAAAGTTGGGATTCTTGTATATCTTTCTAGGATATGGTACTATGCTGCTTACGATCGCAGTGATGAAATTACCACTACTCAGTCATGGATTTTTGTTCTAAGCTCAGTTTGTGCATTGGGCACAATTGATGTGAGTGTGAATACTCTTGTTTAGGAGGTGATTGTTGGGTGCATATGTTTCATGCTAAGAGTCTAGATTTGGGAGGTTGGAAGTCAAGTGGTTTACTTTTTAGTTCTTACCACGATAATATGTTTGATTTTCAAATGGGTTTTGGTAAACATGTCATATGCATCTTCATTGTAATGTTATTGTTTACCGACGTGTTTTCAACCTTATGTTCTATTTTCCTATGCCTTCAGTTGATCCTTCACTCTTTGATTCTATTGCAGTTGATTCTCACCAAGGTTCTATTGTTAGGGTCAGCAACCCAAACAATTGTTGGTAGACCGATTGTGCCAGATTCAGCTGTTCATGCAGTTGTTGAGGAGCATGTAAGTGTGCCCTTCTCTCTCTCTCTCTCTCTCTCTCTCTCTCTCTCTCTCTCTCTCTCTCTCTCTACATCCCAGAACAAGCTTCCATAACAGACACAACCAGCTTTTGTTAGGGTTCAAGAATCAGACCACTGAGTCATTTACTCAGTGATAGTTTTGAAATTCAACAAACGCTTTTGTGTCCAGTGAAGACTAGAGCAGAAGCAATTGCCTTCTGTAAAGAGAGAAATATTGGTCTATAAAAAAAAAAAAGAGAGAAATATTGGTCTGAACTGAGATTATCTTTAGCGTTCCTTTGTTTGGCTTGCGCATCAAGTTAAATGCTACATATTTCTCACTGGCTTGGGTTATACTGAGGGGAAAACCTCTTTGTTTCATGTAATGCACTGTTGTTAGTTGTTTCCTGTTTGTTCTAAATTTGCTTCCCCGTCGTGTTAGCTCTTTGGGTTCTTAGAATTATAAACTTCTTGTATGTGACCGGGCAAGTGAAGGTCTCAGTTGTAGATGAATTATGGTAACGGGACTGGGTACTGTTTTCATACGGATAGTGTTACTTTACTCACTATTTAGGGAATTTAACTTTTCTGGAAAGGCTGCTGGACCAATATGAAATTTCACCTGCATTCATATATGGGATGCTGGGATTCCTCTTGGAAGAAATAACCTTCTTTCTTCCTATTGCCCAACCTCCTTTCTCCTCTTTTTCCACTTTCTACTTCCTGCAACTCTTTTAAATGGTTCTTTAGATGAAACGCTTCAGTATTTTCTGTAGAATGAAGTTTTTTTTTATGAATATATGTAGAAGGAAGTTACCCTATGGAAACTTATGAAGTTGCAGTCACCATATATATTCTTTGATAAATCTCCATAGTGTAATCTGTAATTGTTACACTTCTTTTCAGGCATTAGATGAAAAGGTAATCATCTTTAAGAAAAAGAGAAGGAAGAACTACCGCCGGACTAAAGGACATCGTCAGGTATGCCAAACAAGAGTTTCTGCATCATTACGATCATACTCCTGCTGATTCTTAAGGTCATACCTTTTCCTTCAATCTCTTAACTGTGGTTTTGTGTTGTTCCCAGGAATTGACTAGATTAAGAATCACTGACATTCAAGGAATTGCAAAACCCGAAATCAAAGTAGATCCTAAACCCACGAAGCCCACGAAGCCTTCGAAGCCTACAGTTGAGGAGCAAGAACAGGTTGCAGTCGCTGCTTAGGAATCATTCTGTCTTCTTGGCGGTGATGCTCCCTGGGCTTCTGAGGTCAGTTAAGAGTTCTGCAATGCTGTTTTTAGTTTGGCAGAGTACCTTTAGATCCATTAAGCAAAGAGGCTACTGGGAGGACAAAGTGAACCATCCAAGAAGATGGTTGACTGGTTGATTTGATGAAAATATACTACATTCCCCTTTGAGCTACTTCACTCTACTGTATTTCTTGTCTGCATCTTTTGGTAGCTATACTGCTTTTGTCCGTTTAGTGTAGTAGAATTTGTCATAATAGACGATTAATTGAGGATCAAATAAAGTATCCTTTTTTATATGAGACCTTGATCTTCTGTTAGGGGTTTGTGATGCTTGAAACGGATTTGGCCTTATCGGGCTAATACTGATTAGTGATTTCAAGCACGAGCCTTAGGCTTGAATCACTGACATCCAAGAAGATGGTTTAACTGAAAGTTGCCCATCTTCATGGTAAATTTGATGAATGCAGATATGTCAATTTCGACTTTGCTTGTTCATGCTGATCTGTTTAGGCCGGGTATTAACTGGACCTGCAGGTGGGGTGGGTGTGTCGTAGGTATTCTTTCAACTTGTCATGTTCGGTATCCGTCTTATGATACTATCGCGTCTCTTCAAAACCATGTTTGAACTCGCATGTAGTTCGTAGTAAGTACGAGCCTTTACGTCTCAAACAACTCAACTTCATTCGTGTGCCTCTCATCTCTTCTCCTCAGCTATAAAATGTGTCTCTTCATTTTTTTTCCGATGCAAGTGTTGAGTCATTGCTTATATTTGATGGAGAACAAGAACGAGTTGATTTGTTTTGCTCCGGTTCCTCGAGTCAATCGAAACGACCCATGCTGCCCTACCCATTTGTTCCGACTGGTTTTTTCATATTAGTATCACAATTCATTTCAAATTAACGGGTGTTGAGTAACTATCTAGTGTGGATTGTGTACAAGTAACGAGTTAAACCAGGTTGTCTAATCGACTCATTAGGGTTTATGTGATCATCTTCATCTTCATTTTCATTATTAATTGCAAGCTAAAGATTTGATTTTGAGATCATCAAACGACAAGAAGGAATCCTTTTAAATAAATAAATAAAAGTCAAGCTGTACTGCGTGCAAATTGTGCATGCAAGGTGTATATATTTAGCCTCACTCACCAATCCACTAACGAAATTATTCCTTTGCAAGAATTCAACAATACAATTGCATAAAATAATTCAGTGGTGCTTGCAAAAGAGCAATTTAACAGTGGATAGTCGGTGTGACGGTGTCAAATATGTAGAAAGGACAAAGAGAGATTGGACAGAAGACCAATGGATTGCTCAGAATTATGTGTTTTGACTTTTGATGATGCATAAAGGAGTGTGAGCTAAGCCCGATTACCAACCGAATTGAAAATTTGTACACGACGAGAGTCGAAAATTTGGATGATTCATTATTAACAATTAACACTTCAATACCAACATTTCAAAATGCTTTGTCATAATCCATCTTTCATACATTCCAATGATCCAGCAATTCTACATCCAAAAGATCATCTCTTGTAATCCTAATAAAGTAATAATGCTTATTAATATTCTTTACACATACCATTTTCTTGATCTTATACATAAAACTAAGAGAATTTGAATATTACGAGTTGGACAAAAGCCAAAGTTGGAACTAATAAAGGACAAAGAAATATGATAAAGTTGTACAAAATAAAATCCACAAAAGCCACAAAGCTCAAAATGCACTTTCCTATATTGTAGTTTCCATTTTTTTTTATTTATGACATTAAATGTGATGATTGGATATTATTTCTTACATCAGGGTGCATAGTACATATGAATTTTTTATACATTTCTAATAAATTGAATTAGTAAAAAAATATTATAAATTATATTTGCTAAATCTCTCCTAATAACGTGAGATATTAACATATTATAAAAGTTTCACTGCAAAAGTCATACTGGTTTAAATACTGATTACCATTAATCGTTGGTTTCGAGATAATTTAACAGGGTAACGATAATCGGCTAACCGGATATCACTAATGTACTTAAAATGTGACTAGCCGTTTCCCAAAATCACTATGGGTGAACACTCTACTTCCCATCCTTTTTTCTCCAATAATGATTTATTCTAATTTAAAGATTAGTGGTTGCAAAATCGTTCCTTTTTCATAATAATGTTTAACGGGACAGTAAATAAGATCGTCTAGTAACTTCAGTACAAACCGTTATTATTTGATATCGTGAGTATACGAAACAAAAAAATTCAATGAAAGTTTTGTATATTATGTAAAGAATAATTCCATTCCAACAGTTGAGTGTGAGAGATGTTCAAAAATTAATATTATATCATTCTTTCAGAGGGTTCTTACAAGTTGTCCAAAAAATTGACATGTCATTAACAAAATAAATAGGCGTGTAATCTCCAATGACATCTTTCTACAAATCATGAAAAGTATTGAAAACCTTTCGACACAACGAAAAACAAATAGAGAATATTAATACGGGTTGAACCTGCAACTCCTATGTTGAAAATGAAAACCCTTCTCCCTCCTCGTTCCCCACTTTCTTCTCCTCTTTTCTTTAGTGAAAGTTCCAACTCTTTCTTAGGGTAGTGGTGGGTGATTGTTCTCCACCTCCCTCTCACTAAACAAGTAATTAAGTGCTAAATTATGGTAGGGTTGGTTCTTCTTTCTTTGCTCTGGTGCTTTAGATATATTGGATCCGTCATTTGATTCGTCCCAATCTAAATGCACTTGCATTATAATGCAATGCATCACCACTCCACACCCTCCAAACATTCTTTACTTAGTTTGTAACCCCATCCACAATTCCTAGCCGCCACTCCTTCAATAATATAATCAAAGTTGTGAGGTCACTCACATTATGTAAAACTCGTGGAGAAGGTTAGACACTAATTCATACGGTACGAAAATCCCACGTTTGGTAAGGTTGACCGAAATTGTGACTCATCTAAAGGAGATCGTACTTAGGTGTAAATTAACTTTCTTACTAAACGAAATTCGAAGAGCGTCTATGATTAACTCAGCTATTTCGATGACTAGGGTTTTATCTGACATTAAAAAATAACACGGTGTAAAAAATATTATGATTCGGTGATTACTCATTTTTCCCTTCCACTCTCCTTAATCAACATGCATGATGCTTGGTTTTTGGGTCCAAATAGTGAGAAGTTGGTAGGGAGGGAGGGAGTGAGCAATCTAGTTGGAACAAATTATTCTAAGTACAATCTTCCTCGCCTATTGAGTTGACTACACACCACATTCCTTAGGATAACTAAAGGGTCATAGAGCATGTTGCAATCACATCCATGAAACATAAGCTAGAGTACATAGTCATGGAACAATTTGTACTTTCCTTCAATTACAAAACACACCTCTCTACTTTTATAATTGGCTAACTTATCCTCGAACTTTTTTTAATATGTGTTAAGCCTGTCCCTCCATTACTTTTCTCGTCCAACCTATGAACCATTATCCAATCAATCAATATGTAATCATCAGTCTCTTGGTCCCTCAACAATAGTTGTATACTAGAGATAAGAGAATTTAACTATCTAATCAACTTATGATGATTTTTTTTTTCTGAAAGAGTTACGAAAAGATGTGTTTGGTGATGAACACATGAAAATACGAGCGCAAGCTACGCAAATATGAAAGTACATAGATGATATAAGTGTGTGCTAATTGGGACAATATGCAAGAACCATAATGATTGATAAGCCAAACCTACATAAATAATCAATATAGAATGAATGACATGGGTAGAAACTAATGCTCAACATTTGGTTGTAATATGAAAGGATGGTGGGAAATAAAAAGGTAATGTTAGGAATTGGTCACTTTCATTTCCCTTCATATTCTATGATTATTAGTGTTTTTTAGACTCAAGATCCCTAATCTTTTCATTCACATCTACCATAGTGCTAAGATGTAAAGAAGAAAAAACCTTAAAAAAGGAGAGCATAGCTCATTCACTCTTTTCACTTGTCACCCCCACAAACTTCAATTCTCACCACTACTACAACCAAATTGATTGTGTCTTTTTGTACGCTTGAAGTGGGTGGTGGTGGTGTGGCAGAAGCAAATAATCAAAAGTGTAAATATGTCACTTTCTAGTTAACACAAACCCTTATTTTTCCTTCATGGGGGAGGAAAAAGGGTTTCCTTTTGTGTTTGATTGACGGAGAGGAAATCAAAATGGGAACGGCTCCATGTTTTGAAGAAGGTGGGGAGAATCTAAAGAATAAACTCTTGAAACAATTTTTGGGTTGTGGCCAAAATCGATAGAGTGAGTGAGGTCAATCCAAGTGAAAGAATGGTTGCAACCTCGAATTTTAAATTCAGAGATCTTGATTTCATTATTTGTGCAATCCCGCTCTCTTCCTCTAACCCGTAGGGGCACACATTCATATAAAACCGTAAAATGTATTGCGAAAAAGGAAGATCAATGACAAAACCTACGACTATAATCAGATTAAGTAGCTGATCATAAGCAAGAATCAAGAAGTTCAGGGTACTCAAGCATGGGTTTCATCCCTACATTACAAGTCTTTTAAATTAAAAGAAACGAGATATGTCATACCAATATCACAAATAACTATCTCCGAATCTAAAACAAACATTTGTAATGATGATACTAATTTCAAACCGATTGATACGGCCAGAGACGTACCTAGCTAGGTTGGGCAAAGCTTTGTCAATTTGACAAACCTCGATACAATTTTGGGACAAATTTTATTTGTAATTTTTTTTCTTAGTAATTGTAGTATTTGAATGCAAGATTGTTTGACAATTCTTGATGATTTTGTTTCATCGTTGAATACCCTACCAAAATTTATGGGTCCGCCAATGCATACGGTATAATTTCCGTTGTGGCATAGAAGGTGGACGAATCATGGTAGCGACTGTCTTGTTCTCGAACAACCTTTTTTCTCAACCTCCGCCATAAAGGTTGTCACGTATATGCTAGTGCGATGGACATCTTAGTTCGACCGAGTAATATTACCAGGCATATTCCTTAGTGCCATTTTTCTCGTGACAAAAAACAATGGCGGAAACTTTCTTTTCCCCTCCAAAGCAGTAGTAGGTTGTTGTTATTCTATTTTCCAACGACATGATAATGTGGAAGCCATATTACTCTTGTTTGTAGAGCTAGCTTTAATTTGGTTAATCACTTTTAATATTGATCTGGATTTCCGTTGTTGTGTCGAGTAGTGGTGACGTAGTCTATCACTGGTTGAGCCGTGTGTTAGTATGTGATATAAATCTATTATTGAATTTCACACAACAACTCGATTTATTGGGATGAACTGATTCTTAACATGGGATCAAAGCCCTCTGTTCGAATATCGGTGAACCCAATTGGTACGCACATTATGTATGACTAGTTTGGTACCCGGTCCGTTGGCCGGGTAAATTTTGTTTGAAATATGTACTTTGGTAATTTTTTCCTCCTAAGGTGTCTATTTTGTTCAGTCTGTCATTGTCCTCTCTCATTTCAAATCGTGTATACCTTTGAGTCCGACCAGTTGGCCGCTAAATGATTTTTTTTTTAAGGTAAATTAGTTTGTACTGCACGACAATATTTTAGCACCCATGAAATTGTTGTGCATTATTATTATGATATTACAAAATTAAACATTGATATTATTTAGTAACTCAGTAGAATAAGAAATTTGTTCTGCGATCTATGTTAGTATATACTTTATGGCGGTACAATTGAATGATATTGATATAGTTTCGCAACTATCGAATAGGAACATGCCTTGTATATATATGATTGTGGCTATGTTTAAAAAAAACATATATAAAAATGGATATCCTTGTGTAGATCACATAAAATCTGATTTTTTCGCGCAATAATATTTAAATTTGGAGTTGAAGCGAAATAAATATGAATCAATTAAGAGTAGTAGTGGAGATTTAAAAATAAGAGAGAGAGAGAGAGAGAGAGAGAGAGAGAGTTAAGTGGCACATTCTGATTGGGGTATAGAAAAACTTAAAATAAAAAAAAGGAGTTAAGAAAAAATCTGATTGGTCGGAAGGGTGCTGACGTGGATGCGTAGGAGGGCTGGAATTTTGAAATGGTGAAGGTAGTTTTTGGAAAAGCCTTTATATATTTTATAGATAGATGCATCTGAAAACTTCAAGCCAATATGGGTGGCTTTTCATTCGAAGGGTGTGTTAGTAACTTAGTATATGGTATAAGATCCGTTATTAGTATGTGGTATAAGATAAAGAACACAAGCAAAAAAATTTACGTGATTTTCGAGAATGTTAGCACTAGTACACAAACAACATAGAACTCTTCGAATCACTCTTATTCAACTTAGCTTCATTAGGTTAATTGTTGCATCCTTCGTCTATAAAGTCATGGAGAACATTGATCACCCCGAATGACAGATTTAGGATGATTGGAGTTATCATTTTCAATTAGGTGATTAGATACATTCTCGTCAACTAGCATCAAGGTCGACAAGATATTAGCTTACAATACACAGTTAGAGAACACTCCTAATCGTTTAGAAATATGAAATGAACATTTGGTTGAATAACTCATCACCCAAAATTTCGAATCAAGATTGCAGCCAAATCATGTCATTTATCCTAAAAGGTACTAATTAGAGTGGCATAATGGAGGTAAAAACAAGGGTTTTGGTAGGATTGGGAACGTGATTGAATGCCAATTCATTCATTTGGCTAAAGGAGTATATATAACCAAAGTAGTTAGCAAAAGCTTTGTTGCTAACTGCTATTAACTTATTATCACTATGGTTGTTCTGGCACCACCTCGGTGTCTTTCACTGTCATCGATACAACTTTTGTTTGTGATGGTGATAATTGGGGGTGGATACTGTTGGTATATTCTCCTGTGCGGCACTATTGCCATAATCAAAAGAGTCAAATCCTCTTATATTCATTTCGTTCCCCAACCCAATACCACCAGCATTGCCTCTCTCAACACCTTCCCAGAAAACAGAGCACTTCAAAACAAACCAAAATTGCGAGCGAGGGAGCTATTCATCCAACGAACAGTAGCCAGCGAGCCAGTGTTGAGAAGCAGGCAAAGCAAAAGTTGTCTCTTGACGCCGGCTCGCTGTGCGATGTTTGCGATCCTTTTCCATGGCCTGATGGGTGGAGTTCGGGGAGGGACCTTGCCTCTCTGAGTTCCCTTCGCTGATCAGTAGTGGTTCTCTCCCTTTCTCTGGGTACGCACGAGAACTCTTCTAAGGAGAAAGTGGCAGAGGGATGTGAGGAATCCAGTTGGTTTTTAACTTTTTAATTTTATTTACTTTGGGCGTTGTTATGGTGGCGCTCCTGGAAGACTTCGAGGCAGCAAATTGGTAAATGGGTTATTCCTTCCTTCCTTCCTTCTTTCTTTCCTTCCTGGTTTCATTGTCCATCAACCCTTTTGGCGATGCTTACTAGAGAGAATCATTTGGTGGGTTGGTGCCAATTCTGCCTTCTCCCTTGGGGAGGATGCATTTCTAAGTACATGCATATTCTTTGTGGAATAAAAGTTCTGTTCTGAACTTAGCCCTTAGTTGTTGTAATTATGATCAAGTTCTATCTCTTGATAGGTGGTTTGTGTAAACTCCATAGCATTAAGCTGCGTGTTTTGGGGTTCATGGAAAGACTAGTCATGATTCAATTACTATATAGTTCACAGATTTTTTTAGGTTAGTTGTTCTTTCTTGTGTTCATATCTTCCTCCCTCTAATAAGGAGAACTTCAATCCCATTTTGCAGTCTTTTCTGCACAGATGATATGAGCCAAAGAAAAAGATTATGACTTTATCACTTTCTTTATTTGCTTGTATCTGTGTACTGACATATGGCTTCATATGTTGCACTGTAGGTTGCAGGGAAATTATACACCTTGCTGATTCTTCATTTGGTCACTTGATCAGGAGGGTGTTTTCAGCAGATTTGGTGTTTTTTCTCTTCTGGTCAATCAAATACTTTCAACATGCTGCAAGTCTTCCTCTAGCTTGATCTTCCTACTGGAAAAGTTCAGCTTCAAGCAGGACAAATCTTCTTTGGCAACTTAAATTTCTTCTGACGAAGTAACTTGTTTCTCAAGTTTTTACCTTGGATTCAGCTTCTTCGGGCAAATCTTCTTTGGCAGGGTTACTGTGATCTCCACTTTTAGATCTGAATTTAGAAGAAGGGACTTGATATCGTCAGAGAACGTGTCTCTTGTATATCAATTACCAAGGATTGCTGTGTACTTGGCAAATCATACTTCAGCATCAAAGCCTTATTGGTATTCCAGCTTTCGTGGTAGAATCTTGTTCAGAAGCTTTCTGTAACAGAAGCTTCAGTCCAATTCATTGGGCAAATCTCCTTTGGCATTTGGGAGTCCAAGTTGACTCCCAGTTTACCCCCTTCCGGGACATATCTCCTTTGGCAGTTTGGGGTCATTAGCTTGACTCCTGTTATCCCTTTCTAGGGCAGATCTCCTTTGGCATTCGGGAGTCCTCAGCTGACTCCCTGTTATCCTTGTTTACCGTGTATCCCTTGGTCTCTCTGACTTTCAAGGTCAGTATTCTCGTCGAGAATATTGTAGCTAGGCAGTGGCTCTGGAAATCTTTTGGCATATAAAGTGTGTTCGAACTGAGCCTGATACCATCGACTTTTTTCTGAAATCAAGTTGGTGTGGCAGTCAACAATCAAGAGGTACCTTATCTCATAACTTCTTCAGAATAGGTTTGTTTGAATTCATGACCCAAGGCTACAACTTCGTTGCTCCTTTAAAGATTGTTCAGTTATCATTTATTTCTGGCATGGTGAAGGTTTCGTTATTTCCTTTAGGTTTTTTGTATCAGAAATTAGCAAATGTAACACTTCTAAACTATGCTATGTACTGCAAGTCCTGTAAGAGCTATTGGTGGCTGAGCTGGATCAGGTCACTAAGCTGTTTATTGAGATAATTAAGACACCTATAGCCTTAGGATTTGGTTCCTCCAAAACAAAAACAAAAACAAAAAGAAAGTCGATCCAATGGGTGAGATTGAATGGGGTATTTGAGGAAGTCAAATCATATAGGGGTTGACTAGTGAAGCATAGGTCATTAGTAATGATTCAGGTCCGAGCATTTTTTTCATTTGGACAATTTCCCCCCTTTAGTAGCTTGTCGACCTGATTCACCGTGCTGTAAGCAGAAGCAGCTCAAATTTTGATTGATCAGTGGACTGTTGTCTTATAATCCCACATTCATGAATTTTCTGTACTTCAGCTGGTATCATTAGATTGCTATCTCTATGCACTCTCGATTCTTCTTAAATTGATCGAAGCATGGTGTTCACTATTGTAGGTGATGGACATGCTTCAGAGTGACTCCGATTGGGAGAGTTCCAGTGACAGTGGCAGCAGCAGCGAGGACATGGAGGAACTCGAGTTTGGGTATGGAGGACAAGCACACAGCATTCTGTCTTGCCTCGACGAGAGCATAGGCAAGATTGATGATTTCCTCTCCTCCGAGCATGGCTTTGTCTGTGGAGACATCGTCAGCTCAGTAACTGATAAATCCGGACAAACAGGCAGAGTTGTGAATGTGACAATGTTGGTCGATCTTGAAAGTCTCTATGGGAGAGTCATAAAGAACATGGACTCCAAGAAACTCTCGAAAATCCGGTCCATTTCTGTGGGAGACAACGTGATTCAAGGGCCGTGGATTGGAAGAGTTGGCAAAGTAATCGACAGCATCACAATTCTGTTTGATGATGGAATGATTTGCGAGATAGATGGAACAGACCAAGAAAAGCTGGTCCCACTTCCTCCAAACTTACTCGAAGACCCATTGTATCCCTATTATCCAGGACAGCGAGTACAAGTTCGGATCCCCACTGCTGCTTCTCGGTCAACTCGATGGCTGTGCAATGAATGGAAGGAAAATCACGGTATGGGGACCATCTCTGCTGTGAACGCAGGCACCGTGCATGTCGAATGGCTTGCTTGTGCACTTGGTGGTTGTGATGAAGTTAGCCCTCGGACATCTCCTCCACCTGTTCAACATGCGAATGACTTGACCTTGTTGCCGCTATTTCTGCATGAGAACTGGCAGCTTGGTGACTGGTGCAGAGTTCCTGCTGTTGACACAAAGGAAATATTTGTTATTGGGAAAACGAAGACAACAGTTGATATTGCATGGCAGGATGGTACGAGCTCATTTGGTTTATACTCACAGTCTCTACTCCCTGTGAATGTTGTCAATGCTCATGAATTCTGGCCTGGGCAGTTTGTTCTCGAGAAGAGTGCAAATGATGATGAACCGCCTGCTTCTGGTGGCCAAAAATGGGGTATTGTGAGTGCTGTGGATGCAAAAGAACATACGGTCAAGGTGAAGTGGAAATCTTTTGTGGACATGAGTGATGCAGGGAGTGATCAGGTGGAAGAAGTTGTAAGTGCATATGAATTAGCTGAACATCCAGATTACTCATACTGTTATGGAGAAATTGTGTTTAGAGCCCATGTTGATGATCATCCTTCTGAAGATTACACATCATGCATTGGTTTCGTATCGGGGTTTAAAGATGATGGCATTGAAGTGACTTTTGCTTCTGGCGCTGAAATCACTGTATGACCTCTTATTCATTTTCATGTTCCTACACTTCTTTTGTGTACTATCTCTCAACATTCATGTTTTTTTGAAGATCTCATTCCTACCCACCCCTTTCTTTGTTTGCTACTGTTTAGATGACTATCTGTTTACTCTAATCCACGATTTATAATGTTTTGTTTCACATGACACAGGTTGTTCCAAGTGACATTTTTCGGGCTGAGAAACATGAGGGTTCTACTGGGATTCCCTTCCAAGACCACGCTGTCGAGGACCTGAGCCAAGTGGCAGTAGACCGTGGAAAACAACTTGTTGACCATGCTGTAAGGCTTCTCTCTCTCTCTGTCCTTTTTTCATCTATACAGATGCACACTGAAGCTTCTGGTAAACTGTAAATGGTGCTTTTTCGGTGGTGACTGGCTGACTGTGTCTGGTGAACAATCAGCTTTTGCTGTCAATATGTTTGCTGAATCACATGAACTACAACCACTATTTCAACTTGTATATTTGCAGTTGCATTTTATGTATGATTGCATGAACGAAGAATTTTTTTCATTTTGCCTTCCGTTTTGTTTTCTTTTGGTTTCTGAACCTGTTGGAGATACATGCCTTCTACGGACTGGCACTAAACCACTGCTCTATTATCAGGATTCACCAGATCCCAACGGAAAGGGAGAGGATAGCAATAACCATCCCTGGGAGTCTAGTTCTTCGTATTTTCTTCATCCGTCCACTTTTGGAATCTTGACTAGCATAGCAGCAAGGATATTTGGATCTTTCACTTCCTCATCAATGCCTAATCCTTGCTGTGTTGCTGAAGATGGAGATCAACTCGAGCAATTTGAAAAGGAACGAGTACCTGGAACTTATTGTGGTCTCTCCACAGACATGAAACCCTTGGTGGCAGTTGAGATGCAGAGATTCGAAACGGCTTGCCCAGAGCAAGAAACTGTTGACGTTGACGAAAACGAAGGATTTAAAAGCTCCTCTGCCACACAGAGTTGTGATTTGTTCAGGAAATTTGATATGGTTAATGATTGCTCTGACCATCACTTTGTTGATGGTGCAGGCAAAGAAATGACGATGTCTCAGGTAAGGAGGCACTTTCTTGTCAATACTATAAGGGCTTGTGTGGCAGACAAATAAAAGCCCTAACAAATCAATACATCTTCAGAGCTCGTTATTTTAACGTATTTTCTCACTTTTTCCAGGTGAAAAGAAGTTGGTTGAAGAGGGTACAGCAGGAATGGAGTAACCTAGCAGAAAATCTTCCTGGTTAGCACTTTACATCTTATGGCCACTTGTTTCATCGTAGTTTTAGTTCGATGTCGCTCACTCTGAGGTCTTTTGATAACCTAAACAGAATCCATCTATGTCCGGATCTATGAGGAGAAGATAAATCTCCTTCGAGCAGCCATTGTTGGAGCACCCGGTACTCCATATCACAATGGCCTTTTCTTCTTCGACATATATCTCCCTGCCCAGTATCCCCATGAACCACCCGTGAGTTGAAGCTTTCACCATTCTTGATGCATTTTTTTCCTTCTGTTTTTGATAAGCAACTGAAGAATGTTGTGTTTACTACAAATTTCATTGCAGCTGGTGCACTATCGTTCTGGTGGGCTCCGCATCAACCCCAATCTATACGAGTCAGGAAAAGTCTGTCTCAGTCTCCTAAACACATGGACAGGCACAGGCACTGAAGTCTGGAATCCAGAGAGCTCCAATGTTCTTCAAGTTCTTCTCTCCCTCCAGGCCCTCGTCCTGAACGAAAAACCTTACTTTAACGAAGCTGGCTATGATAACCAGATCGGTAAAGCTGAGGGAGAGAAGAACTCAGTAAGCTACAACGAGAATGCCTTCCTTGTGACCTGGAAGTCTATGCTTTACTTGCTTCGCAAGCCACCAAAGGTAAAAAGAAAGGCCTTTATCATGTCTGCAACCTATCTATCAACCTTATCTCCTTACATAATCAGTAGACAAACTCATGGTTGACCCATCTAAACTGAACAGCATTTTGAGGCACTCGTGGAGGAGCACATCAAGCAACGTTCGCACGACATTCTGGTGTCCTGCAAGGCGTACCTGGATGGAGGAGAACCGATCTTAGCAGATGGGCAGCTTGGAGCGCAAGGAACTCGAAAGGGGAGCTCTGATGGATTCAAGATCATGCTTGCTAAGCTCTTCCCGAAGCTCGTCGAAGCCTTCTCTGTCAAAGGAATCGAATGCAGCCAGTTCCTGGAGCCCGAGAAATGAAGGTCTGGGTCTCTCCCATTTATTATATGTATAGGAGGAATACGTTGTATGCAGAAAATCTTCTGGTGGTGCTTGTGCCAAACTGGGAATTCATGGTGTTTGTGTGTGTTTGGTTTGTGAGATGAAATGTGAAGTGAATAAATGAGGGGAGAAAATCCTAGTGCTATGGCCTCTCTGGTGTAATGTTGTATAAATATTTGTTTTACAATGTATAATTGCAGATTATGTAAAATATGGAGATTTGTAAAATAAGTATTGTTATCATAATAAAACGAAGAACTGGTTTGGTGTCTCAGTCAGTCTTGTAGTTTATTCAGCAAGGTCGTAAAACCGTACCAAATTTTATCAGAAAAGTAAGTATGATATTTTGTACTGAAATTATAGTGTATCGATATAATATGGTTTCACGAACAACCTTCTCGGAGTCGTCAATATGATTATACGATTATACGTCTAAGTTTGTTTGTTTGTTCTAAAACCTCATTATGCAAAATTGCAAATTCATCAAAATAGTAAAACATTATGCAAGCCAGCCAATAGAAGGTTGACACGTTGGCTGGTTCTTCAAGTTAAACCGTTGGCAGAATCAAAAAGTATTCGAGAAGGAATATGGTTGAATTTGTTTGAAACCCGAAATTCCACACAGATTACAATTTACAACTCTCTCCCGCGCCCCGTCTATAGAGTTTTTCTTCCTTAACCGCTACGATTCGCATCTCCGATCGAGCCCCGTGGTATAAATTCCACTAGCCGGACGGGAGCTGCGACTCCCATTTCCATTTCCCCCACCAAATGGCCGGCCGATTCGGGTTCCAGTCATCCGCGCCGGCGAAAATGAGAGTCACCAACACTCCTTCCACGGATCTCGCCCTCACCAACCTCGCTTACTGCTCCGCCACCGATCTCCACAACTTCGCCGTCCCCGGGACCAAGTTATTCATGGCCTTGATCGCCGACCGAGTCGTTCTCAATCTCTCATATCCTTTTCTTCCTCGTTGCTGCTACCTTTCTCCAATTTGTCCTCCTGTGTGTGAATTCGATAATCGATTAGAAATCAGCTCCTTAGTTGTTGATTGTGGTGAATCTATTTCTTTGATGTATTAAATGGTTATCACATTCTTCATTATCGTAGTTTTCTGGTCATTTCAACTCATGTTTTGTTGCCTTAACTGAGAATTACGCCCCATCAAAACATTCAGAGTGAGCATATTGCACTGAATGCTGTTCAGCGTCGGCATATCCAAGTTTCTGCCGGTGATGAAGTGTCCATCAGCAGGTGATGACTGGTTACTCCTTTGCATCTTCTCTGTGTGGCGCATTTGGAAATTTTTTATTTGATGTTCTTTGGGTATCTTGCTTATAGGTTTATTCCTCCCGAGGACTTCAACCTTGCATTGCTTTCACTTGAGCTGGAATTTGTCAAGAAGGGAGCCACTAGAACTGAACAGGTAAGTTCATTGGCACCTGCTTTTCGTTTTTAGATTGTAGTAGTAGAATGAATGGTTTGTGTATGGTGGCAACTGGCAAGTTTTTTATTGGTTTATGCAGCTTAACTGGATTAGCATGGGTCTGTACTATCTTGTAGGTTGATGCTGTTCAGCTGTCCAACCAGCTAAGGAAAAGATTTATGAACCAGGTAAAGCACATTCCTCTACTTAATGGATCTTTTGAACTGATTTTGGTTTGATTGCCAATAGTTTTTAGGCGCAGTCTATGTTACATTGTTACTGTTCTTGGTGGTATTACTATTGGAAACTTGAGGCTTGTGTGGGTGTGTGTTGTAATAGAGTGTAGTGAACTGATAAACACTACATTGATTTATGCATTCGCTTCCAGTGAGGTGTGTATATTTGATAACCAGGCTCCTTAGCTTGTTTTTTAGATGGATCGGGGTTAGCATGGAGAACTTGATGAAAATTGTGACTGATTCTTGTGGAGAATGCCAGCCATGAACACATGATTCAAACTCTAATTCTTTTCAAAATGTGTGTATGCTTTTCATGATTAAGGGCAAGAAACAGCATTTGAGAAAGCTGTTAACATTTTGTTGCAGAGCACTTGTTGTGAAAGAACTGGAATTTAATGCTTCATCTAATGTTGCTGCCTGATTGTATTGTTGAGTAAGGAGGGAAAACATTGGTTGGAAATATATTATATGGATGTCATGTGATTTTTTCTCTTTTGATGTAAGGCAAAAAAATTTCTCTGGTTAATTTTCTTGCTCTCTGCAGATTATGACTTCAGCGCAAAGAGTCACATTTGAGTATCATGGGACAAACTACGTTTTTACCGTCAATCAAGCCACTGTGGAGGGACAAGATAAATCTGGTGATGTAGAAAGAGGGATGATAGCTGATGACACATACTTCATCTTTGAAGCACCAACTGCTAGTGGCATAAAGGTTAACTTCTCAATTTTGGGAATAGCTATTGTTGTTGTTTACTTTTATCTCATATTGTATTAGATGTTGGGGACAATCTCTACCATGTCATGAATAATCCAGATGGTAGAACATGCAATCAGCAGTTAAAGACAGACACGGTAAAACAATACGCAGAGATTAAATCACGAGTGCATTGACATCACTGGCCTGTTCCGACTTTTCTATCTTTTTTATTTTCTGATATCACGATATAAGACTTAGAAGATTTGCTGAGTAGTACATTCTTCTGTCTCGATCTCAGTATTTGTTGCCTAAGTGAAAATTGATTTCTCTATTGACTTCCATTGTGTTGTAGATTGTTAATCAACGTGAATCAGCCAGTAGCAATATATTTAGGCAGAAGGAGTTCAATCTAGAGAAACTGGGCATCGGTGGCTTGGGTGCGGAGTTTGCAGATATATTTCGAAGAGCTTTCGCATCTCGTGTTTTCCCACCGCATGTGATAAGCAAGTAATGAAATTTAGTTGTCAACCTATACAAAATGTATTCATTTTTAAGCATATGTGTGTTTTCTGTTGACAAAGGACAATGTTATAATCCAGGCTGGGGATTAAGCACGTGAAGGGAATGCTGCTTTATGGACCTCCTGGAACTGGGAAAACTTTGATGGCTCGTCAAATCGGGAAAATGTTAAACGGAAAGGAACCTAAGGTTTGAAAATTGACTGAGCCTCATTGTTTTGTTTCTTTTCTATCATCAGTTTTGAGTATCTTGTAAATCACAACTGCTCCTTGGCGAGTTTCACATATGAGGAACCTAAAGGTTTCCTTTAGCTACTTAATTTAGAAACTTCTATTTACACAACCAATGAAACTTCTGAAATGTCATCTCTGCCTTTGGATGGAATTCCTCCAGATTGTTAATGGTCCAGAAGTCCTCAGCAAATTTGTTGGTGAAACTGAAAAGAACGTTAGAGATCTTTTTGCAGATGCTGAAAATGATCAAAGGACGCACGGTAAGAGCCCTCTTCAAATGTTTTTAGCATAAATGATCTTTGTATTTTAACTGGACTGTAAATGTTTACAGGAGATCAAAGTGAACTGCATGTGATAATCTTTGATGAAATTGATGCTATATGCAAGGTACAGTACTTCCCAATTTTGCCATGGCATGAAGTGTTTCTTGAACTCTAGCCGCAGTAGTCATGAAATCCATAACACAGCAAAGCTTTGAAACCAACCTCATTATGTAAATTCTTTCCATTAAATCATCCTCAATGCAGTATTCTTTTTTTATTAATCATCCTCAATGCAGTTAAAACAGTTTTCATTTCGCCAAGTTCTACATCATCAGCTGTTAACTTATCTTTGTTCTTATTTTGCTGCAATTGTCAGTGGCTTTGGGGTTTTTTGTTTAGTTCAAAAAAATATTAGTACCCTTTCCTAGAGGAGGTCATTTATTTGTTTGATTTTGCAGTCCAGAGGATCAACTAGAGATGGTACAGGAGTTCATGACAGCATTGTAAACCAGTTGCTTACAAAGGTAAGGGATGAGTGTTAATTACTCTTTAGTAAAATGCCTAAACAGAGTCAAACTCATTTAACATTATTTATCTATGAATTTTAGATTGATGGTGTGGAAGCACTGAATAATGTTCTGCTTATTGGAATGACTAATAGAAAGGATTTGCTCGATGAAGCACTTATGAGGTTAGTCCTCTCTCTTCGGTTACATATTTTGGTTGGTCCTGCTTAAGGTCTGATCTATTGTCAAGCATCAGAAGCAAATAACCCCAGATGGATCAGATTTCATCATATTAACAATAATTGTCAAGCAGCAATGATATTCTAGCTGATTATGTCTCTGAATCATCTATGTTTTGGTGATTAGACCAGGCCGGCTGGAGGTTCAAGTTGAGATTAGCCTTCCTGATGAAAATGGTCGCCTTCAGATTCTTCAAATTCATACAAACAAAATGAAGGAGACCTCCTTTCTTGCTCCTGATGTGAACCTTATGGAGCTTGGTATGCATTCCTAATGTCTACTTATTAGTACTAATTATCCAACTTCATTATGCTTGCATGAAATATGTGCTTTGTTATATATCAAACTTTTTTATGCTTGCTAAAAGAAGGCTTTATTAACTAATCCTTTATGAAATCTTATGTCATGACATTGCTCTGTGAAGTGTCTTCAACTAGTGGCAGAAAACCTGCATGTCATGGCAAGTCATTCACAATATGACTCTATATTTGCTTTATATATGCCAGCCGCTCGCACAAAGAATTACAGTGGTGCAGAACTCGAAGGTGTCGTAAAGAGTGCTGTGTCATTTGCCTTGAACAGACAATTAAGTCTGGATGACCTCACCAAGACAGTTGATGAAGAGAGTATCAAAGTCACAATGGACGATTTCTTGCAAGCACTCCATGACATTGTTCCTGCCTTTGGAGCTTCCACGGATGATCTTGAGCGGTGCAGGTAATATATGAAAACAAAAGGAGTCGATAATCTATTATCTAATAAAATCTTAGCCTTTGGACTCTTCTCATTTTACATCTGTTTTTAACTTCCAAAGGCTCAATGGAATGGTGGACTGTGGCAAACGCCACCAGCATATCTATCAAAGGGCTATGCTGTTGGTGGAGCAAGTCAAAGTCAGCAAAGGAAGCCCGCTTGTTACCTGTCTTCTGGAAGGCCCAAGTGGCAGGTAAGCAGCTCATGCTCATCTATATTCTTGGTTCTAAAATTATGTTACGTTTTTAAAATTGCAACTTCTCTGACATTGTCGATTTGTCTTCTTCAGTGGTAAAACTGCATTGGCAGCAACTGTTGGCATTGATAGCGATTTCCCTTATGTTAAAATAGTAAGTCCTTCAATCAGCAGTGACTAAAACCTCTAGTCATCTTAAAGAAGCTTCTAATAATTTTCTCTATTCTCGTAGGTCTCAGCTGAAACAATGACCGGCCTACATGAAAGCACCAAGTGTGCGCACATTGTCAAGGTTCGTCCAAGTTCTTTCGTTCTATACATTCCCCTTCTCCTACCCTCTGAAAATATAGCTCTTTACATCACCTGGGCTTATATTCAATAATTGAGAAAACTGTGGCCATGATCAGTCTGATTCACACTTTTGCTATTTCTGTTTCGTGCCGGAGTTATGTTGTCCATAAATACTTAGAGAGACTTTGGTAAGTATGTAGCTCACTGTCTGTTTCCTTTTTCCTTACAGGTCTTTGAAGATGCTTACAAATCACCACTGAGCATCATAGTCCTTGATGACATCGAGAGGTAATCATGCTGCTGAATAATAAACTCGAGTAACGTTTGGTCACTGAGTCTCAAGTTCTCTTTATTAATGATCGAAACTGACACTTACAAATGATATTTGCAGATTGCTGGAGTATGTAGCTATTGGTCCTCGTTTCTCAAACATTATTTGTCAGACTCTACTAGTCTTGCTCAAACGTCTTCCTCCCAAGGTGAGTTTTTCATCCCCGCTTCGAATTGCTAACATCTAGCCATATGAAAGCCATTGAGTTACTTCTCTGATCTTCTCTAATCAGGGAAAGAAACTCCTCGTATTTGGGACGACCAGCGAAGTCGAATTCTTGGACTCAATTGGCTTCTGCAATGCATTCTCCATCACTCACCACATCCCGAATCTCAAGACAGACGACGCCAAGAAGGTGCTGCAACAACTCAACGTATTCGCCCCACAAGACATCGATGCAGCGGCAGAAGCAGTAAACGACGTAAGACCTCAACATACTGCTTGTCACCATATGTCACTTCAACACCCTCTTCTTTTGCTTTGTTGGATGCTGACTTGCTGTTCTTTTCTGCGAACCAGATGCCGATCAAGAAGCTGTACATGTTGATCGAGATGGCAGCACAAGGGGAGCACGGTGGATCGTCGGAAGCTATCTACTCCGGTAAAGAGAAGATTAAGTTCGATCATTTCGTCGATTGCCTCCAAGACGTTATTCGATACTGAAGTGAGGACCATGCTCTGACATTGTATACTTTGTGGCTGTTATTTACCAAAATGCTGCTTGGGGTTCTCTTCTAAATCTTGTCTTCCCACTCCGTTTCCATTTTTGCAATTTGTTTGGGTGCCTTGTGGTTTGCCCCTTTCTATAGGCTATGTGAGGCTTTTTGTGAGGAAACCAAAAAACATTTAACCCGAGTTTATCGAACCATTGAGATTATTAGGGGTCGTTTGGAAGTTGGGAGTCTATAAATATGTGTATTCTTGAAATGTATGTATTCCAAGTGTAGTGATTGTAAGAAATAGATGATTGTAAGAATATGTTGTTTGATTGTTGTGATTCTCACTTTTGAAGAATATAAGGATTTTCACTTTAATGACCAAAAAGACTTATATAACCTTAAAGTTATGTTTATATAGTCAATTAAAGAAGGGACAAATATGAAATATATAAAAAAAATAATAAGGGTAAGAGGTGAAAAAAGCAATTATAAAAGTAAAGCAAGAGAATCTCACATTTTTGTAGATATTCTAAAATGAATGATTCTAGCCATTTGAGATTCTAAAGTACCAATCAAATGCATGCATTATCGATAAGTTTATGTCAAAAGAACGATAGATTGTAAAGAATACACACATTCACAGAATCACTCATTTAGACCATTGGCGGATCCAGGGGGTAGCCAACCCAGGCCCCGGCCCAGCCCTCCTCTGGATCCAAAGTTAGAATAGTCCTTATGAATTTTTTGATTTTAGACATTCGGTTCAGTGTTATTTTATAATAAGATTGGGTGTAATTAGAAAAATAATTCATATGAACATATTCAAATAACTACTCTAAATTTAGCTTATAAATTCTAGCCCTAAAGATTTTCGTCTAAACAAAAACAACGGACCTGAAATTTTAAAAGTCTAATGCGTAAAAGACTAATAAATGAAATATGAGATTTATTCCATTGAAAATTTACTAGAGCAGTTGTTGGATATAGGGATGGACAATGGAAATTGATTAGTCGATTGATTTTAGTATTGACGCTGTCTTTTTCAACAGCTACTACGGCGAGAACCTTATCAACAATGAAACATGTGAAAACTAATTAGCGCAACAAAATGAGCGATGAATTACTCGCAGGTTGCTCAAGTATTTTATTTGAAACAAAGCATACTATTGGCATGGATGTAGACTCCATTATTGATGCGTTCGCTAAATTAAAACACCATCGTGAACAATTGACATTGTAAAAAAATATAAAATCATTATCCTTTTTACGGTATCTAATTTCTAATGAAATCCGGCTTAGTGCACTACTGTGTTCTGGATCCGCCGCTGATTTAGACTACTAACTTCCAAACGACCCCTTAGTAAGGAATCACTGATACAAATATAAATAAATAAATATATATATATATATGGTGGCTTCTACGGTACCCCTTAGTAAGGATTATGGTAATATATATATATGGTGCCTTCTACGGTACCCCGGGTGAAATCCGAGGTATCGCATACCTTGAGTATGAAAATGCTATTTAGACCTCGAATAAGCAGGATTTTTGGGCATGATACTATACCATAATCCTTAATGAGTGAACCCTAGCCCCTAGGTCCTAATTATCTAAATCATAAACTATAAATCCTAAGATGATGCATTGATTTTTTTGCCTATATTTGGACGAATCATAACCGTCGATTATTGTTTCTAATTAAATTGATCTTGGGATATAAGATTTAGAGAATTAAGACCTAGATTTTGATCTTTAAGGGTTAGAGTATAGTATCATGTCCGAAAGATCAGTCAATTCAAGTCCTGGATAGCGTTTTCTTACTCAAGGTATGCGGTACCCGGGATTTCACCCTGGGTACCGTAGAACTCCCCACATATATATATATATATATATATGGTGGCTTCTTCGGTGCACTCACTTTTTTGGGTGCATTCAGTGCACCCACCTCTAAAAGTGGTCATAATACATCAAATTTTGAAATTTAATGGGTAGCATTAGTCTCATATGATGATATAACATAGAATCCCAACTAATCAACCCATTACCCTAACCTATTAACCTTCAATTTTGAATCTCAACCCAAAATCCCAAATTGTAAACCCTAACCCTAACCCTAAATTCCTAAACCCTGAATCATTCAAATTAAAGTGAATCTTGAATGATTTTTGTACAAATTCATGTGGTTCTTGTTCATCATACTACAAGGGATGATTAACATCGTTTTCACATGAATCGTCTGCTCAGAATGACTATTATAAGGCGGGTGCATTGAATGCACCCAAAAAAGTGAGTACACGGAAGACATAACTATATATATATATATATAAACGAGTGGTATCTCACTGGTTCAATTTTTGACCATTTTAAAGGGTTCATGTCTTACAGGTTATCTTTTTTCGGCCATTTCCAATAGTGAGTGAACTGAAAACGACGCTACTATGAAATTCTCTAAAACTCCATGTTTTACACATTGCTACAGTGGGATGTGCACAAGCCAAGGAAGTAAATAGTATCAAAATTTTAATCGAATGCTCGTCATATGCTCAAATCGAAGATGTATGCAGCCTTTCACATTTTGAAAGAGTAAGATTGCATCATACCATTTGAAATGTAATCTGTGAATAGTGCATTGGGCGATTTGATAGGTGACCAAGTTCTCATGTAGTTTACTAGTAGAATAGCACATGGATCACTAAATTTGTACTATTTGTTGTTACTCTTATATTTTGAACCGTTAGACGTTAGACGTTATATCGATCAGAGATCTCGTGTATGTTTCACAAACATTATAAAATGTCTATAAAGATCTTACCCAAAAAAAATGTCTATAAAGATAAAGGGATAGATGAAAGAAATTTTTTGTTTTTTTTTTGTTTTTGTTTTTTGCGCCTTCTTATTCGAAGATTATTCATTACCATTTACAAAGAACTAATCTTACTTTTCTCTCCAGCAATACACGAGAAAGAAAACCAAGGAGAGGGCCAACAAGGAATCGCCAACTGTCCGCCGGAGACAATCCCAGGCCAGACCTTCCACCCTCGTCTCGAAGCAAACCTATCACCATCGGCGGCGGCGGCGGCATTGGACGACGAAAGAAAGAAACGTTTCAATTTCCCCCGATTTCAATTTCCACTCTCCCTCCTTTTTCTGGGTTTCGCGGGAAGATAGCGATCGGACATTTCGGGAGGGACGAATTGAAAACGGTGCGAGTGAGCCGAGTTCAGCTGACCGAGTTAGAGAAGGAGGTCTACTTGAGGGATTCCATATAGTATGGAAATCATACCGTATGAAAAGGTAACACGTGTCATAGACTAATGATTTGGTCGGTCACATGTAAAAATAAGATAAAATAAAATAATGCCCTTAACAGTTAAATTCATTAAGGACGTTCATTCCCCCAATTCGGATAAAAACAAAAGCTATTTAATCACTTCCTTACACATTCCTTCAAACGAAAGTCAAATTATGGGCTTGAAGTTTGAACATGCTCCCTTATATCATGTGCTTTGAGACAGCGGTTAATATTGGGGGTCGTGAGGACTTGAACACGTGACCTCAAGGACTATCCAAATCTGATATCATGTCACAAACCAACTGGTACCAATAACTCGAATTATTGAAAGAAGCTTATGTATGATACTTAACCACTTCCTTACATATCTATACACCCTAGATTTTACCTACTCAATCCACTTGACAATTTTCTAGCTTGGAATAAAAGATGCATTGGTTCACTTCGAGACACTTAATAAATCTTTTTTTATAAAAAGCATGCAAGCATAAAAATTTTCAGACCACAATTCCCCTAAAATAACTTGATTAAATTCAAGAAATTAAAAAATAATGTTGGTACGGCGATGAGTTTCTGTACCACTATCATACTTTTTAGCTTCCAATACAACCGTTGATGAATAGACAAAAGGAACCAAACCTGTGTCGTACATTTACATGATATGTGTTAACCATAGGCTCATAAACCACAGGAGAAGGACGAGTTAAGAAAATGACGATCACGGTGAAATTTCTGTAAACCACACTTACTGATTCGCTAAGAGTTGTAAGCAAGTGATTCTGAGATGATTTTGTGCCAAACAATGTGGAATGGAACTAAACCAATAAATCTATCTAACGAGAATGTGTTTCGAGAGAAAGTATAGGTAGATCTTTTATTGCCGGATCAAGAAACTGAGCTTGGAAATACACATTCTTTTGATATCATAAAACTGTAACAACAAAAAAGGGTCACCACCATTTCTTGCAGGACTGCAGCCCATGATAATTTATTGGACCCATGACAACATGTTGTTTCTATATACAACAAAAAAATTGAATATTGATAAATTGAGATTTTTTTTTTTTTTTTTTTTTGTGAGGGTGTTGAAAAAAGTAAGTAAAGGGTAGTGGTGAGGGTAAAATAACTTTGAAGGAGGTTCTCTGTGGTAGAAGAACTACAACACTCATCTTCTCTTTAGGCACAAAAGGTGGTCTCTCATCCCCCTCAATGAAACTTGACTCTTGATCATTTTGCAAAGAGAGGAAAAGAAGATCAAAGAATGATACTTTCTCTTTTCCAGAACAAAAATGCCTTCCATCAGCCATCAATCATCACCTTGGTTCTCCCTGCCGGCCACCGGCAACGACTTTCCGGTGCCGCCGTGGTCCGACCCTTCTGCCACGCCTCACTATTCCTCGTCTCATCGGAGTTTCCTGAGGTACTCTGGGGGGCGGCAGTATTTCCGGGAGTGCAGGTGGAAGAGGCAATGGAGGAGGTGGAGACATGTGCTCCATTTTCTCAAGAACTTCTCTATGGTATTTCTGCAACATAGGCCAACGCAAAGATGATTGTAGATGGAGAGAAGCAAAATAGTTTCCATGATCAAGGTTTCTTGAGGGGCAAGGGAGCTAAAGTTGGAGATATGTGACTCTTACCTGAACCACAAAGTTCCTTCTTTCGCAATCCAAGAACATGTTCACAGTCCAATTCGTCTTTGCCCTGATCTTATCCCTCACTATAGCGAAGCTGATCTGGTCCCTCGAAGTAAAGCGGTCAACTTCGTTGTACCACAGACAAGCAAAGAGGTTGCTTATAGGAACATGCTCCCTAATTACGACACATCCTTCAGGAACATCTGCAGAATGAGATAATCGACAGAGGGAACTTAGCATTAAGGAACCAGAAGGTATCCAAGAATACACAAGGAAAAGGTATCTTGAACCCTACCAGATGTGATAGGTAGCTTATCCAAAGTATAAGGGGTTAAGCCTTCGTTTTTGTAGAAATCAATCTGGAAATCGATGGATGCATTATCATACTTCCCTGCAGCTTTGTTTGCCTCGGCTTCGGTGAAGACATCAAAGCGTTTGTAATGTCGAGAGATAGCAAAAGTGGCATTTTTTCTCCACAGATGCCTGAAAGAGTAATGGAAGGCAGGAAAAAAGACAAAAGGAAAAAAAGGACAGTGAGTAAATTGAGGTCGACGCAAACTCATTCTAAATCACAGACCAAATTGAGGAAAGAGGCAATTCCAAAGGTTTCATGAAAACCCGAATGGAGATAACAGCAGAATCCAGGGAATCATTCAAGAAGCCATCTAGAATCACTCATCGTTATGGGCTTACTGACTTTAATCCTGTCAGCTATTGTTTTATCATACGCCAACCGAGAATGCCACACAGATCGTGGGAGGAACAACCGGAATAAGGAGTACCTTTCAAGAATTTGATATGGATCAACAACCAGCTCAAGCTTCCCATCAATCCATATAGAGAAGCGAGCATTTGGAAACAGCCTATGGGGCAGCAGCTTGGGAATCTGCAATTAATAAAACCTATGTCAAGAGATTTATAGAGAAGGTTCATGAGATGTAAGCAAATGCTGTTCTTTGATGTACAAGGAGAATTTGGAATTTCATTCCAAAATCACATCAGTCTCCTGTAGAAAGAATGACGATAAGGAATACAATAAGAGCAACAGTAAGGTAAATGTGATCTGCAAATATAAAGTTGAGATATGAATCCAAGAATCATGAAAGAAAGCCATAAATAAAGTCAACATATGAATCACCTTTCCAGTTCGTCTCCCATCAGTGTATGGAGGGTTATGGATCAGAACAATTCTCCATACCCCAACCTTCCTGCTATCGCCTAATTGCCCACTATTTTGCAGATAGGCTTCTGTTTCATCGTCCACAAACATAAAGAAGCATACAGTTCTTTTGGAATACTCACTGATGTTGCTTGGCTGTTGTATATTATCAAAGGCCGCTGCAATAAGAAAAGTTTTTTAAGTAAAGCAATTTGAACAATGAGAGGGAATGGACTGAGTGGCATTTCATTCTGAATTCTAAATGACCATACCAAATATTGCTGAGGAAACAACCACACCCCTGCACTGGTCCATGGCATCTAGATCAACCTCATCAATATCGTATCCAGTATTCCGGCCAGCCCTCGTACCTCTAACAAACCTAAATCAATGCAGATATACAAGGAGATATCACAAACGGCAGAATGTGCAACTTGCACAATCATTGCAACAGCTTCTACCACTTCACATGGTGATGGGTGGAATGAGATTAGAGAAAAAAATGGAAATCAGCTTACCCACAGTGCACACTCATTGATTCTCTAATATCATAGGAGTCAGTTCTCTGAGCGACTGTAGGATATCCACCAAAGTCTGAGCCTCCAAATTCCCCATTCTTGGTCAGTGGATTTTCATAGATGTATGTCAAATCCTTTAGGACAGGAGAATAGGAGGGAAGCTTTGGCATCAAGGCAATGGCTTCCTCCACAGGCAGGTAACATACTGGACATGCTGATATACGAGAACAGTAAATATTAGCTTTATGGAAATGCACCATCATAATACATAAACAAAAAACCTCTCAACAACAATAACATCTCTGGCTCTTTTTGAAATCACACCATAGCCCGTTCCCTAAGAAATCTACTGTTGCACTGTTAGTCGTTCCAAAGGTGCAGCATACTAGAAGAATTTACTAGCCAGTCCCAATGGAAAAAAGAAAATAGAAAAACAAATATGAAGGCAGAAGCATCATTTAGGGGTAGAAACTTACGTCTTGGTCCAGTTCTTTTCCTGTCTGCTGGGGGAGGAGGCAGAGTGAAAGTATTGCATGGATGCCCAGGAGGTAGAGAGTAGCCCAAAAAATGTGAAGGAGGGGGAGGTGGGAAAACCATAGTCGTTGTGTTCTGTTTGCGGACAGTGGCACTTATGTTCGGACTGATACTCATGTTTGGGACCTGGTCACTTTCCTGTGCATCTTCACCTGAAAAACATGCCATAATTTACTGGAAATGTGAATAAAGCTACAGCAAGAGCACAATTCTGTCAGCTAACTACGATACAAGCTTGCATCGCCAGTCTAGAAAATGCAGTACGATACAAGCTGTTCAAGACCCATCACTGACAAATATCCTCCACACCAGTTTTAAACAACCTCCTGACGAGAGAAGTGCAACTACCATGAAACGACCTATATCTCATGAATATTATCACAATCTGAATCCGCCGACAAACTAAATTGAGCAACATTTCCCCAAAAAAAAAAACTATCTAATAGAGTATCTCTTTTCAACCCCTAGATAACAGCATTGTTCTAGTACTAAGGCAAAAGCTCCAGAGAGTCCATGTTCAAAGCACAAATCACTCAAACAAGCAAAAAGGGGGATGAAAGATCAAATTAATGGAGTAGATGGAGAGAGTGTAACAAACCTTTTCCTACATACAAAACCCAGAAAAAAACTGCGGCAGAGATGACGCAGAGCAGCAGCATTCCAACCTTCCTCCGGCCGACGGACTTGCGGATCCAATGAAAGAATCTATCCTTCTCCTTGAACATCTTAGCAGGCTTAGTCCGAATTGTCGATTGAATTGGCAAGAGATGATTGCCACCACCGTTCTGTTGTTGTTGTAGTTGCTGCGGTTTGTCCAATGAACCATAACTCCCTGAGCGGATCCCCAATGAACCTCCGTTCATTGTCTCTCCTCCTTAAACCCCACGCCCCAATAGCTTAATCCCCCTCTCATCTCATCTCCCTTTCTCTTCCCCTCAAATCAAGAAACCCCAAATCTGTATATTACCCAATGATCTTCAAACTTCGAACCCAGAACGAGAGGAAGACACTCGAATTCCCGCAAATTCAGATGAGACCCACTTCAGGAAAATTGGCCCCTTAACTTCTGGGCCAACTTTTTTTTTTGAATTGCCACTCTGAATCGAAGCTCAGTGACACGCACCCAAGATTGATTTCCCACTCGCAGGACGAAGTAAAGCAAAACCCAGAAACAATTCAGTCCCCAGAGAACAACCCAAGTGCGCCGAATCAGAGACGAGAAAGGATTCACAGTGGTGTGATTATGAAACCAACCAACCGCCAGATCAAAGCTTAAATGTGGTGAGAAGAGAAAGGACGATTCACACAAGGAAAAAAGAAAAAAATAAACTTAATAATGCCGAAACCGAGAAATATGGGGGAAAATAGGGGGAGGAAAGGAAAGGATGGTGGGATCCTAATTGGATTCTGAATAAAATAAATCTAGGGTTTGTAATTGGTGGATGGATGGGATTGGGGTTTTATTATTTCTTTCCTATTCTTTTTGTTTTGTTCTTGAGAGATGCTGTATATCTAAAATGGTGGTCTGTGGAATCAAGGAGTGTGTTTTTACTTTTTTTTTTTCTAAATAATCCAAACTGGGATTTGTGTGTTTTTTGTGGTAATTTCTGTCTGCAAAATTTGAGGGAACCGGCCCCGTATTTATATGAGCTGAAAATACATAATAATTATTTTATTTTTAAAGACATTATTATTGATTAGTTATTATCGTAAATAAATGTGATTGTGAAATATTGGATAGACGGCGATTGCTTGGCATTGCCAATGCGGAAATATTTGTCAAAATTTTTTATTAAAATTTGATAACGCTGTTTATTTGGTATTTATTAATAAAATGCTTGAGAGGAAATATTTGATTGCCCACCACCACCATACTTTCCCTTTTTGTTTCTTTGTTTATGTAATGATAAGGGAATTAATTACACTCATCTGCAAAAAAGTGTAAATATCTATGATTTACTTAAAATTGTAACATTTCATATATATAATTTAAACACTTTCATTTGAACCTACTCATATGGTTAGCTAAATGTCGAGATTATCCATAAGAAAAAAATGTTGAGATTAATCTCAACCAAGAACAAAGTGGGAAAGCATTGATTGTAATGTTTTATGTACAAATCTTACGGGAATAATACTCCACAAAATGACGAATATATTTATCACTACACCGCCAATAAGTAAATATGACCAGTGACAGAGTCAGAAATCTAAACGAGGGGAGCTGAAAATTTGTGTCCAGAGAATTCGAACTGACGAGGAGGGACTAAAGTCTTGCCAATTGCTTCATTTCTCAAATTTTATACCAATTTTACATTTAAAATACGTGATTTTGCGAGTTGAGGAGGGCTATAGCATCCCCTGAGTTTAAGTTGGCTCCGCAGCTGAATATGACGTGTTATCCCATTATTACGAAATCTAATCAATTACTTTTACCACGAGCCATTATTTCAATTTGCATGATCCATTCATCCATTTCTCCCAACAATAAAGGGAGGCAGCAATATGTTGTTGTTTGTCACAAAATCAATCAATTTTTTTCTTTTTTCTTTTTTTCTAGGGTTTGCATTTTCTCCAATTGACAACGAGGGCCATCAATTGAACAATAAATTATAAATGTTCGTGAAACGAATTGGTGAAAGGTCACCAATCAGTTCATATATGCACCTTTTGGTCCTTTTAGTGCTGCCTTAACTTCATTGGCCGACGACGTGTACCAATAAGAATTTATAGGACAGTAACCCATATTGAAGGATTGAGGTGGAGAAGTTGTTGACATGTTTGAGCTTTCTACTTCCTCAATATAAAATATAAAATTAATATATTGAGGCGCCCATTAAAAAATTTTAATTATATTTCGAGTCAAAGACGAAATAACTCGTACATATATATAATTTGATGTCTAATCTTAGTAGTGGATGTAGTATTACTCGGTCATTTACGAAAATTGATGAATCTCATGACTAAATTCATATGTTAAACGATTGTTCGAGAATGTTAATTTTAAATTTTTATTTATTTTCTTAAGTAATAATGTATTGCTAACGAATGAGAATGTTCCGTTCATGATCTACACATTTGGTCTTACAATATCGCGTAAATGAAATAAAGGAAATCCACAAATCCCAATTATTGGGTGAGAATGTCTAATTGTCTACTAATTTGTATACTAGCTGTAGCTGGGCTGCTGGGTGTATCACCACTAACTCGACACAAATAAAGTCTCAAAATTTGATTAATTAACTTCGAATTGGCAGGCAGCTTTCAAGCACTAATCATTACTTGCCACCTTAATCCTCTACACATTTCAAAACTCTGTATGTTTTATATAAGGGTGATATATGTTTATTTTTTTCTATTTGTTGTATAATTTAAGATACTCGAATTTGTGACCTCTAGGTTTAAAACTAGTTGTATTGTCACTAGACCAAACTCTTGTTCGTTACATTTGAGACCTCTGTCATGAGACAAGAATTTGGGTTTAAATCGGATCAAGCCAATTCCGCAACTCTACCCACTGTCACGACCCGGTCATCACCATTCATCGTCCATTACATTGATTTGAATGTATTGATTATTAAGTTAGATCCAAAACTGCAACAACCTCTAATTAACTCACAACGTGAAATAAGAGTAGTGGCTTAAACGAGAGATAAAAAAAAAAAACCTTCAGACATAATTAACCCTAAAACTAAGCAACTCAACAATGGCCAGACCTAGACCTCGGATTCATGAAACAACCGCTAGGTGATGCTTCATCTTTTGGTCAGATTTGGTGTTTGGTTGAGTTTCGCGTCATGTCGTTGGAAAGTTCGTCGGGTCGTTTTGTGTTAGTTTGAGTGGCGTTACTTGTTGAGATGCTTAATTTTAGATGGAAAAAATGAATTAATATTGAAAAAAAAATGTATGACGATTTCATTGTTACTTACTACTGTCATATATCACCATTTGATAAAAAAAAAAAAAAAATGAGAAGTACGTTGACCATTTGGTTACTCTTCCCAAATGTAAGTGACCATTTAATGTAATTAACCCCAGAATTATATCAAACCAATTTACTGCCCAATCCATTTGGGCTCATTTCAAGTCCATGGGCCGAATTTCATTGGACCGGCCATGCGCTTGGGATTTAATATAGGAAGAAAATAAGAAATGCATTGAGTGTCGTTTTGGGCTTAATTCGATTCATAATGATGCTCGTTTAGGGGAAGGCTTTCAATTCTCTGGTCGCAGTTGTTAGGTTTTGGCCTTTGGGCTAATTTGATTGATGCTGGTAAATGTTAATGAAGTTGCCTATTTTTGGCATGGTTTGTGCCTTTGTGGTATAGTTTCAGTTCGTCCTAGTCTTATACATTACACAGTAATATAGGGGATTTTTTTTTTTTGGTAGAGAAGTAATATAGAAAAAATTAGTGTTAGCCCATATGTTTTTTGTTAAATTGTCTATCTATGGTTATTATCCTTTGATTTTGGGATCTTAACATATAAGTGAATTATAGAATGAATCTATTTATTTCGTATGACAAACTATTAACACTGACAAAATTCCAGGTCGATAACGTCTTTGTTGAAAACAAAGTGTGTGTGATAATTGCGCTGCTACGCATCGGGAAATCGCCGAAATCGACAAAGTAAGAAAAACGAAAAACAGAATGCACACGACACACAAGCTCGTTTCACTATATCGAGGAGATTACAGATTACAGAGCAGATGTCGAGTATTTATACTTCTCCATGTGGGTCTGAACTTAATCTAACATGATAAAGGAAACAACTATCGACCCCCGTGAGGTCGTGACTCTCATTCGTAGCGGCTGATAGTCCGAGTCGACACTCGAGAAATGTCAAACCTCTTCGGCCGGTAAGACTTTGTAGTGCGCGAAAGCAATGGCGCCATTTAATAGCTAGCTTAGCTAGCCGCCATTCCTTAGCTCATTCAACTTGTTCTTTTGTTCCTTTTTGCTGCCATTTTGCTCGTAGTCAATGAACAACCTCATCAATACTTCTGTTAGATATGATGAAGTCTGATGCAAAGTATTGGCTTTCTCGCGAATAAAGGGAAGAACGAGTAGCGCGTCGGATTTTGAATTTAGAGATTATGATTTTATTATCGGTAAGAGAAAAAAAAGAACTTATATAGGAATGATAATCGCTCAAATTCATTGGTTATTTTAATCCAATTGTCATTACTCATATGGGTAATGGGTAGCACGCAGATGGACTCATCCACATTTTTAATGGATTTGGGTTTGCGTTGAGTTTAAATTTGGTCGAATTTGGGTTCGAGTATCCAACTCAAATGTTTCTATTTGAGTCGAGATAATTGTACACACGAAAAGACAATATGTCGATATTGATCATCGCACCAATAACACCTTTAATGCATGCCGGTGTTTTCACCTTTTTGCTTGTTTTATAACAAAAAAAAATCGGGAAAAAATCTATTAGAATCGGGTATCCATTTTCTTTTGAATGTCTAATTCATATTCAAACTAAAAAAGGTGATATAAATACTCTGCAAAAGCAAAAATTTCCTAAACCCGATACTAAAATGAATTTGAGCAATACTCGAATATTGAATATTTTTTCATGACACATCTTGTCATTATGACACAATTAAGCGTTTTTGTGTTTACATGACTTAACCAATCATTGAATCACACCCGAATATTGAATATTTTTTCATGACACATCTTGTCATTATGACACAATTAAGCGTTTTTGTGTTTACATGACTTAACCAATCATTGAATCACAATACCCAAATGCAAAAATTTCCTAACCTTATTCCTCTTATCCCATTGGAAACCCATCAAACAAGAAAATAATTTGGTTTCAGCATCTGTTTTCATAATTGGGTTCCTTTGATGGAAATTGGAAGGTGGATGATATCGTCACCGAAAGGATTCCTTTGCTGATTAAGGCTACCACCAACCAAACTCTACAACCTGCTGCTTCATTGGTGCTTTTATCTTTAAACAATTAATTAAGTACTTCATTATGCGTTCCACTATAATCAAAAGTAGTAGGCTGGTGGTTGCTTCGGGGACATCCGATAAAATTGAAACGATACGGAAAAAAGTAGGCTGGCAAATGACGATATCCATTGTAGGCCAAACATGGTGCTACTTTGCTAGTTAGCAATCCGAGTACTTAGTACAAAGATGCTTCTCTTTCCCTCTTTATCATATGTATATGAGTCGTTTGTTTGAGTTATTTGGTAATCGATTCATTTAATGTCAAATGACTCACTTATTAAAAAAATGCGTGAGTCACTTTAACCATACTAAAGTTCAAATTAAATAACTCATCATTTAACTCTTATTTTATCACCATATATATTCTTACATATTTTTTTGTAAACCACTTATATCCTTATAAATAAATAATAAATTCACTCAAGACTCAACCACAAATTTATCTAGTTCAGAGAAATGGAGGAACTGCAAATTTGTTGAATATCTGACCCTAAACTAGGGATGTTGAATCTCAGTTAGATTTTGGCATTTTTCTTTGCTTTTGACTTTCTCTATACGTGCATGCTTGCTGACTTGCTGTAGATGAATCTAGAGCGTTCTGCTGGCTGCGTATATAGACAGCTAAACTTGTAAGTATGTGCTTCTTTCTTATCCTAATAATTAATGTGCCCATTGGCCCTTGTAAGGTCAGATTTAATTAATAATAACAGTGTTGTAATTAATTAATTAATGACTAATTAACAATAGTTTTGGAAAACGACAAGAAAAGCAAGAATCAAAATATTCATTTTCAATTCTCCCTAATCGTCAACGGATATCTAATTATGTAGTTATTATATGAAGTAATAATTGACGATTTGCATCATTTCCATGTTGCTTCAATTTATAGCTAGCCATTGGTTCACTGCAATCATCAAGTTCCCATCGCCGATTTTAGGTTTATTTTAGTATTCTCAAGGTTAAACGGTGAGCTAGAAATTTAAGCGATTCACGATTTTAAAGAAAAGTTATATTGAAATACCTCGTTAATTATTGTCGACTTCATAATAATAATGAGATCTAGTTATGTGCACGAGAACGAGTCATTTGTTAGGTTTAAACAATTCACTAACATTGATTTTTACTTCACGTCTCATCCAATAAGTACTACAACTAAAGTTTTCACAAGTTCTATCTCACTCGTACACCCCCATCATTATACAGGTACTACATGCCCTGCAAACAACGTGACACGGGACACAAGTAATTATTGTCGACGCAATCTTGTTCCATTTCAACCCGTACTGCCTCGATTTTCTCCAATATTCACATTGCATATATTTACACAATTTAAGTTTTTAACCACCTCTATGAAATCATGTAACTCAAATTTAGTCTGTCGGGCCTCTGATTTATCAAAAAATCAAAATAGTTTAGGTTCATTAATTACATCATCCTCTTCCTTAATGATTTACAAAATTACCTTTCGCCAACCAATTCCCCCACAAGTTATAAGCCATTACCCGAATTGAGATATCTATCTGACCCGCCTAGTGATCATCCCTAACTACCAACATTTTTATAATTGTTGTTTGATTAAAGTGAACCAAAAAGACATTTTTGATGACCTTCCATGTGCCCCGGTGAACAAAAAAATAATTGTAACCCAACACATCCCTCAAGTTCGATTCAATCCATCTGTATTTATTACTAAAATTAAGGTTTAAAGGTGGGCAAGAGTTTTCTTTTGTGAAATCCGCTTCTCTTGGGTTTTGGGTTCTGTAACTCGTAAATACTCGACCTAACCCTTTTTGTATCTAAAACGTATTTATGTCATATACAAACATATACGTGAGTGAATTATAATACTTTGTCTAAATTTAATGGAGGCTATAGACTATAGTTCACTTTTTGTGTGTTTTTCTGTGTGTACAATTTTAGAAGAATAAAATTTCATGAATGTGTGTTACTTTATAATGAATAATGTCTATAGCTTATTTTGATAAATATTTATGGATAATACTAGATATATGATGAAACAAATTGCACTCCATCAAGATCCAAATAACCTATTCTATGCATTTTGATGTTTTTTTTCACCTTGATTTATTTGTTTGGAATTTTATTCAGTTATATTATATTAATATTCAGTTGAGTATTTTACTTACAAGTATAGTTTATCCGACCCAATTCAATTATAAACAAATCAATTTTTTTTTATTGAATTAGAATTTAGCACTATAAAAAATATAGTATATAGATTGAATAATTAAAATAACTAAACTCGAAATACAAGTACATTCCTAGCATCTTATATAAAATTACCCACCGTAGATATCATTATTCTTACTAAAAAAATTTAGTCAACCACACTATCATACAAATCCCAAATTCATAATTTGCTTTCCTAATCTGTCAAAATCTTAAATCTCTACCTTCTGCTCTAAAGCAGCCGACATGTCACTTCCTTCTTTCACAATGACTCGCCAGATGTTTGACCAAAACCGAAGTTAACTCTCCCTTTCCCCTGCTCTCCATTTCTCCACCTACAATCTCCTCCCCAAATGAGACAACCTCCGCCGCAATGAACCGCCGCCGCCCCCCGCCGCCCCTCTTTCTCCTCCTCCTCCTCCTCCTCTCGCAGCCAACCTCTGCAATCGACTTCATCTTCAACCAATTCAACTCCACCAACTCGTCCTCCAGCCTCTCCCTCTACGGATCCGCCGCCGTCGAATCTCGAATCCTCACTCTCACCAACTCCACCGCCTTCACCATCGGCCGCGTCCTCTACCCACAAAAAATCCGGACAAAAACACCTAATTCCTCTCATGTCATCTCCTTCTCCACCTCCTTCATCTTCGCCATGGCGCCGTACAAAAACACCCTCCCTGGCCACGGCCTGGTGTTCCTGTTCGTCCCTTTCGCTGGAATCGCGGGGGCTTCCTCTTCTCAGAACCTGGGGTTCCTCAATCGCACCAACGACAACGACCCAAACGCCCACATCTTCGGCGTCGAGTTCGACGTCTTCTCCAACCAGGAGTTCAATGACATCAACGACAATCATGTGGGGATCGATCTCAATTCGCTCACCTCCAGATTCGCTCACGAGGCAGGGTACTGGCCGGATTCCTCCGCCGCCGGTAAATTCGAGCCCCTGAAGCTGAACAACGGCGGGAATTACCAGGTGTGGATCGATTACGCAGAGGGTTCGATGAACGTGACGATGGCGAGAGCAGGGGCGAAGCGGCCGAGGCGGCCGCTGCTGAACGTTTCGGTGGATCTGTCGGAGGTTTTCGAGGACGAGATGTATGTTGGGTTCACTGCTTCCACTGGGAGGTTAGTACAGAGCCACAAGATTCTGGGTTGGAGCTTCAGCAATTCGAATTTCTCCCTGGGGGAGAGCCTGATTACTGCTGGATTGCCGTCGTTCGTGCTTCCGTCGGATTCGATTCTGCAGTCAAAAGGGTTCATCGCCGGGGTAACGGCGGGTAGCATCGTGTTTGTGATTTCCGGTGGTTTGGTTGCTCTGTTTCTAATCAGAAAAACAGGGGCGAAGGAAGACGAGGAAATGGAGGATTGGGAGTTGGAGTACTGGCCGCATAGGATGGCTTACCAGGAAATCGCGGCGGCGACGAAAGGGTTCAGCGAGGAAAACGTGATTGGAATCGGAGGGAATGGTAAAGTCTACAAGGGGATCCTCCCCGCCGGCGGAATCGAGATCGCAGTGAAGAGAATCTCGCCGGAGAACGATGGGACAAGAGAAGTTCTCGCGGAAATCGCCACTTTAGGGAGATTGAAGCACCGGAACTTGGTGGGATTGCGTGGCTGGTGTAAACGGGAAAAGGGAAGCTTTCTTCTGGTCTACGATTACATGGAGAACGGAAGCTTGGACAAATGGATTTTCTCCGACGAGAGGGAGAAGAAGTTCCTGACCTGGGAAGACCGGATTCGGATTCTAAACGACGTCGCTTCGGGGATCCTGTACCTCCACGAAGGATGGGAATCGAAGGTGCTCCATAGAGACATCAAGGCCAGCAACGTTCTGCTCGACAGGGACATGAGCGGGCGGCTCGGGGATTTCGGGCTGGCCCGGTTGCACGAGCACGGTCAGGTAGCCCGAACTACCCGGGTGGTCGGGACGGTCGGGTACCTAGCCCCCGAGGTGGTCAGCACGGGTCGGGCATCAAGTGGAATCGACGTGTTCGGTTTGGGGATCCTGATCTTGGAGGTCGTGTCCGGGAGGAGGCCGGTCGAGGAAGGGAAGCCGATCCTAGTCGAATCCATGCTGGAGGCAATGAAGGAAGGGAAGCTGACCGACTGTGTCGACCCGAGGGTGAGGGATGGAGTCGGGGTAGTTGAGGACGAAGAAGTGGAGAGAGTGGTCCGACTTGGGTTGGTCTGCGCACACCCCGACCCCAGTGCCCGTCCCACGATGAGGCAAGTGGTTAAGCTGTTGAATGGGAAGAATGGTGGTATCGAGGAGGAGAGCGAGGACATGGAGGCGTACTTGCTCCAACGAACGAGGACCGGGACGATGATGCCGATGAGGGATGTGTGGATGAGTCAATACTCGAGCAATTTTGGGTATGTAGGATCGCACCCGACGATGGATGATGTCAGACAGTCGCAATCAACGTCATCGGGGTCATGGACCACGACGACCGTGGAGGCTAGGTGAAAATCTATGGAATGAATGTTCCTTGATGTGTTTGGCCTTGTTGAGAAGATGGGAAGATTTGTGACTTTGGGTTAAGGGGAAATGTGGCAGGTTTTGTGTACAAGGAGAGGGAGCTGCAGCATGGAGTTGGAAGTTAGATTTATTTCCCTTTTATTTGGTTCATTACTTGGTGTGTGATTGATTGATTTTTTTGGGTCATGAGTGAACAAAATGGAAAGATGGAAGAGGTTTCTTCCTGTTGTATTTTACATGTGTATTCTTTTTTTCACGTCATGAGAGTCAAAATGCGGTTGGGGCCTGCAACTTTCCCGTGGTTTAGAGAATGATATTAGAACAATGAGAAATTAATTTCATCAAGCGGGGATAGCTCAGTTGGGAGAGCGTCAGACTGAAGATCTGAAGGTCGCGTGTTCGATCCACGCTCACCGCAATTTTTGTCTAAGGCCCGTTTACAAATTTCTGTCTAGTTTAAGATCATGGGCTTTTGCCATCGCCCACGAAAATGTGGTAAGGCTCGTTTACAACAATTTATCAACAATCGTTTACAAATTTCTGTCTAGTTTAAGATCATGGGCTTTTGCCATCGCCCACGGAAATGTGGTTAGGCCCGTTTACAACAATTTATCAACAATTAGAGTTATGAAAACTAATTGGTTGAGGATGTTAGGAAGAACATGGATAGGTAATTAACATTTTAACAACAATTAGAGTTATGAAAACTAATTAGTTTATGACATGATATCATAGTTTTCCGTAATTGAGATGTTCTTCTAATGATTTCAGCGACTTCATTTCCGAACTAGACTTAGGCTCATACGAGGAGCTTGAGTTCGAGGATGCATGTTAGTAAATGGTGTGAGCTCCGTAATTAACCTTTTCAACAACGCGAGTTATTGGAATCAACTGATTTATTGACAAACATATATTTAAATAAGCAATAATTAAGTCACTGTATCGTTTGGTTTTAACTCAGGAAAGTAATCCATTCCACACCAAGAAATATGTGGATGAAATGATAAGAGTCTCTTTCGTTAATGGATGACATGTGTATTCATTTAGAATTTAGATCTTCCAATAACTTAGGTCATTGATACCAACTGATTCTCGATGTGATACTATTAAAGCCTCTCATCTCGTGTTTACATGTTTCATTCCTCATGACCTTATATATAAACCATTAACGTACACACACAATCCGACGAATTTGTGCAAACTTCAAACCAGTAGCACTTTTAGTATTGCAGCTTTTACTAGCCTTCATAACTTATATGAGAACTGCGCTTTCTGATAATGAATAATCCATCTAGGATTTTGAATCTAATTGACAGCAGGCGACACCGGGTAAGAGAATCGATCTCTCAAATTCACAATACAAGTCCCGGAGTAAAAGTCCATGACCAGAGTAGATGTAGCTGATGAAGGTGAAGCATGACTCTAGAGTTGAAGTAAGCTATTGGAAGTGATGTTTGTGTGAAACACGTATTGGGCTCGAATACGATTTGTTGTATGAGAAGCGTTTCAAGCATTCACCCCAAATACGGAGTCATTTCTTATTCGGTTTATTGAATTAGAGTGGTTAGTTTTATATTTCGTTGTTGTTAGTTTGCCACGTGTCAAGGTGAGCTTAAATTTTAGTTTTATTTTTCGTTGTTGGATCCTCTATCATTGCTTAAGAGTTCCAGGCACTTGAAAACATGCCACGACTAGAACGTTTTGGTTTTTCACTAGAAACTGTCAAGAACCAATTTGTCCCAATAACACGAGATGTTCAGAGAGGTTCAACAATTGATCTTATACCATATTTAACACGTCCTTCAAACAAAGGACTACTCATATGAGCTTGAAATTTGTACGAGCATATTAGACACCATGTTAGGAATCAACTGATTCCAATAACTCGAGTTATTGCGAGCGATCTAGTAATCAATTTTATGCGAAATAGAAAAGGGACAAGTGGCATTATAGACACCAATTGTGACTGCCTAATTTGTATTTTGCTTAACAACCATCTTCTTTGATTAATACTTGACAAATTATGTCTCTGTCACGAACGTGGAACTGAGTAATGATGACTGATATATAACATAATCATCAGTGTATCGTCCTATCCTAATTCTTCAAGAAGAAAATTCCATTGTGAGGGGTTTACCTTGGGAAATCTGATCATTTTGTTAGTTATACTTATACCCACGTGGAGAATGTGAATTGCCAATTCGATCTGAGATTTTACTTCAATATTACGAGAGCAGCCATCCATGTTGAACGGATATACTATAGGGTTCAAGAGTTGGTGAAGGAGCCACATCAATGGAGGGGCTATGACTATACAAAAGTACTAAAAAATTCTGAAGTAAAATTACTAGCCATATTTTAAACAAATGTGTCGCCCAAATCAAAATTCGGCCGTGGTTAACGGTTTTTAGATGAAAATTTTAACAAAAGGTCATTTTGGTCATTTTTCAAAGTACATTAGCATGTTTGATGTATAAAAAAATAGATTATCATATTTGATAAAACGAAGAGAAACATATTATATCTAAAACTCTAATGTCAACTATACTTGAGAAGTTCCTCATAAAATTTTCATATACAAAATATACAATTAAGTAAAATCTCTCGTTTAGCACATGAAATTGACATGCCTCGACCAAACATATTTGAAGATCTCATGTATATCGTGAAAATTTGAAGACAAGATTCAACAACTTTGTATATTCTTTTTTGGGTTTGCAAAATCAGCTAGCTTGTGAAACACAAGTTAAGTCTAACTAATTCAATCGCCCTAATCAAATCACGATTTTTTTTCCCCAACGTGGGCTTCCATGTGCCGGTCGAGTTAGTTCATTAGTGTTTACATTTTTCAATTTATTAATACCCAAGCTTGTTAATTACTTAGGCCAAACTTGCATAAGTTTACTAGTGGTCAATCAATCAATTAATTAAAGATTGTCCTACAAGAGATGCATTACACTATTGGGGTTGTATATTCGGCATTCTCAAATAACATGTTTATCTTTTGTGATAGACTCGCAGTTCATATCAAGGGACCATTTTATTTACTTAGTTATGTTAGGGTTTCATTCCTTTGCTTTCGCGTTCGACCACTTTCAGGAAGTTTTCTCAAGCGAGAGATCCAACTTATTATGGCTTTAAGAGTATTTTCATCAGATGATCACATCCGACTCTACTTTGTGCCATCTCTAAGAGGGTTTTTTTATACATGAAATCTATATATCATCTTCTCATTTCGTTAATGTCTTTTGCTCTTTGAAACTCTCACAGAACTTCCCACACACAATGACACAATAAAAATGGTTATTTCATAAATAATCCATCTTTCATTTTTGGTATTATTTATCTTTCATTAATTAGCCTCGTGTTTCGGCTGTACCGCGTTTGGCATTATTCTCATTTTTCCTCTTACGAGGTTGGAGACTCTCCGGCATGCAGCGCTGCCGCTGAGTCAGCCCCAACGCTGAATTGACTGGAATACCCCTCGCCGGTCCACTTATCTCTTTGCTGTCTCTATCCAGAACCAGAAGTGCCAACATATTCATCAAAACCATTGGCTGGACGCCGCGTTTTGTATCCATTTCCCCGCAAATAACGAGACAATAATAGTAACCAAACAAACAATAAATAGGAAACATACATACGAACGAACGTTTGGTGAGGGACAATGAAGGATAAGAGTTTTTCAAATCGAAATCCAACGGCTGCGATAGCACCTCGTGTCCATCATGATCAGCCACACAAATACATCAGGAAGTTGATCGAGATGAAAGAACTTCCTGATGTATGTTACATTGGCCAGCCCCATCGCGGGGAAGCCGTCGTTGTTCTCGATAACTCGCGTTGTCTTTATCTTCGTTCCTCTTTTGTCTTCTTCTCCCCGCCTTATCGGATACAAATGGAGAAGGGAAACCCACCACTTTAGGTAGTGATGGATTTGATGTCTCACTTTCACATGATGTGGCCACGTGGGATCCTCATGCATAACTTGGAGACTCTTTCAGTCAAGGGGGAATAAAACAAAACGAAAATCTACCCGTTCGTTCGTCCAACTCAAACCGACTCATACGATTGTGTACAAATTTAGATGATTACTATATGAGAATACCCAAATCAGCAGTTCATGAATACAAATGTTTTAGAAATCGTTCCATATAGTCTGGTCCATAAAAAAAAATTGTTTCATATATTCTGGCTGGATCGAAGATATCAGGTATTGGACACCAAATTAATAAACAATTTTAGAGGTATGAAACAATTGAACAACGATTAACCTACGATTTTAGTACAATATTCCATACTACCTGAAAGTCCCATCCTTGCTCCTTGGGACCTGTAGTGACACGAGAAGAAGAAAACCAACTGGCTGTATGGATGGGTTGTCCCTCGCTGCTGCGTTCTATTAGGCTATAGATTACAACTTGTAGGATAAGAAAAATACTTCCTCTCTTTTTCACCTCTTCGAAGGAACAAAGTAGTGAGCCCGAAGGTCAATATAACATCAAGTACAGTTTCAGATGAATATTTGAGCATTATCCACACCACACCACTTGCAGGGGAGGACCCACTTGGGTAAAAAATGATAGTATATGTGTTTTGAATTTATTACACAATAGTTATTACTTATTAGTGAACATTCTTCTATTTAAATACACTTCATTTGTCCTTGAAATTTTTTCATAAATGTAACTATAAATAACGAGTAGCCCTTATCCTCAAATTTTCGAGTGTCTAAAAACTATCCCTTATCTCCACTGTACTCTAACACACAATTATATCCTAAAGAGTTTGGTCACCTTTCTGATTCTTTTCTTATAAAAGATTTTGAGAATTATTTTCATTGTGTTAACAATTATGGGTTATTTTGTGGATTAAAAAGGCACTAATGAACTATTTGAGTTGATGGTGAAGACAAAATCGAATTTATCATATCAATGAGACTATTTGCTTTTTAAGTTTGGGTGACATAAGGAATAAGTTTCATGATCAAATAAGCGATAAGTTTGTGAATGATTCTTTGATTTACAGGCCTGACTGATTTCCAGGATGTAACTATCGTTTGATCTTAGTAATTTAATGAAATATCTTTTGTCAAGAGATATTGAAAAATATATTTATTGGGCACTGTAGACAGAGAGTAACACATTATAAACTTTTGTTTTAACTTATACTAATTGGATATTTTTTATTTTTTATTTAATTTAATTTTTAAAAGGTATTCTTATATAAAATTTCTGAATCCGCCACTAACCAAATGGGCGACCGATTCGAAATTATGCCTTGTTCTTCGACTGATTGAAGTCGAACTAACTGACGTGGATCCTAGCTGTTTCTCAAACCATCCCGACTCGCCACTTCCAATCACATCTCGCCATGTCAGCATCCCCCTCGCGAACAGCATGTGCGCGGCGGGCTGGTTCGGTCAATTATGCCCCTCCCAGTGGGCCCCACTTCCCCCGCCCTCAACACTATATAAAACCCTCAACACATTTATTTATCTTCACCCAAAAGAACTCTCTCATTTCTCATTAATCAGAGTGATTAATCGTTAATCACTTCCAATCCCCTCATTACCAACCTTAATTATAAGATGCCTGGCGCAAGGGTTAGAGTCCCGATTCGGCAGCACGGCTTCATGTACAACAGCAGCCTCGAATCGGCGGCGGCCCAGTCTTCGTCGGCGGGGAGCCCAGCGATCTCCGATGTGGATGATCCTCTGTTCGGGTTCCTCGACGGCGGGAATTACAACAACAGTAGTTACGAGGGATCGTCGCCGGAGAGCGGATACCGGGAGAATCACGACGAAGACGAGGCGACCGATCCGGCGGAAGATGAGGAAGAGATCAGGAGGTTTTGGGAGAACCAACACCAACTACTACAGGTAATTAGTTGATCGGATTAATTAATTGAAGTTAATTGATCTGGATAAGATTGGGAAGGTTAAAATGGTAATTTAATTATTTTTTTGGGTATTGAGTTTTTGTTTTTTGTTTTTATATGCAGGCGACGTTGTGTAGAACGAGCTCGCTGGAAACAGGGATTCGGAACTTGACGAAGGAAGCGGTGAAGGAAATTGAGATGGCCGGAACGATCTGCGGCTGCGGCAGGGTCATGGTCGGCGGCTGCCGGAGTTGCTTGATGGCCGATGTCGCCGGCAGGCTAAGGAACGCCGGTTACAACAGCGGCATTTGCCGGACTAAATGGAGAAGCTCCCCGGATATTCCATCTGGTTAGTAACTTACTAATCATCGAAATTTCCCTGTTTTATTTTTTTCCTCCCCCATTTAAATTGGCATTTGCCTAGTGGTTGGAAATTGGGTTCGATTCTTCGGTTAAACCCAAATCGACCAGATAAAAATTAGATACGTTTTGATTTTTTTGTCCAAATTGGTTTGTATTTTAACGATTTCAGTTTACATGAAAATCGATAGGAAATCAAAATCGAACCAGAGTCTTGATCGAATCGAAACTATTACAAAGAGAGGGGTTTCATTTTCGGTTTGTCCATCCAAAATTGATAAGAGAGGCTTATCGAGTTTCGGTCAATCGAAAATCGAGCCCTTTACCCTATTCAATTTTGGTTTGAAAAGACAGTCTATTTTAATATTTGATGGTTTCGCGCTTCAATCAATCGAATCTATCACACCCTTACATTTGTTGAACTATTTATCGATTGCCGCACATAATTACTTGGTGCTTTTTAATTATCTATTGACATAAAAAATTTGCATAATTAATTTAATTACCTAAATTCCAATTCATTTTATTGACAAATTCCAACAGGAGAGCACACATTTTTGGACGTGATCGACACCACGAGCTCGAAGAGGGGAGAAGTGAGGGTGATCATCGAGCTCAACTTCCGGGCCGAGTTCGAGATGGCGAAGGCGAGCGACGAGTACGGCCGGCTCGTCCGCCGGCTGCCGGAAATCTTCGTCGGGAAAATCGAGAGGCTCGCCAGCGTGATAAAGATACTGTGTACGGCGGCGAAGAAGTGCCTGAGCGAGAAGAAGATGCACATGGGTCCGTGGCGGAAGCACCGTTACATGCAGGCCAAATGGCTGGGGACTTGTCGCGACAGGAAGACGCCGTCGCTAATGAGTTCCTCGCCGTCGTCGTCGGGTAGTGATTTTGCGGCGGCGGCGGGGTGCATGGGGAGGCGGAAGGCGCGGTCGTCGATGCTGACGGTGGATTTGCTGGACATGTTGCCCAATATGCACTGCACCGCCGTGGGAGTCATGTGATTGATTTTGTTTTTTTTTTTAATCTTAAAAGCCAGTGATAATTATGGGTTTGGTTGAGAGAGATGAATATATAGCGGAGTTTTCTTTGTCTTCTAGTTCAAAAGTGTTGGTGTAATATATTGTAAAAGGGTTTGAAGAATATAATGGCCTAGAATTCAAAAGCATCGTCTTTTTTTTTTTTTTTTTTTTAGTGTTGAAACATATCTATCGTGGACAATTTGATCACAAAAATCTTCTACTAAAAGTTAAATCAATATATAAAATATTATACTTTTGATTTTTTTCAATACCATTTTAATACGATTTTACAATTCGTAATATTTTATATTCATTGTTGGATCAAGAGTGGCAAAAAGGGATAGATAGACCTAACATGCTATACGTTTTCCTCGACCTTAAATAAAAATATAATGCTAGGGTTTGATTTGTCCTCGTCGTCATAACCAGCTAGATAGTTTGCATTTTTCCCCCCCGATAAGTAGTTTGCATGTTTAGTATTGACTAGTTGAACCCTTTTTTTGTGTAATTAGAGCAGGCATTAGTTGTCCTAGAGGAGGTCTTGGGGAGGAGGACCTCAACCAACTCCTCCGTCAGTCTTTGATATTCCCTGCGAATAACCTGGTCCGGATGCACTCCTGTTTTCACTTTTCTTTCAACTCCGCTTGGTGATCGCTCATGGCTAAAATAGGTTGGTCCAGAGCAATGACTACGCCTTCCCCATTTAAAAAAGCGACCATTTTGGATCATTTGGGCCAGTATGTAGCGGCCCATATTAATTTGGGCTGGACTCCTCTCCAGGTTCCCTACTGCCGAAACTTGGGCCGTCTTCCAGCAGGAATGGAGAGTGGGGTGAAACTATAACCTGAATGTTACGGCAAGCAACACCCACACCTTTTTGCTTCCTTGAGGGACAAGCGTGATTCAGAAACCGTCATGCAAAAGCAAACCGTACGTACGTAGACAACAATAAAAGGTATTGAATCAGATGCATGCATAGAAAGGATAGCAAAACTGTTCCGAGTAGTAGGTTGTATCAGAAAGGTATGTGGGTTTAAATTATAGGTTAATCGTGATTCAACCATTTTATATCGCTAAAATCATCGATTTTGTTTCTGATAGGAGATTTTATCGATCGGACTGTCTGTGTGGCGCTGTACGTACCATATGCTTTACAAACACTAATGCATAGTAACTAGTAAGGTTTGTGCTTGCCAAAAATTTTACTCGCGAGTAATGTAACCTGTTAATGGCCTAGTGGTACCAATATTAAAATCTAAAAAGAAATTCTCAAAATTGTAGTCAAAGAAATAGTTATACATATGTTGTTTATTCATTCATTGCAAATTATAATAATGTGATCCCAAGAACATTATGAAACTTGCCGTTTTATTTTATGGATTTATAAATGGTAAACGGAAAACGACAACGATTAATAGATTTGTCACGACTGTTTTTCTGTGGATCGGGAAAATTGGATGATTCGACAATGCAAGAAAATGAAAGCACAAACACAACACATTACGCGATTTACGTGGTTCACTAACACGATGTGTGTTAGCTAGTCCACGGGCAGGAGATAGCCAGTTTCACTATACTTCGAGGAGATACAGATTACAAAGGAGTATGAGAAGTATTTATAGTACTTCTCCTAGGTCTCACTCTCACCCTAATCAAACCTGGTAAAGGAAAAACCGTTACAACCAGGTCAAGATATTGAACCCAAATAACATTGAGCCCATACAGTGTAAAACGGGACTTGCAGTCGTAAAGGTTGATAGTCCGATTCAAGTCACATCAATGAGACTTTATAGTTTATACTACTACTACTAACCTGGCGAGTATCTAAAAGGAAAGCCGAATTCCCATAGTTCCCAAGATCCAAATATGCCGAGTATTTGCAGCCGTGTGATTTGATCCGGTCGTTGCCAACAGAACCGAGATCGTTGATATTACAGAGCGAAGAAAAAACTGTGATTTTCGGATCCAAAATTCATTAAGGTAGACGTAAGATAAAATATTCTAAATGGATTCAAAATTATGTTGAATCAAACACGTATTTTAGTTTTGTTCCGATTCCATATTTACTTTTGAAATCGCGATACATGCTTTTTCAATTTAATCTGATTATAAACCAAATCAACATACACGTTCTTACGTAACAAGAAAAATTAATTCACCGAATGTCATATTTTGGAGAGTCACCAATTCAAAATTACGCGAAACTCACTTTTAGTGGTCAAACTAATGCTCCCTCAATGAGATGAAAATTTGGAATTGGTTTTACCTCTCATTGGAGAGTTGATCATCTTTGATTAACATTTTTTTTAATGAGAGTGTCGTGACTGACCAAACAAATCCGAATCGGTAAATACAAAAAATAACTGAAAACAACAAAAGGGAAAGGACGAGGGAGGAATCCTTCCACAACCAAACGGCACAAGGAAAGATCCGTCCGTGACGGGACCGTACCACTTCACCGCCGTGAACCCTTCCCGGCCGGCACTTCATATAAAACCTTCCTCTGCGCTCCGGCGCCGCCGACTCCACCACCATGAAATGAATCTAACGGCCGTACTCTGTTATTTCTACCTCCACGCAAACACAAATAAAAAAATAAAAAAATAAACAATTACAAAACGAAAATGGAAAAATTCCCCTCCTCACAAGAAGCAAAAAGACCAAAAAGGCCTCCAAGGAAAGGCCAGGGGCATCCCTTTCATTCATTCTCTTCACCTCTCTCCCACACAAAAAGGAATTGAATTATAATGTCTCTCACCCATGTTTTCATGCCTTTGTCCCACCTTTAAGGTGAAGCATTAATACCACCACACTCCTTAATTTATTTACTTTTTCCTAATTACAAATTATAATAAGGGGAAAAAAATACCATGCTCATCCATTGGTCTTGATGTAATTTGGACCCAAAATACTATAATCTTGTAACATTCTATGTGGATAGACATCCAAGAACGCATTATATATCAGCCACGATAATAAATATAGTATGCAACATTAATAACAAGTAAAATGCATAGATGTCCAGTGTCTCCGATGATTAGATAAAATTGCAAGAAAGTTATCATGGTAAAGATAAAGACGATAACCACATCTCATATCCAACGAGAACATTTGACAAGTGGTCGTTGCGCATTAATGTGGTCATAATGTGATCGATCATATTGATTAGTTAGATAAGACGACGTTTCATTAAATCCGTGCGTGGCTATTGTGTGTGTGGGGGGGGGGGGGGGGGGGGGGGGAGGGTGATCCCCTATAATATTCACGACACGTGCATAGGCAAAACGAGAGATGTAACCGGAACTCACTCAAACGTTCACCAACGCCTTTCATACCCTCTAATACTATACTAGTATATTTTATTTCAACACTTAACGATACCTTGATTGGAAACATATGGTGAGACTATTCTGCAAGTTATTTGGATCCGCTAAAAGCATTCATGGTATATCGACGGAGCAGAGAACATTAAGAAACCCAAACCAAACCTTATAGAAATAAATGGGCTTAGGGTTTTAAGATTTAGTTGTGACTGGTGATGCTCGACATATATAGATACATACGAGTGAGCGGATGCTTTTTCAGTTGCCGTCTTAGCTCCCTTTTCACAGTTCAGTGCATGTGTTAATGGAATTAGGAGATACTCATGTGTCATACCCACAAAACTTTTTGGCCCAAAATTAACGAAAACCAGTATTAATTAATTCTTTTCCTATATAATATGTCAATATTAGTTATTTTAGCATATTTGTTGGAGGGGCAATTAGGAAAAAAAAATCCCCAAAATTGTGTGTATTCGTTTACTGAGAGGTGGGATCTTCCAGGCTTCTATCGCAGGAGCCAATTTGACTTTTGAGAAAGCCAAACGGAGAGAAGAGGATGAAAAATGGCGAGGAAAAATCAAGCTTTTGTCTTGATTGATAGGGTATTACAAAATTTTCCTTCCTGATTCCGCCTCCCTTTTCCCCTTCTTTATAATGGCCTTGGTTGAGTTTCTGGGTATTCCAGTGTAGATCGAATTCTTCAATTCCCCCAACAATGGATTCTCCCTCCAACGTTTCTCTTCATTGCTGCTAACCCTTTTCAGCTCCCCTCTCCCTCTTTAATGGGTTGCAGAAAATTTACTCTCTTGGCTTTCCCCAACCACTTTTTCGAATCCAGCCCTTCTCCTCCTTCCGCCGCCGTGCAGACGGCGGAGTTGTAACGAATCGGCGACTTTTTGAGAGCAGGGAAAAAAAAAAAGAAAAAAGAAGCAACCACGGAAGAGAAGGCAGAAGAAGAATCGGCAATGGAGGAAACGAATTCCTCCTGGCTACGGCGGACGAAATACTCCCACACGGTGTGCCATCGCTTCGACAAGTCGCAGCTGGCGTCGTACCGTTTCGACGTCGAGCAAGAGCGGCAGCTGCGGGGGACGAGGTCGCTAAATGGGTTAGCGTCTGCCGTGGAGAAATCGATATTCGCTTTTGATCAGAAGTTAGTTTCCAAGCCCAATTGGGATTCTAATCGGCGGGGTTCTGTTTCTGGTTCTATTTCGATTTCTCCCCCTTCCCCAATTTCCCCTCCGGCGTCAAATCGCCGGGTTTACTCCCAGATTCAGCGCAATCCGGTGATGAACAAGCAGAGATCTATGTCGCCGGTGCCGCAGACTTCCGTCCCGGAGTCATTCAAGGAAGCCAGGTCAGACAAGAGGCGGTATTCGACCCCTCACCCTAGGCGGAGGAAGGATCACCAGGAGAGTAAAGGAATCATGGGGAAATTGTGGCACCACAGCCACAGCCACAAGCAGCAGCAGCAATCTCACGAAGCTAAGCCCGTCGAATCGAAATCGTTGGAATTGAACAAGAGCGACAATGACAACGCTAGCCCAATTCACCACCTGAATTCTGTCAAGGGTAAGCAGTCGGCATGGACGAAGTTCTTTGACCACGCCGGAGGGAGAGTCAACGCGGTGGAAGCTGCAGATGAGTTCAGCGTCGATATGTCGAAGCTTTTCTTAGGCCTGAAATTTGCTCATGGAGCTCATAGCAGGTTGTACCATGGGTTGTACAACGACGAGCCTGTTGCAGTGAAGATTATCAGAGAACCAGATGATGACGAAAATGGAGCACTAGCAGTTCGATTGAAGAGCCAGTTTGACAGGGAGGTTACCCTCTTGTCCAGGCTCCGCCATTCTAATGTCATTAGGGTAAGTAAAGCTCTATATTCATGAAATTGGGATTCTGGGTACCATGTAATTCTGATTGATTCATTTGGTGCACTAAACAGTTTGTGGCAGCTTGCAAGAAGCCTCCAGTTTATTGTGTTATAACCGAGTATCTATCAGAGGGATCGTTGAGGGCATACTTGCACAAGCTAGAGGAGAAGTCTCTGGCTATGGAGAAGCTAATAGGTTTTGCATTGGACATAGCTCGAGGGATGGAGTACATTCACTCGCGTGGTGTAATACATCGTGATCTAAAGCCGGAGAACATCCTCATCGACGAAAATTTCCATTTGAAGATTGCTGATTTTGGTATAGCTTGTGAGGAAGCTTACTGTGATCTGTTGGTTGATGACCCTGGTACATATAGATGGATGGCGCCCGAGATGATCAAGAAGAAATCATATGGTCGGAAGGTCGATGTTTATGGTTTTGGGTTGATGCTATGGGAAATGGTTGCGGGAACTATTCCATATGAGGAGATGAATCCCATTCAAGCTGCTTTTGCAGTGGTTAACAAGGTACGACTCTGGATTTTTGTTATGTATTTTTCATATGCTTTTTTCTTGTGTCATGTTGAATTGATGGATTGTTTGATGGAAAGATTCAAACTCTATTTTCACGGGAGGGTTGTTTATGGGAATGACTTGACAAAAATAAATATTTGAGAAGCTTTAATGATCATTAATGAATCACAACTTTTATGGTCCTCTCAAATTTTCGTGAGGGATAAGAATGGGAATGAAAGTCTATACGTTGCCACAAATATAATGTTTTCAATAATTTGGGCAAAACAATAGTGTCTTCGATAATTTGAACAAAACCCCTTAAGTTTATCCATCCCTTTGTGAAATAATTTCTTGTTTTCCAGAATATGAGGCCAGTGATTCCAACAGATTGTCCTCCGGCTATGAAAGCCTTGATTGAGCAATGCTGGAGCTTGCAATCGGAGAAGAGGCCAGAGTTTTGGCAAGTGGTAAGGGTGTTGGAGCAATTCCAGATGTCGTTTTCTCGGGATGGGAATCTGAATCTAGTTCAGAATCCAAGTTGCCATGATCACAAGAAGGGACTTCTTCATTGGATTCAAAAGCTTGGCCCTGTGCATCCTAATAGTTCCCCCACCCCTAAACCCAAGTTCATGTGAATGGAAGAATACTTTTCTCTCTATTTAAATGTCCCAACTAGTTTTTTTGGTAGTGGGTTCCTGCCTTCTGGTCACTTGTAATTAGAAAACAAAGCAGGGAAGAAGGAAAAAGAAAATGATAATTTCTCTTTTTTCCTTTTCTCTATTCCATTTGTGCAATCCACACTGAGATGAGAATTTGAATGGAAAAAATAGTCTTGCTTGGGTGTATGGGTGTATAGCTCAAAAGGTACATTCTTTGCCCGTATTTTAGATTGTTTTGTCCTGTAGCTTATTAATTCATTTCTAGTTGTGAGTTCTCTTAGATTTTGTGATTATATGAGATATTTTCTTTCACAAGTATGTGGTGATGTCCCTTGAGTCAAATCTATTACAACCACTAACTACATTGTTTTGAAGGAGTTTTTTTTTTGCTTCCTTAGAAGGTTCTTGCTTGTGTTTTGTTTTTGGTTGGCTAAGTTTCTTTGTAATGAGTTGGTAGGTTTGACACATGTTTAATAGGGACTGTTTGGGAATTATTATTATGGGATAAAAACTTGTACAATTGCAACTGTTATGTAAGTTTGTAGTGCCATGAGCCCATGACTGATGTGGAGCAAAGAATGCAAAGTGGGTTCATTCGATGTTTCCCTGGTTTTGTTGAGCATTCCTTGGTTTTATTTGAGAGATCACTGTTTATGACATTCGAGTGTGAGTTTCCCTTTTGCTTTAGTTTGATAAAAAATATCCAAGAGGCAAAAGTATCTTGTAGAAGAAAACATTAATTGCTTCTACAAAAGGTTTGGTTTGTTATGTATAAAGAATGTGGCTTTTCCTAAGAGGCAAAAGTATAGGGAAGAAGATAGGACTAATTATTTCGATCTACGTTTGGTTTCCTTCAATATCTCATTAAAAAGTAAAAAAAATGTTCAATATCTGACAATTTATTTTACACAAAGCATCGATTTTTGTATAGAAGAGAATTTTTAAATTCTAGTTATTAAGTTTTTTTTCATGGAAATATTATGAGGGTTGTATTTGCTCATGCAATAGAATCATGTAAATGTGTAACACAATTTGTATGTTCATAGGGACGGTTGTGTTTTATGAGTTAGGAATAGGCTCATGCACTACATCATTGTCCATAGATAAATACTATTTCTGTGTGTTTGGTCGGTTAAAAAAAAAATTATTCACTTATATTAATTAATTTAGAATTATTATTAACATAACTAGATATCTTATCACCCTAAATACTTTGCATAAGGTATCTCAATCACCACATTCACCTTTCAATTATCGTCCAACTTAAACTATTATGCATGACCAAGAATTCCGAACCTTGCACAATCCATACGTTATTGTTGTAACCCTAAACACGTTGCATAAGAGATCTCAAACAACACATTCGACGCTAATCAGTTATCGTCAAACTTGCACTACTACACACGCCCAAGAACTCCAAACCTTACGTAATCCTTATATTATTCTTGCGGTCACTAAAACATCCATGATTTGTGTAAACAACGTGGCTCTATTGAGTCTTCATGGCTGCCACACTCTAGAAATAGGTTATCTATTGAAATCAGAGGTCATGAACTGTTCATTTGCAGTCACTTAATTATGTAGTTTTTTAAAATGGAATTATTGAGGGAAGAGGATTAGGAACTGGTAACTTTTTTTTTTTTTTGTTAGTAAACGTTATCCTGTGGGCTGTGGGATTAGGTGTCATGAGACAAATACTCCAATTATTTCAATTTTCTGTTTTGGAAAAATGATGACAACATTTGAATTAATTAGTGCCAGATGCCATGAAACTGAAACATCAGCTGATAGGAGTATGTTTTTTTTTTTTTTGACAAGAGCTGATAGGAGTATGTGAAGGGGGGAAATTGGTGGCCCAAACTTGTTGATGTAAAATTTTGTCTTCTTTGTCTGTTTTCTAATTAGTGATGAGGAAGAAGAGGGTGTCTAGTCGGTTGGATTGTTCTGCTTTTTTTTAATCAATGTTTAAAAAATGTTTGCAAAATTATATTTTGTTGCAATTTTTTTTTTATAATAACATGTTACAAGGTGCTATTTGAGGGGAAAGAGTAAGTGTCGCCATTGGGTATTAATACACGATCTTACAATGAGAAGTGTGTCGACTCACTCATTAGGCTGGTCATGTTCGTTTTTTGCTGTACATTTAAGTGGTGCTCTGTTGCTCCAAAGTAGGGGTGCTCTTGCGTGTGTTTATTCTTCTTCTTTTTTGTATGGGTTGGTTGTTTTTCTTTGACAATGCAAACATTCATGTGGTGGTATTCATTTTGTCGGCTTGCTGAGAATGGCGCATTGTTGTTCGGTTTCGGAAACATTTTTCAAGTTCGTTGGCGCATAAAATTGCAGCAAATGACCCTAGATTTTGTCTCGCTCCACCATCATAAAATGTTGTGTGTTACTGGGTAATAAAAAAATATGTCATTTACTTACAATTTAAAATTTAAAAATCACGATGTATTTCAAAACTTAAATTTTCATATTTAGGCAAACGACCTCAAAAAGAGAAAATTCGGAAAGGTTGTTAGTAATTTCGACTTTCGAGTTTGGATAGTTTTGGAAACCTACTGTGAAGCAAATTAGTGGACTCAATAAACCAATGCTTTGCAATAAAGCCCACTGTAGAGCTGGACCTTACTGCATTTAGGCTGGATTTCGATGTATGCTGGTGGTAGCCCACGAAGAATCACTATCTTCAGTGGCGTTGTTCCATTGGGCCTTCCTGAACAACCGATAAGATAATTGGTATCCAAAATCTTGGTTAGCCATGTTTAAAGGATCATTTAGACGAGGGAATGCATAATCGTGAAATTTATATTAAAATCTTTCGATATTAAATTTGAATATCTTAAGCGTGGGATTTGGCGGAAATAACTTGTTTAGGGATGGATGAAGAATTTTAATAAAAAAATTAAAATTTTACCAATCCCCTTCTACACATATGCGTTTGTTTCTTCTTCTTCTTCCCTTTCCTTTGCGGTTTGTGTTCGATCTTCACTATCTTGAACCAAGAAAAAACTACAATCAATCGGATCTGGAGGGAAGCTGGTGCAGGAATCGATCGAATTTTGGTTCCTCCGCATCGGCGGCACTGCTAGCCCTCCCGCACCAGCGCTCTGTTCCTGCTGATTCAAAATATGAAACCTAATATCGTTAGGTATAATTTTGGGAAGTTTTCACCGATAACGCTTTCTTCTTGCTCTCCATCCCTACTGGACGTTGCTCGACCGATGCGTTCGCAATGGAGTCGTTGTCGTTAGTGGGAAGAAGGGATGCAACTGGACTTGTCATCTAACAACGCCACATGTATAATTGTTTTCTTTTTCATTTTTTTAATCTATAACTATTTTATTTTTCGTCGAATAACTTTATAATCTTTCAATTGAAAAAGTGCCCGGTTAGATTTAAAATAGTTGATGAGACTCACATTAGAAACTGCTAATTTTTTTTTAGAGATGTTGAGGACTAAAATTTGCAAAGTGAAAAATTACTAAAATTGATGATGTGGATGTAGAGACCATATTTAGAAACTACTAATAAGTTTTAGGGATGAAAGATGGTCTTACATACAAGTACTAATACCACAATCATAATTGTCTCCTCGATAACACTTATTTAGAAATCGAAACTAATTGAAAAGGTTTACCACTTTAAAATTGTAGTTAGCTTAGACTAATTAATCGGCCTAATTGTTTTGAAAAAATCTGGAAAGGGACAAGCTTCCATTTCTCACTTTAAACAACTATACCTCTTTGTTTCTTATAAGAAAAACAACTATACCTATTAGGGAAATCATTGTTGTTGGGGATTTTGGGGTTCCCTACTTGGCTTTACCTTCAATCCATGGTGCTCCCACAAAAGAGGCGTTCTACGACTTTAACTTCTTTTTTCATGTCATGGCAGATTTTATAACATGGACGTGGAGAGTTAGATTCTGGTACTGATAAACTCTTGGTGGTTTGGATTGATCAATTTAGAAATGAGTCAACTTGATCAATTGTCTCGTTTTATAAACAAGGCAATTAAAATGAGTCAATTCGAATTACTTGCCCCACCCCAGGTAATTGAAATTGACTCAAAACAGATCAATTCAAAATACCTCAGGCAGATTGATCCATCCAATTTTTTTGCTGGCAAACGAGGCAATTTGGTACAATTGTCTCAAAACGAGGCAATTGTGTCAAATTGATCCGTTACAGTTCCTCATCCAAACGACCTTTAGTTCAAGTTCGTGGAGTGACAATTCAAAAAGTTCATGGCAATAAAATTTCAAAATGTTCATCCTATTGCGTACGGGATTGAGCTTGCATATTTCGTTATGTCGTGGATTTCTAATTTATTCGTCGTGTATTGTAGTAGAATTGTTCATTTCGTAACAAAACAAGCCTTATTAGTTATTAACAAAGGCTTGTTTACTAGTGGACTTCCACGGTTTTCCATGATCCAAAAAAAAAGTTAAATGAGTAAACTCATTAAGGATCCAGCCGCGTTCATGAAGTTCATAACGAAGTCCCTTAGATAAAAGATAATTGAGAACCAAACTTGTGGACTCAAACTTGTGTTATGTCCAATTTTGCTCTAGGCTAATTAGAAAGTCCGAGTGTAAAAAAAATCCCCATCTCGTCGGTAAATACTCAAAATCAATGGATGACCCAAAAATTATAATGTATTTGTAAGACTCTTCTACGCATCAAATTGACGATCGAATTTTGTTCCCACTTATTATGGCCTCTGCTTTTGTTTTATTAATCTCCTCCACACATCAAAATATCATTAGATAGACCTAAAATTATTCAAAATTAATCAAACAAGCTTTGGAACCGTTTGAATAATTGATGTGAAATATGTTTTGTTGAATTGTCTAAATTCTAAAACAACTAATGGCTAGTAAAATGCGTCTTATTGTACTTTTCTTTTGCTTTATATCACCATCAACTCATGCAATCTTCGAAGATTACATGAAGAGGTCTTCTCTTTTTTGAGCTTGAAGATGAAGAAAAAAGGACAGGAAGGGTCTTTGTTCTGTCGCTAATGATTTGTTTGTGTTTGTTCTATTAAGAGACTGCAATTAGTTTTGGAGGGTTGTTATGCTAATAAAGAGAATAAAATTTGGTGTCTATCTCGAGACTCCTTTCAATTAATGCACGTGTGTCAGAGAGGTAGGAATAAACATTTTTATTATTTCTGAGTGATATCAATGGAAAATAATAGTTAAGCTTACAATTCTACTCAGGACCCCTAAAATACTCTAAAGAAGCCACCCCAAAAATCAAAAGATTCTAGCTCTATACGAGACAAAAGCAGTGCTTTACGCGCCACTCTATGGGCAGCACTGAAGGCGGATCTAGGTACCGCCCTAAACTCTATACAAACAGACAAAGAGCTAAGGATCAAAAGACACTCTCGTAACACCGGACCACCAATCAAGTCTTCTAAGACGCCTTGACGGACTTGGTTGACGACCACTTCGGAGTCACCTTCGACTAACTCGTGGGCCAAGCAATATCCCTTGATGTTGCAACCCGAACGCCAACATCACATGCCCGTCTGACCCACGGATAATAAGCTCATACGAACACCCGGAGGCACAAACAGCTGCGTCGACGTTGATCTTCAAAAAGCCTTCTGGTGGAGAGACCCAAGTGGTGGCAGGAAGGATTCGGAGTAGAGAGCGGCGGGGAGGAGGGGGAAGAATTTTTCAATACTGAATTCGAGTATTTTTCAATATTGAATTCGAGTTTTAAGTAGATGAAAGACCAGTGACGGAATGAGAAATCTAAATGAGTTGGTTAAAATTTGCGTTTAATGAATTTGAACCAAGAAGAGGGCTAAATGCTTCCACTTACTCTATTCTCGAAATTTGTTATAAAAATTATATGTAAATTTACATAATTTTGAGAGCTGAGAGGGCTATAGCTCCTCCTATCAATAACATGATCCTGCCACTATGAAAGACCGACAGAGTTGACAACATATCATCACGACAATGAAATTTGCACAAATTGATCAGAACTCATGTACATATTAATTATTATATCTTCTACATCCAGAGAATTCGAATACAAAATTCTATAAGTCAAAACCTCTAATACGATCTACGAATTATCAAGGATTAACAGCTATGATCATATATATATTTCCTCTTTTTGAACCTTCGGGCTCTTACTAATCAACCCCAGTCTTATGATTTCAATCGGCATCTAAAGAATAAATCAATGTTTCTTTTCTTTGCTCTAATTATCCTTAACCCTAGGCATAATATTATATTGCTCCTCTTGCTAGTTACGATGTTGCTTTACCCATTTTGTTGTCTTTCAGTTGACCTATGATGGAAACCATGTAGTCTAGACATCAATAAGAACTTAGCCTATAGCAAGAGAACTAAGGAGAATTCATGAGTGATTAAACACATATTCTAGACAAACAATACATCATTGAGTGGTCTATGCAATTAGATAGGGTTTGATGAATATTATACAAAGGCATATACGGGATGACACTACTACGTACTCGCATCCGAGTTGAAATCGTTGATCAGATCATTTGTCTTTCGAAAGCATGCCCACAACACAAACAACTATACGAACATATCTAGAGTGGCGGAGCGCCGGAGCCACAATGATGGCAAGCGAGGCTAGCTATAACCCCTCTTAGCCAATTCAGATTCTTTCAGGTTAGATTTTAGTCCCACTCGTTCAGATTTATACTTCCAACCTAGACTGACCGTAACGAGTCAGAATTAGGACCCAATACGGAGGATAAGCCAATCCACTTCTCCAAAGAGCAATCCATCATAATCTTGATTATGTTTTTGTGGGTAATTACTTCACTCCCTTCATATTTATGGTCAATGAACTCCCACGTCAAGCAAAGCTTTTATCAAGTTTGTGAATGTAGCTAAGGCAAAATACACAAAGAGACCCACCTCCCTTCAAATCATTCTTTATCTCAGCAGCATCTAATCATTTGATATTGTTTTCCCCCCTCCCTTTTCCTTTCTTTCTTCTTCCATCCCCACGATAAAAAGGAAACGAACCCTTCCTTCAGTTTCCCCTCCTCCATCTTCTTCCAACACTACTCTGTTCTTGAGCCAGAGCACAGAGACCATGGAGAAGAACATTAACCCAGCTGGTGCAAGTTCGTCGGCAACAAGAGCCGCCGACAGGAAAACCATCGAGAGGAACCGAAGGAACCAAATGAAAGAGCTCTACTCCCAGCTCTGCTCTCTCCTCCCGCCACGCCAAACTACTCGGGTATGCCATTTTTTTTTTCCTCCTTCCATTCTTCTTTCCTCTGTCCGATTTTCGCCCGGCGAATGGTATATGATTCATAATTGAAACCTCTCCTACCAATTTGAATTATTGAAACTAATTGGTATGTGACATGATATCATAGTTCTGTTAAGCACTTGGTATCCGGACCTGTGCAAACTTCAAACATATATGAGTGGTTTTTTTTTTCTTCGAGGGGACATGTTTGCAAAATGATATAAGATCCATAGTTGAACATTTTTTTTAACAACTCGAGCCATTGATACTAACTGATTCTTAATATCGTGTCCTCTGGTTGTTCAGTTTGTGTTGATATGACTTAAAAATGAATTTATATCCGTAAAAACTAGAAAGTACTATATATGCTTTCTCAATGTTTGTCTCAATAATGAAGTTGGTATTTCTAAATATAGACATTGGTAACACACATTGTATTAGTTAATCGCGTAAATCTGTTCAATTTCCCATTCCGTTTTGGACATTTTCTATAACTCAAACAGGAGCCGATGTCGCTGCCGGACCAGCTGGACGCGGCGGCCAAGTACATCAAGAAGTTGCAGACGAATGTGGTGCGGATGAAGGAGAGGAAGGACAGTCTGGTCGCGAGGAATAGCGGACACGTCCACCGGCGGAATGGCGGCGGCGACGGTGGCGGTGTGAATCGGCGGCTGCCGCGGGTTGAGGTCAGGGTGTTCGGTTCGGCCCTGGAGGTTGTTTTGGTGACCGAGTCGGATTCGTCGCCGTCGGTGTTCCATGAGATGATCCGAGGGATCGAGGAGGAAGGTGGCGAGGTCGTGAATGCTAGCTTCTCTGTTGCAGAGGATTTGGTTTTCCATACCATACACTCTAAGGTATTTAAGGTCATGATTATCTCAAACTTTCTCAATATTTAGACAAATTCATGGGTCTACTCTGCAATTTTTGTTTCCAAAAAAGTTCGAGATTATTTTAATACTACTTATTTATGAATACTCGACGAATTTACTGGAGTCGGGGATTAGAACTTACACCATTGTCGGTTGCCTTAAAAAAAATCTCGATAACCTACATAATTATTTAAAATGGAAGCATATTATATCTTAATGATTGAAAAAAATATATATTAACAAGGTTGTTAAGAGAAGTTATATTATATTTACTAAAGTAGGTTTGGAAAATTTTCAATTATTTTGTGGGTTTTCAAGTAATTTCCGATGAAATTTTTGTAGGTTGGAGATGGCAATGGGGCAGGGTGTGGAGCGACAGTGGGAAAGATATCCGCGAGGTTAAAGAAGTTTATAGAGGAGTATGAATGATATGTAGTTCTATTTGAAAGTTGTGTTCTTTTGAGGACTAGCATATATAGAGATGGCTAGCTAGCTAGAGGAGGATTTCAGCTGCTCTCGATGTGTTTGGTTATCTAATTAGTGTTTAGATCATGCATGCTATTTGAATTTCATAAGTGGTTGACAATTCAATATGAGTATCAGCTCTGGAAGGAAACCAATAGAAGACATGATACCAATTGAAAGTTTCTTCATTGGTATCTAGCTAGGCTATTATAATTCTTTTGTTATGGAAAATATCATGATGTATTGATTTCTACTTATATGCAATGTTAATTCTGGAATTTCCAATTAAAACATGTTGATTGATTGTTGATCATAATCGCTATCATCTTCAAGTCAACCCGAATTCAGAATACTCGTTCACTGAAAAATTATAAAAACAAAGAGGTGGCGAAACCTAAACTTCATTAGTGTGAACATGTAATCCCTTTTCCTCATGCATGGCAACGAGTAGTGGGAAAGAGAGATCATAATACTAAGAAAGAAGAACTTTTTTAAGATTCGTTAACTCGAATTAGCCCCCTTTTTCCTTTGGAATAATGAATGATTAAGGAGACACTAACTACGCAATTAGCTAGAAGACCAACGACGTCACTTTGATGACGAAGGACCATAGATGTAATGCAAATTGCCAAATTGTAACCACGTGAAAACCGAGCCAAATTCAGCTTTTGACCGCTAATTCCGAATTGGGCCTAAAATGGGCAATTCAATCTGCTGGGCCTCTAACTCCCATATCTGGACTTTATAGACCCAAAGATTTATCCAAATTTATTGGGTTGGAGAGCTGTGACGTTTCTGAATATTTCGGCCCAACACTGATCTGCTTACTGGAAGACAAGCTTCTATTAGGGTTTTCTATTCTCTCCAATCTTCTCCGTCGAAGTCCCCAAACCTCTCGTCCTCTTTTCCTTCAGCTAGGGTTTTCGATTCCTCCGGTGAATCCCCAGTGTTCACTACTCAGATCGGAGAAAATGGCCTTTGAAGTCGGCGCCGTCCCGTTCAATCCCGACGGCTGGGGTCCACCCGACGCCACCACGGCCACCACCAAATCCTCGTCTCTCCCGCTCAACGTCCCCTTCGCTCCCTTCTCTCGTGCCGAGAAGCTCGGCCGAATCGCCGACTGGACTCGCAACAATCCGAACGCCGGAAGGCCTAACGCCGGGAAGAACGCATCCGATTCGGTATTCGACTTCACCGCCGACGATTCCTTCCCCTCCTCCGGCGGAGGAGGAGATGAGGACTTCCGCCTCGTCGACGGGAAGCTTCCTACTCGGCCGAAATTCGGCCCCAAGTGGCGGTTCAACCAGCACAGGCCGCAGCTCCCTCAGCGTCGCGACGAGGAGGTCGAGGCGAAGAAGCGGGAGGCAGAGAAGGAGAGGGCGCGGCGGGACAGGCTGTACAACCTCAACCGGTCGAACCAGAACCAGCAGCGTCGTGAGGCGGCGGCGTTCAAGTCGTCGGTGGATATCCAGCCCGAGTGGAACATGTTGGATCAGATCCCCTTCTCGACTTTCTCCAAGCTTTCGTTCGCCGCTCCCGAGCCGGAAGACCTGCTCCTCTGCGGCGGATTGGAGTTCTATGATCGGACCTACGACAGAGTCACGCCCAAGAACGAGCGCCGGCTGGAGAGGTTCAAGAATCGCAATTTCTTCAAGGTTACCACCACCGATGATCCGGTGATTCGTAGGCTGGCAAATGAGGACAAAGCTACCGTCTTTGCGACTGATACTATTCTGGCCACTCTGATGTGTGCTCCAAGGTCAGTTTATTCCTGGGATATTGTGGTTCAGCGAGTTGGGAACAAGCTCTTCTTTGACAAGCGCGATGGTTCCCAGCTCGATTTGCTTGCAGTCCACGAGACATCACAGGAGCCTTTGCCCGAGGCGAAGGACGATATAAACTCTGCTTATTCGTTGAGTGTTGAAGCTGCTTACATTAACCAGAATTTCTCCCAGCAAGTGCTGGTTAGGGATGGGAATAAGGTTGCTTTTGATGAACCGAACCCTTTTGCCAGTGAGGGTGAGGAAGTTGCCTCTGTGGGCTATAGGTATAGGAGGTGGAAGCTTGATAACGAAATGTACCTGGTTGCTCGTTGTGAGGTGCAGAGTGTCGCTGAAGTTAATAACCAGAGGTCGTTCATGACCCTGAATGCACTTAACGAGTTTGACCCAAAGTATTCGGGTCTTGACTGGAGGCAGAAGCTGGAGACTCAAAGAGGTGCAGTTTTGGCTACTGAGCTTAAGAACAACGCTAATAAGTTGGCCAAGTGGACTGCACAGGCTCTGTTAGGTAGTGCCGATATGATGAAATTGGGATATGTTTCTAGAGTTCATCCAAGGGACCATTTCAACCATGTGATTCTGGCTGTTGTTGGTTACAAGCCCAGAGATTTTGCTGCACAGATTAATCTGAACACTTCGAACATGTGGGGTATTGTGAAGAGTATTGTGGACTTGTGTATGAAGCTGAATGAGGGTAAGTACGTGCTGGTGAAAGATCCTTCTAAACCTCAAGTGAGAATCTACGAGGTTCCTGGGGATGCGTTTGAGAATGATTATGTTGAGGAGCCGTTGCCCGAGGATGAGCAGGTCCAGCCACCTGCTGAGGCTGTGGAGAATGGCGAGGCAAATGGTATTGTCGATGATTTAGAAGATAAGAAAATTGAAGCTACTGTAGCTTAAGGTAATGTTCTTCCTTAGCTTGTTAAGCAGTTGTTATTTTCCTACCAGTTTATGAACCCATCTGAATGTAGCAACATCAGAGCTACATACAATGAATGGTCATTACTCATTAGAGTGATATTTGAACCGTACAAGATCAACTAGTTAGAGAAAAATGATTGCGGAATATAAAGGCATGGCCTTTTCTCCTCCACGATCATGTTGGAACTAGATCCACCAGGTTGCTTTATAGACCAGTGCTATTTCCCTAACCTAGATAGGAAGTAGAACAGTCTTTTCTTGCCGTGTTTGTCGCACCAGATGGGACTACATAGATGTGCAGTTTGCTGGTGATTGAATCTAGCAGCCGCTCTGTTGTCATTCTTGTGTGATTTGGCATTGAGCTTTGTTTGAATCGAACTCGGATCTTTACTCGCGAATATTGTCTGTTGCAGAGGTGGATGACTCGATGTTACCTGTGAACTAAACACCGACGCATCCAGTTTCTGCTATAGCTTGTGGACGGATTGTGGACGAGCATTCTTTCCAGCGACACCTCTTTTTATATTTTTTGCCTTTTAGTTGTGACGATTTGCTAGAAGGTTTACTGTTTTAGTGTACTCAACGGGAAAATAACAAATATATTGGGACTCGATTAACAAGCTGGTTTTATTGAGGGCCGAGGCATTTCACCTTGAATATTCTGAAATGGTATGTTGAGATAAATGGCCGAAGAGATGGATCTTTCTTGTGTTTGCACCTATGCAATTTCACCTGTTTTGGTGCATGGTGAGAATGAGTATTTCTACATGATTCACCCTTATTATTGAGCTGCTCTGTCTAAACTATATGTGATTTTAGTCAAATTATTTGCTATTTTACTTTCTATACATAATATTTTAGTTATGATAAACTTGGAAATAGGTGAAAACGTCGATTTTGTGAATAATCTTACTACGACTACCTTCCCATAGATTGGTTTTTGATTTTCTTTTAATGAAGTGGTAGTATATTTCGGATGTTATGTATTGGGCTTCGTTTGTTGGACTTGGACCAACCAACCATTGTTTCCCATAAATGATTTTACCAGCTGGAGATGGGCTCTTTCGAGGTGGATGACAATGCTACTAGTAGGCCCGCTTCTCTAAATTATGGAATGAGCCCAAAATTTTTCTTGTACCGAATAGTTAGTGATATTGTATTTTGTACTGAAACCGTAGTAGATATTAGCATAGTTTGGCCCTGCGGTAGCTTTTGCAGAAGCAGCTTCTGGCTGGAGCTTTTAGATAAGTACTTTTCAGAAAAAGCAGTTGAGTGTTTGGCTGTAAAACTATTAGAAGTGCTTTTTAATATGAAAGATTGTGTAAAATGACTATAAAGGACTTATAATATAAAATATGAATAAAAATTATAAACAATAAAAAGTAAACAAAATGGATCTTGTTAGATTTCTTTTATATTGAATAATATGATGTTATAATTTCTTTTATTTTTAAAATGATATAAATGAAGGAAAATTATATTTTCTGAAATAAAATTAAAATATGGTAAGGATAATCTTGCATTTTCAAAACAGCTTTTCACAGAAGCTCCAAATTAAAGCTTCTGCTTTTATGTTATACAAAAGCGCTTTTCGGCTTTTCAAAAGCCGAGTTTTTACAGGTGTTTGGCCCTGCTTCTGCTTTTGAAGCCTAAAAGCACTTCTAAAAGCCGGGCCAAACATAGGGATTGTTTATTGAATTAGACTAAAAAAAGTGGGTAGGGAAACTGAAAAATGAAAATGAAGGTGGGGAAGTGGGTTCTTGAAATGGTCCTTAAAAGACAATCAGCTCAGAGTGGCAGATGGTGATGGTTATTAACTCCTTTGTCTCTCTGTTAGTACACTATTCTTCCACTATTTTCCTTCTTCGAAACCCTACAATTGTGTGCTTGAAAGATAGCTCCAAAAATAACCTCTCTCTCTCTCTCTCTCTCTCTCTCTCTCTGAAAACTACACCTCCAAAACCAAACACAACAACAGCAAGCTGGGAAAACATCCCCACACATGTCAGTGTCTTTTGGCATTACATATGTAAAACGATCCCATGAAATTTCTAATCAAATTTCGAGTCGCCAATAATTTGAGTTAAAGGAATTAGTCGTTGTTGGTATAAATTGTGAAAATAATTGAAAATAAGATCCATTTTTTTAGGTCATCGTTCACCAATTTCCCTCCAAAATAAAGACGTACCAAATGTGCTAATTCCGTGTATTTTGAACCCCTTGTACGACTTGTACTTAGTGCTTGTCACTTGACTTATCTCTATTTCTTTCTTCAAATTTATTAAAAAAAAGTAGCATTCATCACATGCTAATTAGCTTTATTTTAGTCCACTCATATATGCTAAAGAAAAATTATTACATTGATTGAAACGGTAAAATAACCATGCGACCACACTGGTCAGTTGGTTGCCTTGTGTTGCCAAATGGTTCGGGATTCAACAAGCTATCTTCGTTTTCTTATCATGCCAAATAGGTAGATTACTTTAATTCTCAAAAGAAACAAACTCGTCATACCCGATTGACGATCGCTCCATCAATCTTCAAATATCAAAGCCACATCGAATTTGACATGATTGAAACTTTGATGTATTGGTACCATTTACCCCATCTTTTCCTAAGGTTTGGTTTGTGAATTGTGATAATGTGAGACATCAAAGTTGTAACAAGTTTGTTAAACTAGAGCATTTTTTTATATTATAATTGACTGATGTTGAAGAAGTGTTACAAAAATGGAGGAGTCAAACCAAACACAATTCAACACTTACCAAATTGAACCCACCAAAATGGAAGTGGTGCTTTGTCTAACCCAATTTCCAAGCCTTTTGCTAATTAAAGAAAGCTAATCAATTGAGTTATTAATTAATATTATCCCTAAACTTGCTTTGCTTCCGATCCAATGAAAGTCATGGCTTCCTTATATACTAGACGTGCCTTCAGGGGAACCCTCTTTCCCAACAATTTAGGATGGCTACGCCTAAATATGGCGCAAGTTTCTGGACGACGATATGTGATGTTAATGGAACTCTTTTATTTATGTGTCATGTGTGAAGATAGTTGTTAGGTTTGGACTTTGAAGTTTGGAAACTTGGAATTGTTTTCTATTTGCAGTTTACTGTCTGTTGGGATTAGTGAGAAAAGAGTCTATGATAGTGATACTAATGGCAACGTTATAATGTAATTTGTTGTTACTATATGTATACATTCATTTCGGGTACTCTGCGAGTTGTTGAGAGCGATTCAGCGACAAATTTAACAACATTCATCATTTGCATCTCTTTCTCAGATCACAGTCAACACATCGACGACTCAAAGTTTGTGCCTAGCCATTTTGAGTTGAGGTGTTTACGAATCAACTATTGATATTGAAGGGTTGTGAAGGTTCGAACGTAAAATTGCTCGGCCAGAGGCCCTTGGTGTCATGTTGAGAACTAACAGTACTATCCACACGCTGAAAGAGAACCATGATATAATGACGATCCGGATAACTCATTTATCGTGAACGTTGAAATCAGTTATCTCATCCTTCCGTTTGAGTCTAAGATTCATATTCTTACCATATCTCGTGTAGGTCGTTAGTAACGCGCTAATGAAAAGCGGGTCTCATATGCTAACAACAACAAATTTTTATACAACTTTCAAATGCACTAGAAATCTACAAATTGCATAGTTTGTAACATGGGTTGTTTTGGCAATTGGTTCTCCTTTCCACGTTAGAGAAAGTGGGGAAGATGAGAGGCATTTAATATAATCCCCACAACTTGTGTATGAATTATAATTATTCCCAATCTTTGTTCTGTGGTGTTCAGTGATGGAAACTGGAATGGATGGAAATGGGGAGCAAAGAAGCAAAGGGTCAATTACGTGACAGTGAGAGGCCCAAAAATTTCGTAAACGTGCTGCTCAGATTTCACATCTCATAGCTTTCTGGTTCATAAATGGAGTACAGGCAGCAGCAGCTAGCAATGAAAGCAATAATAAGCCATTGCCTAGTTGCTTTATTGTCTTCACTTAAGGCACGCTTTGAACCCTAGATCGCGAGGAGAAGAGCAACAGACCTGGATTTTAAAGCTAACCCACCCTGACAATGAACCAAAATTTGCTTTTGGAAGTTTCTCATGATGATTATTGCAAGATAGAAGATGAGCCTACTAATAATATAAACAATCCTTTTCAAATATGCTCTGTTCAGTTTTAATGTTAACGGTTTATTTGTTATCGGTTAATCGTTAACCAATTTGTTCGGAAAGCCCTCCTTTTACCTTTTTAGAGGCTAAATTGATAGGGGGGGGGGGGGGGGGTTTATTTGAAGAAGATCGATACATGAAATTTTATCAGGGGACGATCTGATTATTTAGTATGAGCGTGAACGAGAGCAGAGTAATAATGGAAATAGTCTTCGATTTGATCTAGGGTTTGATATCACTTGCATGTATGAAACAATAAAGATCAGGTGAATCGGAGGTCGAGAGAAATGATAAAGTTTATAAAATGAAGTCATTTATTAATCAAAAAACTCATGTGGGAATCATCGAGTTTTGAATGCATGAAATAATGAAGCGGATACTTTTATATTTAAGACTAGTAATATTACCACGAAACCAACTCCTTATTTGTAGGATAATATAGAAGGAGAAAATAAGAGAGGGAGTTGTGTGGTCCTTTTGACAGAAGCAGCTGGCTTTTGAATTACAGGACTGGTACTATAGCTAGTCAGCAGTTTCCTTCTTTCAATTCTTTGTTTGTATTCTCTACTTCCTTTTCTCAGCTATGGAAAAATGGAGGGGAATTGGATTCACCTCTCATTTTCACCCTTTTCCCATTTCTGGGTCTGACCCTGAGCCAGCCTGACCACACTCACATGCCAAGAACACATAGGTGGGAGAATGATAACATCCGTTACTAGTGGGTAAATGAGTAAGAAAAGGATGTTTTTTTTTTGTATGGAATGGATTTGTTAACAACCAACCCCACCCACGAATCGGACTCGGGTTTTAATTCGATTAAGAGTTAATGGTCGTCAATTCTTATTATTGAAATAGAATGGGCATTCAAAAAGAAATTTTGAATAACGCTTCGACTCGTACCCTTAAACAAAAGAAAAAAAAATTATTGTTATTTAAGAACCTAAACTTAATATGTGTGCATATAATTATAAACAATTGGGATTCCAACTCGTAATAGATAATTTGTGTATCTAAAAATAATTGGGATTTGAAGTTGCGAACCTGAAGATCGAGTTTGGGAGATGCTTGTCTTACGTACAATTACGATTTTGAATTTATACTCTTGCATAACGACATCATTTTCACGTGAATCTGCACATGATGAGTACTTTGTGAACTATCAATTGAGTAAACTTATTATATTGTATGTCGTCTTTCATAAATTTTAAAAACCGGCGTAAGTGTTCGACCGAGCCGGTTCAATACCCATGATTTCTTTCAGATTCATCCGTCATCACCAATTCCAAGGAAACCCACCTTCCAAGCAGCTGACTTTCCTTGACTTCAGAGTGTACTTTGATTCTACAAACGAACAAAAAACAAGAAGCAACACAACACATCGGCAGATCATATGCTCCCACGATTTACTTTTCTTCTCATTCACTCATAAAATTTAAAAAAAAAATGTTATCATCATCCAATCCAAAGCCATTAATCTCTCCAGCTTAGGACACAGCTTGTTAGGCAAATTGGTAACTTCCTTAAGGGGTAATTAGTGTGATAAGTAAAATAAGGGGACTATGGAATACTTTTAAGTATTGTAAGCTTAAGGACGGACAAATAGGTTAGTATTACCATTAATTGTACTTATGCATGTGTTTAGACTTTAGAGGGCGGTGTGCAAGGAAAAGTGTGGGGAGTTTATTATTAGACCTCGGAAGCATCTAATGCTAAAAAGTAAAAACCCCATCCCATCATACTTAAAAGCAGGAAAAAATGATTTTATTTTAATTGGTGATTGGATTCGTGTGATGGGTGGATTAGGAACTAATCTTAATCTTCATTAGGAACTAATCTTAATCTTCATCTTAGTCTTTGAGATTAGCTAAGTCAAAATATTTCTTTTATTAATAAAAAGAAATTCCTTTCTCACCACTTGGAAGTTCGCCTCATGCGGCTCTCCCCCACTCTCACTTCTTGAGCGAGTCCATTTTACTTTCCCACCACTTTGCTTTTGTTACTTCAGGTCACCATAGTGTTTCGGTATTTAGGATGACGATTAATTATACTCGATTTATAAGATACTAATCTAATTTGGTATTGGCGGGATGAGTAAGTACGAGATATATAGTGTAGTGCGGTCATACGTTAGTCACATTATAGAGGGTCAAATGTTTGGTACCGTTTTTACCTGAACAGGCTAAACGTGGTAACTTGCTTAGGAGTATAATTTAATGTATAAGATTCAACAATTGTATTTGTTAAAGCATGAGTAATACATTGCCCAACATTTACGCATATAGCTTTACCTAAATTCAAATTCACGACAGTTTGGTCATGCTGTTTTGGATGTTGTATGAGAAAACATATACACTGTTAGTTGCCACTTGCCAATATACAAATGGAAAATTTTGATCGTAATATTAAGAGCAATTTTTTTTTGTTCAGACCAGTAAAAATGGTGCTAATTATGAATTAGGAAATAAAATCTTGAAAATTTTACATTAATGTTTTAACCAATCATATCTTATCCATTAGAAAATGGTTAGATTCTTTTTTATTTCCATAAAAACATCAATCACATAACAGGTAATAGAATGCGTATAGACATTATTATTCCGACATTATCCGTCAAATAGAAAAACAATCTATCCCAACATTTCAAAGCAAATTAACTTTCCTATGAGATTCACCGCAAAAAAAAAAAAATATTACTCAACACTCCAATTCAAACTTCATGATATGTACATTCATCTAAATTATAGTTTGACTGCAATCCAATCTAATCGACCTGCATGTTGTACGGAAAAACATAGATAACATTAGTTCCCCAAGTAAAGGGTAAAAAAAAATGGTGCTTTCAAAATTAGGAAAGAAGACTGAGCAATAATATATTTTCCTCAAAAGCAATTTCATAGTTATCTCAAAGACACGATAATCCCATTTAATATCTTCCCAAACAAAAACAAAATCATTGGTAAGATAATAATAACCGACTTAATCATTTACAGAATAAAAACGCAACTAATTCTCATTATTTTCATAATTAATATTTAGCCAACTTTGTTCAACTAATGACTAATTAATAAATTAAATCCCTACCCGTAGTCAATATTCTTGTCTCTGCTAGCCGGCCTTTTACTGCCTCAGCCGTTACCGTTTTCTTTTTCTTTGACTTGACTTTCCAATTTCCATCGTCCCCGTTTCCCGTCCAGTTACGCGCGTGCTTCACAAGCCCACACCAGTGCACGTGCCGGTTGAAGAAAAGAAAAAAACGAGGGAGAGAGGAGAGAGAGAAAGTCTAAAGTCCCTGCATCAAAACATTTCTTACCAAACTGTAGAAAGAGAAAGAAAGACTCTTTTCCTTCTTCTTCTTCTTCACCTCTCCGTTTCTTCCCCTTTCCTTCTCAATAATAAAATCCCTTCTCCCCCTTCATTCTCAGTCTGTTTTCCTTTTCCTGAGAAACAAACAACGAACCCACCACTCAGAGGAAGGAAAAGGGTGCAAGAAATTCCGATTCAATTTTGGATTTCAGAATCAGGGTGGGAGCAACAAGCTATGGAGAAATCATCGCCGAGATTTCACCCAGACCACCGGAATTACGCACAGTCGCCGCAGTCCCTCCTTCCTTCTCCCAACAGTAGCAGTAGTAGCAACAGCAGCAGCCCTTCCTCAAATGGCCTCCGGGCGGCTGCTCAACCGCCGCCTCCGCCGCAGCAGCAGATGCCGTCTCCGCGGCCAATCCCCAGATCCGAATCGGCCAACCCGTACCCGACGACCTTCGTCCAGGCCGACACCTCTTCTTTCAAGCAGGTCGTCCAAATGCTGACCGGATCTCCGAAATCGGCAGCCGCGGCGGCCGCCCCGCCCCAGCAACCCGACCACCAGGTGAAATCCCATTCACACTCCATCCCGCCGATCAAATCGATCCCCAAGAGGAACCAGTCGTCGTCCGGGTTCAAGCTCTACGAGCGCCGGAACTCGCTGAAGAATCTCCGGATCAACCCGCTCAACCCGTTCCTCGCCCCGCCCGGATCCGGATCCGGATTCTCGCCCCGCAAGCCCGAGATCCTCTCCCCCAGCATCCTCGACTTCCCGGCGCTCGTGCTCAGCCCGGTCACCCCCTTGATACCCGACCCGTTCGACCGATCCGGACTCGCCGGAGGCTGCTACGCCAGCAGCCCGATGAGCGCGAATCATCATCATTATAATCGCAACAGCAACGGCGGGGCTAACAATCCGGCCGGTGCCGGCATGATGGAGGCCGACTCGGAGGAGAAGGCGATTAAGGAGAAAGGATTCTACCTGCACCCGTCGCCGGCGACGACGCCGAGGGAGGCGGAGCCGCCGCGGTTGTTGCCGCTTTTCCCGGTGACGTCGCCCCGAGTCTCTTCTTCGACAGGTTCAGCTACCCCTTCGTCATGAAATAATCCAAAGGGGGGTCAAACAAACATATCAATTTAAATATTCAGAATTTTTGCTTCTTTTCTTTTTGGAATCTCAATTTTTCTCCATTGTTGCCTCCCATCCAGTTCTTGAACTCTGTAAGATTTTTGAAAGTATATGTTCGGTGGGGGATGATGATAAATTGATAATGATGATGGATTCTAGCTGAAAATGTGAAATGAGAGGATCTTTGCTCCCAATTGTATAATTTTCGGGTACCTCTTTGTTATTTTCCCTTCTCTGAGTGTTCATTTCCCTTCACTCCTGTTAACTCTGCTTCCTGTTTGGTGAAGCAGCCAAGAATAGTCAAAATGTTGACTTTAGGAATCTAATTTCTGAATTTTCATGTTATTATTTATTTTATCATTTGTGGGAGGTTAAATTTGGTGGGGGTTGGGGAAATTAAATTTTACCATAATAAGTTTGCATTGCATGGAAGGAAATCATTGACTCTGTGGGGTAAATGACAATAAATGTGAATTTTCTTTTTGTGAAGGACTGAAACGGGATTCAATAGTTCTACGGGGGCAATTAATAGATTTGCACGGTTAGAAAAGGAAGGGCATATGGTTGGATTTAACAGTGGGGGGGATAGCACTATAGCAGTAAGAAAAGGAGAAATCTTTCACTTTTTAATTTTTATCGCTAGACTTGCGGCAGATATAAAATGTGTGTTTAAGCTCACTCATTTTAAAGAATTATACTAGCGAGGTATGTGGCAAACACATGAGATCATACGCTTTGGACTTATAATTCTATCGGTGGATGTCAAGATATTCTTATCGAATTGATAATCTGTGAAGATTGGAAAGTACTCGTAACTTTATTGTGTCACTTCTTAAGAGGTATTTTTCTAATATTAACTTAATGTAATTTGTTCTAGCGCGTAACTACTTTTCGTGACTAATTTCTTTCCTATTATCAATTGTTTTAATGCAATTCTTTTAATCGTTCCACTACATAATATATTGTATATTATGCAAATTAATGAATTTATTGGGTATTCATGTGATGGAAGGGGAATAAAGAAATGGAAAGCTAGTTGTCAAAAACTAGAAAAGAAAGCAAAGGGTTGTGGGGGGAGGTTGAATAGAGTAGAAATTAGATTAGGTGGGATGGGCAAGGAATCTAGCTTGACCTTCTTGCTGTCTGTTTGTGTAGTTATATATTTATTTTTTTCTTCTCTTCTCTTCTCTTGTGTGCTTGAGTGTAGCAAGAAGATGCCAATGGAAGAAGGGCAGCAGAGCAATTTTCTTGCAGTTCTATTTAAAGTTTGTTTATGTACCAAAGTCCAAATGACAATATTTTACTTCTATAGTATGGATTTCCTTTCCCACTACATTTTAATAATGATATAACACAGACAGAAATGTTGTTTGGTCTTCAGCATGAATGATGATGATGGAGTTTGATGTTGGACTTTTTGGTGCCTACCCTCTTATTATTTTTCTTATATTATGTACTTCAATTCCTTTTTGGGTTTGAGTTGGAGAGGTTGAATAGAGTTGTGTGTATGATTGGAGTCTATGCAACACATTCTGAGTCGTTCGATCAATATGTGAACAATAGGATTGTACAAACAACGTGAATGTATTGTGATTATTTTCTTTTCTCTCTCACACACATCTATTGAATGTCCAAATCGATCGTGCGATCACGAATCTTACCTATCCATTTGGAAGGATGGTCAAATTTCCGGAATGTTATTTACTAGGAATGTTATTTACTAGGTTGGATTTGGATTGAGATAGGTGGGAGATGGGCGATAATAATTATTGTTGTTATATTTTTCACTTGTGACTTTGGCATTTGGTCCCCCCACCAAATCAGAAAATTGGTAAAAAAAGACAGTGATGAGGGAAAGAGAGAAAGCAACAAGAAGATTCAAGAGTTGGATGATGGCAAATTTTGTTTGGAAGAAGGAATTAAAAAAAAAAAATGGGTTGAGCTCAGTGGGCAGTGTGTGTGAGCTTTGATGCTGAGTGATGACCAGACAGGTAGATTTTTCTGCGGCCCACTTTGTGTTAGTGGTGGGCAACGGGAAACGGGTATTTGGGTATACCCGTACCCGTCCCGTTTTTTAAGGGTTACGGGTACCCATATTACCCGTAATATTTTAAACGGATGAGACTTGGAATTGTACAGTCCTAATATGGGTACCCGTGGGTTACCCGCGAATACCCGTTTGGGTAATATGGGTACCCGTTGTACCCATTCAAATTACAAAGACATATAATTCAGCTCATGCGCCCAGGCCCAACCCAATTCAAAATCCATTAAAATTACAAAATCTATTTAATTCAGCCCGTGAGAGTTGAGACGTTGACGCACCCCTAGGTCCTAGAAGACGCGAGACACGCGACGGCAGGCGGCAGCTTCTCTGAAATTTGGAAAGGTCTGTCTCTGTCTTGTGTCTTGTCCCTGGCTGGAGGAGTCGTCTTCGCGGGACGAGAGAGAAGAGACGAAAGGTCGAAACCTAGCTCGCCTCGGCGCCTCCTTCATTCACCGTCGCCGCCGCCTCTGAGTGCGTGACTAATTGTCTTTAGGTAAAATGTCATTTAAACTTTGGGGATTTATGGGTAGTATGGGTACCCGTTATCCGTCCCGTACGGGTAATGGGTACCCGTTTCCCATATGAGTTAGGGATATGGGATGGACTTTGGTCTCCAAATGGGACTGGGTACCCGTTTAAAACGGAAGTGGTATCCCGTCCAGTCCCGTTGCCCACCCCTACTTTGTGTTATTTTTTCCTACCAGGACGGTGGACTAAAATAGATTTCAGACATAGACAAAAATATATGTAATCATGGATATTTATATGCGAATTCGACCTTATCGGGTAGGGTAAAATCCAAACTCGAAAGACTTTTAGTGGGTACGGGTAGAACTCGAACCTGAATATTGTGGATAATGGGTGGGCATGGTTTTCTCACTATCCAACCCAAACTCGCCCGATATACACATGCATATGTATTTTGTCTAGAAATAATCATTATTTTTCTCTAATTTATTTTATATATAGCATATAAATATAATATTTTCATGAAATTGTGTTGTTTTAATGAATTTTCTTCATTCTAGTGAATTATTGTCATACTTTTCATCTTACGTCATGTCAGAATACATGTGAATATTGACATATTGGTTGGAGTTATAAAGAAAAACTATAACCCATAGATAACCATGGATACCCGAAACACGAACGGGTATGGACATGATTTTGATTTTCTATCCGTTTCTTATTTGGGTATGGATATGGGTAAAACCCGAACTAATTTGAGTAGAGTAACGAGTATGAACTATCCGTCCACGAACCAACCGTTGACATCCTAATAGACTTGATGGCCCGATAGGCAAACTTTAAAAATCACAATACTTTAAGGTAAAAAGAGGAAAACAGTAGTGGTGCTATTTCAAGATTAAAGTGTAATAGTTTCAAATTTTGTCATGTAGTAGGGAACTTTGAGAAGACCTAGTGGGCGGGGAACTACTTTGCAATTTGTTCGTTCGGTTGAAAGCAATCATGAGTTGGTTTCACTTGGATCCAACACCAGCAAGCAGCAGCAACAACAACGACAGCAAAGCATTCTTCTACTGTGTTGATCTCAAGCCTCCTTTCTTGACCATAAATCCATAACCCACTTGCTCTTTTGCTAGCTAGTAAAATAGGAAGCATGAGAAAGTGAAGTGAAAGTGGTGGTAGGGGAAATTGGGTCTCGTGAAATCATCCATCCTTCTATTATATTGTTAAAAAAAGTTGATAGCATTTTATATCCTTTTATTATTACAAGTTATGAAGTTAACATATGTATTCTTCTACTATTATTTTGCGCAAATATACCCTTCAATTATTGTAACGTAACAAATATAACCTTCCATCCCTATTTCCAGCCAATAATCGTTAAAATGCTTATAAAATACTTGAGGACGATGAGGTCGGCTCTTATATGTTACTAAAAAAAACGGTGTTGGATTAAGCTATACATGTTTTATTCACGTTAAATGGTTGAAATTTGAAATCGATAATCGAAATACATACACGAAAGCATTGAGCAAGTTGGGATGTAAAATTCTCACTAACTTTTATCATCGGCTCTTATATGTTACTAAAAAAACGGTGTTTGATTGAGCTATACATGTTTTATTCACGTTAAAATGGTTGAAATTTGAAAACGATAATCGAAATACATACACGAAAGCATTGAGCAAGTTGGGATGTAAAATTCTCACTAACTTTTATCATCGTAAGTTTCAAAAATTGGTGTAAACCAAGAGATATCAGTTACACCGTCTCTTGTGGCATCCTTGTCCCTCTTGCCTCTAATGCAACGGATGATTATTCAATAGCTTGCTTCTTATGCATACGTTGCTGCAAATATGTTCAATTCAAGGACATGTACAAACGTCGTATTACCAGGAGAGACATCATTTTTCCACACCTCATATTTCAACAAAGTTTGTAGTTTCACTTTCATCTTGTTCCATACCCGTTCTACAACATGTCAGACATGGAGACAATGCGGACATCGACTCTTACAAACATCACTAAACATTTTCAGTTTGACGATCATTGATATTATTTACCCTCTATTTTGATATGTTTTTTGACTAATATGGTGACTAGATGAACTAATCAAACCTGATGATTTATTAAATTTAATGAAAATGTCAGAGTATAAAAATAATCGCGAAGTATAGGAACGATTCGCTTAGCCTTTAAGAGACCAAATTGGAGGCTAAATTAGTATTAATCCTTGGAATATTTTATAAGAATTAGAAAGGCAAGGATCCCTACGCTTTCATTTTCAGAAGGAGAATAATTAATGAGATTGATTTGTTTCTGCATTCCTTCTCCACTAGCTAAGCTTAGTGAGGAGCGGTGAACGAACCAAGCAAACTGTTCCATTTCTTTTTAATCTTGTTTTCCTACTCTAAGTCATTTCATTTTTCTAGAAGCATAACAATTAACTTTTTATATATATACAAATCGTACAAGGGATTGTATAAGATATGTCAGTGATAGGATATTTTGTTGTTAAAACATAATTTAACGGTTTCGTTTTGATAAAATATATATCAATTCAAATTTTGATAACCAATTTTATTCCAGACGGATTGATTAGTACGATATGATTTTGCAAACACTGATAAATAGACAAGTTTACTTGGTTTTGCAAACTTTACAATATGACTTTTTTCAACACCCAAACGCAATTAAACACATTTTTAAATTTCAAGGAATGATTTAAAAATTCGAGGGGGGTGCAATACTGCTTTAAAGTTTAAACACATAAAAACCAATCGAATGAATTGAATAATCCAAAGGTATCTCTTCCAGTCTTTCTGGCTTTCACTCAATCAAATCGACGGGATGGGAGCACTGTGTGGAGACAGGAATTAAGGAGAGAAGGAAAACGACAAAAGGGAAGGAGAGGGAATCATGTGAGTTTGAATGTATGGTTGGCAACTACGATCGGTCCAACCTTAATAATAAATGACTAAAATCCACTTATCATGTTATCATGTTAAAATATTTTTTATTGGAAATTATATGGAAAAAAATCAAAACTACAAAGCCTACAAAATTTTCGTGTCTTACGCACCTTATACGAATTATACCATTCTTATACGATTATATCATGGTACGAGTTTTGTAAGTTTCGTCGCTCTTGAATTTTGTATCGTTACTCATGCCTTATTTATTGTATGTAAAATATTTTGGATTTTGCTACGGTGACATGCATGTTACCGTAACTTGCACTTTTAGGTCGACCTTATATAGGATTAGGCCGACCTAATATGTCGTTTAAGTTTTGTGAGGTTCAACAACACGGTTGACCTTTTATAGCAAATGGTTGACCTCTTTGGGAAGCGATGTGTGGGTGGTTCTTTTGCTCGTACAAGTTACGTTTCAAACCAACAGCATAAATAATGATAACAAGGACTCGTAACTTCATAACATAACAACTAAAGAAACTAACAAAAAAATACAATAAAACACAAATCATAATTGTTCACACATAACTAAAATCTGAAACCACGTAATATCCACCCACAATCGTTTTTAACACTTAACAATAAAAACACACAATCTAAAATCGTCGAGTTCCTACTCCTGTCCCCTCTCTCCCTCATCCACATTTTCTTCATTGGTGTTGCTAGCATTATGGTAGTCGGAAGTTACGGTGACATGCATGTATCTTCCACTGAAAGATCGAAACTCATCTCACATCTCATTCACGATCGCCTGCAGTGTGCTCATCTGGATGGTCATTTACCCCATGTAGTCGTACATGTCAGTCATCTGGGTGGAAATCTGACCCATGTAGTCGTACATGTCATCCATGCGCTTCCCAAGAGGTCAACCATTTGCTATAAAAGGTCAACTGCATCGTTGAACCTCTCAAAACTGAAATGACATATTAGGTCGACCTAATACTATATAAGGTCGATCTAATATGCAGGGAGGAGAGAGCTACTCCTTTTTTAACTAAATTTAATCATAATTAGACCCTCTTGATTGCGATTTGTGATATAATTAACTTATAAGAATACCCACAAAGTATATAATTAACTTATAAGAATACCCCCACAAAGTCCATTTGCTAATTTCGTCCAAATTGTGGGTTGCCCGAGTTGACCATCCATTCCCCATTTGGGTTTTGCCTATTGGCTAATCCGTTTTGAAAAAGGACTCAATCCCAATATTCCCTTACACGTATGTTCCTTCGTTTGGAAAAACAGGGAAGATGGCTTGTTCTAATCACGTATTGGTCAGACTTTGTTTTTAAGTCGGTTATGAATGGGTGTGGCACATCACCAGGCTATTAGTTGGACCGAATCCAGATTCCAGGGTGTGCGTTTGATCGATGTATACGCCAAGCTGGTCATGGGTTGGGTTAATTGTCGGGGTTAATGAGGTTGTGGATCAATCGGGTTATGTATCAATTCATATGTGGTTGTCTGATAAAGGAAAATGAGTGGATTATGGGTTATGGGCCTTATGGAGCAATTTGGTTATTTGTCAATGTGGTTGTGCATCAATCGGATTATGCATCAGCTCGATTATTGCTCTTCGCGTAAGATGAAAATAAATTTATCGAGTTATGGATCAATCTGGTCATTTTAACAATGAAGTTGTGCATCAATTAGTTGGGTTATAGATCAATCCGAGTGTTTGATAAATGGTGGGTGGGATTATGGGTCATTGACTTTTCCGTCTAGTTTGGGTTATGGAATGGGAGGGAGGTGGTTGACGTCTTGACGAGTTGACCAGGTTATGAGTAAATCTATTAAGTCATTGGTTAGATAGTAGGTCAATCGATTCGGTAGTGTTACAAGCAATTGTGCGATCAGTTGGGTTTAACATAGTAAGAGTGGAAATTCGAGGGTAGTGAAATGATGATAAATTGTTGTTCAAATTTGAAGAGGGAAATAGACATAGTAAGAGCAAATGTTGTTTTTATCCTAAATTGGAGAGTAATTGTTACACTCTCTTGTAATACAGCAAAATTTATGAACAAAGCAACTCTCTAATTTTGTCCGACGAAGGGATTAATTAAGGAATCCCGTAACAACGAGGAAGCAAAACAAATATGTAATGTGTCAAAAATAAGTTGGTTCCAATAACTCGAGTTATTGAGAGAAGTTCAATAATAGATCTTATACTACACATTAACACACTCCCTTTAACGAATGCCAGTGAACTCATAAGTGCTTTCGTTTGCACATAAAGCAGTCAAAATCCCGATTTGAATCCTAAAATCCTACGATTTTACGACTTTACTTACCTATTCCGATTCTGATTTCACTATAAAATATATGGGCCTTAAAATCCTACACTATTCACGATTTAAATCCTTAAAATCTTACGATTTTACTATTCAAATTTTTGGGTCAATTTACTTCCCCCCCCCCCCCCCCCCCCAATAATTTGCAAAATTACGCCTTTTATCCTTCTACTCCACCAACATCATCTAGATCTCGTACACTAACCACCATCGACCATCATCAATTCACATCAACGTATTAATCACCATCGATTCACCTCTTCCCAACATTATCCTTGATAAATTGAAACATTAACCTTGAAAAATTATCATTGTAATTTTTATGTGTTGTTGTGTTATTCATGATTTTCCTTATTAAAATTATTCTGTTTTCATTTTATATGGACCTTAAAATTCTACGATTTTACGATCTTGATTTTACCCCCCGTTTTTGATTTTATATAAAATTCCGATTTTGACTGCTATGCATAGGTATTGAATGTTAGAATATAATGTGCTTCATAAATGGGGGTCGTCGAGATTCGAAAAATAGACATGTCGATCACAAAAGACTCTAATACTATGTCAAGAATCAGTTGGTCCATAAAACTTGAGTTATTGAGAGAAATTCGATAATTGATCTTATATTTTATGGCTAATACCACTGAAAATGCCAACTTTTAGCGAAAATGCTATTTATACGGTGTAACTTCAATAAATACAAAAAACTTCCAACCTATTAGGTGTTTGTGTCATTTGTGTTATGAGAATTTTGTTGACCGTTAGAGTTAACTGTTGACCAAACGGTGGTCAACTTTGTTTGACCATAAATGAAGTGGCGCTTAGTTGGCTTCCACTTATGTGCCACAAATGAAATTGTTATTAAAATAAAAAAATTAAATCAAATAAAATGAATTTTAATTCTTCCTTAATAAAAAAATTTCACAATAATTTGAATAAGAAAAAGAAATAAATAAATTGTAATAGAAAATCGAGTAATTTGCTAACGAAAAAGTATATGTTGACAATAAAATAACGTATTGAACAACGTCTAGAGATGACATCAATTAGCTTACTAACTATAAAGGGGTTAGCACCATTCTATGATATTTGTAATAAGAGAAATTTTACAATGCTATATAGTATTGGTGCTAATTATTTTTATAGTTGTAGTCTTTTTTTTTCAGTTATAAAACTACATTTTGGACAAAAACATAGTTGTATTAATTATTTTTAATAGTTATAGAACTGCAATTCTAATACTAACCACTTCAACTCTATTTAGCATGGCCATGATGCTAATCCCTCTATGATTAGCACAATATTGAATCCTCTATAGCTACTAAGCCGTAGAAACAAAACAATAATCAAATTATGGATCAACGCAATTAGCTAGCTAGGTTACAGGGGGGAAATTAGGAGCCATTGATTGGCGGATTAAGTCCGCCATTGTCTATAAATTAGAAGCACATCATTTGCCGCTCAAATCATTTGGACGGTTTCCTTTGAAAAGTAAAAAACTAAAAATACAATCGTCGCCAACAGTGAGCAAATGCGAGCTCTTCCCGCAAATTCGAAAACCGCGCCGAGAGTACCTCCCGTTCAAGTTTCTCTCAGCGAGTTTTCTCCGGCGATTGACCGTACGAGCTCCGTCTTCGAAATGAAGACTACGTTAGGGTTTCCGAGCATGAGGAGCTTGGATCATCTGAAGCCACCGTCGGGATCCGGGAAGAGCTTCTCGTTCTCCTCGTCGCGGCCAGCTTCCGATCAGATGTCCTTGGGAAACTTCACGAATCCGAAGCTTGGTGCAGGTATCGGACGAAAGGATTCCGATAATCTGTTTATGTAATTTTCCCTGGCAATCCTCGTCGCCTGATTCTAGCTGTTTCTTCGTCTGCTTGCAGAGAAGTTAGTGAAGGAGCAATTGTCGGCGACAATGGAGCTGGAAACGGCGGTAAGTGTGAATTTCCTCTCTGTTTTCTTGTTCGTCTTTCTCAATCGGCGATAGTGCTTGTAGTAGAACGAAGAACTTAGGTCCATTTTTTTTTTTTTGCACTGATTAGAACAATAAGCTTAAGAAGTGGATCGAGAGTGTCCGTTCGCTGGAGGAAAAGTTGCAGAACGCGTTTAATGAGAATCTAAAGCTGAAAGAGGTTGCGAAGCTGTGGGAAGGATTGGAGTCTAGGTTTGCTTCAACGAAATCGTTCTGTGATCAACAACTCTGTGCAAGTTTAGGTCAATTATCTGGACAGGTTGAGCGTGGTGAGTGAGTCTTCTCCAATTTAGATTACAGATTCGACCGGTTCCTTTTCGTCTGCTGTTACTCTGAAGAACGAATTGCCTTTTTTTTTTGGCAGCTGAAAAGGACAAGGAGTTTTTTCAGGGCAAACTATGTGCAAGCTCGAATGCTATTGACAAGTTGAACATACAACTCAATGATCTGTCTCTGAAATTGGCCTCCGCCGAGGGAACTGTTACAATGCGTGAGCATTTTGTAGGATTCTTGGTTTCCTAGGGCTTAGTTTTTAGCCATGTTTCTTACGTTTGTGTTATTGATGCAGGAGAGAAGGAACTGGCAGATCTTAGAACTGAAAAGGAGGAAATTAGTAAGGTTTTTGTAGAGGAAAAGGGGAGACTTAGTAAGCTGATTGAGGATCAAGGTAACTTGCTTGAAACAACTCTGGTTACGGATAATATCCTCTCATGATTTGAGCCCATCTATGGTGTGCTGACTTTGAATTCAGCAGCATAAATCATTCATATCTTACTAGTAGATCATATGCAAGACAACTGCTGTGCACAGATCTTATTATCATATCTATACTTGTCCAGTTCATTTAAGCTATGTATCATGAAATGCACTTTCTGTTTCTAGTTAGTCAGCAAAATGAACTAGCTCATTAGTTTAGTTTCCTATCACTGTCACACCAACTCAGCTGGGATGGTAGATGGTCCATTTGCTGGTTAGGAAAATCGCGAGAACAAACTGGGTAGTCCTGTCATGAGGCCAGCTGTCCTAACTCATTTGCTGATGTTCTGAAGGATACTTGAACCCCATGACAGTTAGGTTATGAAAATGACAGAAAGAGAATCATTAGGATTAACCAGCAGTTAAAATCACAGCTTCGTGATTCCAGGCTACAATGAGATTTGTGGTTTATGGATTACTCTATGCTTAACTATTGTGACGCTGCTAGCTGCTGGCTTTTTATCCTGATTTCCATTATCTCGACTCTGCAAAATGGCCACCTTGCGTTATGAATGTTCTGCATGTCTTGGTCTTTGGAGTAAGCTGTTGGAAACAACAAAACTAGGATAGGGTTAATAGGGACAAAGTAAAGGGAACCAAACAACAATAATGAAACATTTCTTTCCACTGTTGTTCTTTCTAGAGCATTCATATGATTTGTCCTTCAGCTTCAAGAAAGACTACAAATTGACTTTGAATGTCTTCTCCGGTAGTTGTTAATTTGATTTCTACCGATGATATTTTGAACTGCTCACACTATTGGATAGGCATTGAAACCTCAGTTTACCACATTGATGTGGACCCTCTCATGCTAATCCGTTCCTTATTGTTTGTCTGCAGATGCCATACTGAAGCAGTTTGAAGTATCCCTGGCAGCAAAAAGTTCAGACATGGAGTGTCTGAACTCTAAATTGGAAAGCATGCACCTTGAATTGAAGCTAAAGGAAGATGAGATAAATAATTCATACATTGCAGCCCAGAACTTGAGGGAAGAAAAGAGTAAACTCCATCTGAGCAACGAGAAATTGGATAATGAATTGGCTACAGCACTTCAGGAGATCAGGAAGGTCGAGAGTTTTGTTCATGTGCTGACTGCTCAGTTAGTGGAACTGGACAAGCAAAGTTTGAGTTTCACTGACAGCTATAGTCGCCTGAGCTCGCTCTATGATGCTTCCATTGAGTTGATACAACGAGAGAGAGCCCTTGTTTCCAAGCATGCTAAAAAGAAGTATGATACACTCCACAACAAATTCTTGGGAACAACATCTGAAAAGGAGGCAGTGCAACTGACAAATAAGGAGCTGAAATCTAAGATCCTTGAACTCGAGAAAGCACTGGATTCTCTCAGGGAAAGGCTTGCTGAGGAGCAGGGGTCTGCAGTTGATAAAATTAACGAGCTGGAATCTGAGACTGAAGCACTACTCTTAAAGAAGGATGAGGCCGAGAGGCTGGTTTCACAATTAGAAGAGAAAATCGGTGTTTTAACTGAAATCTCAAGGTCATCTGAGAATGAAATGGTACATTGTGTTTCTAATTTACGTACTTTGAATTGATGTTTTGATTACTCCAAACAATTAATAATGCTTTGTGTACGGCTTAACGCTTGTTCATCCCATTTTTCAGAAAGAGCTTCTGCTGAAAATGCCCAAGTTGGAAGAGGAATACAGAGGCAACACAGAACAGTTACAGGGAGAGCTACAAAAGAAGGTAGAAGAATATGAAAGTCTTCAGAAGGAAACTCAGAAACATGACCAAGAAATAGATTTTTTGGCGAAGAAAGTTGGTCAAATTCAGAATATAGTACAAGAGAAGGAAGAACTTCTTTTGCAAGTCAAAGAGAGGGAGAAGAATTTGGAAGATCAAATCAACGAGGTTTCTAAAAGACAAATCAAATCTGAAGAAAGAAAACAGTATACGACTATTCTGAGTTCTGCTAATGGTTCAATCCTGTCTAAATATTTGTGCAGAATCAGGCATCATTGACAGCAGCTGAAAGCAGATTGGCAGAAGTAAAGAAGCAATATGAAATGATGCTTGAGAGTAAACAACTGGAGCTGTCAAAACATCTGAACGAAATTTCTCATAGGAATGATCAGGTGAAGAAATCTGTTACTTACTGTCAAGCATGTCCGGATCTCTATGATTTGGGTCTTTGATACCTCTGGTACATGTTGGCAATTGCCACTATCTTAGGCAATTACGGAAATCCGGAAGAAGTATGACGAAGAGAAGCTGGAAATCATTAACACAGAAAAGGAAAAGGTCCGAATGTAACTCTGGTCTGTTACATCATTATTCTTGTTATTGGATTGTAGCTTAAGCCTCACCAGATTGGGATATTCAGGTGAGCAGACAACTACAGGACATGGAAAGAAACTGCAACCAGAAACTTTCGGAACAGAAGGAAGAGTCGAAGCAGCAGCTTGTGCGTATTCAAGAAGAGCATGCTTCAAAGGTAAGCACTGGAAAAGGGCTGTGACTGCTGTTCTATGCCCTTCATGGTATCATATTATCTGTTAATAAGTACTTAATATGACCATGATAGTCATTACATTAAGCTCCCCTTGCTTGATTTGCCAGCATAACTATTTGAATAGAGTTTGAACACTGTTAGTGGAAAAGAGGATGTATTTAGAGGATGTACATACAAGTTGCTATCTACCAGAACAATTAATAATAGGTCTTGGTTGTTGGTCAAAAGTCATTATTTCTGAATGATTTTCATGCCTGTTTGATTTTCCAGATTCTACAGATCAAGGAGGACAATGACAAGAAGGAAATTAGTCTTGAAGCTCATCACATTGAGGAGCTGAAGCTTGCCGAATCTGAAGCTATGCATGTAGAAAGAGAGGTAACCATAACATAATTACCATAAAATTCCGTAGATAATTGAAAATCACTCAGTTGGTAATATATTATGCAGAAAATAGCGGCACTAAGAAGTGAGCATGAGGCTCAAATGAAAACTTTGAGAAGCCAGTATGAAGATGTGCGCAGGAAGCTACAGGACGAGTTGGATCTCCAAAAGGACAAGGTTCTCAACTTCACATATATTGAGAGTGCTCTTTCAGAAACATTTATTCAGACTCTTAAAGAGAAAGAAGTGGCTGTGGAAATTTCAGGAAGACAAGCAGAGGGCTCTGCTGGAGATGCAGTTGAAAGTGATGAGTAACAAGCGAGGAGATGATCAAGACGTGAACTTTAACAAGGTACCCACCATTATTCCAGAATAGCTCTTTGGCATTGTTCTCCAAAATATGCGCTTTGAGCTGGTGTTTAAGTAGAGACATATTACTCTTGGTCACATAATTAAAGCTCTTGTTAGTAGTAATGTCAAACACGGGATTTGAGGAGCCATGCTCCCCTTCCTTACAAAGGACCTGCATTACTCTTGTTTAAGTTTGTTCTACTTGCATTACTCTCATTTAAGCTTGTTCTACATGCATTACTCTTGTTTAAGCTTGTTCTATGTGCATTACTCTTCTTCATGCTTCTTCCATATGCATTACTATTATTTCGGCTTGTTCTACATGCATGATGGAATTAAGAACACGATGACTATCTTGCAGGAACACTCCGTTTCATCAGTCCAGATGTTAGATCACCGAAAGATCCGAAAAAGTCCAAGATCACTGGCAAGGCCAGAGACTGCTAAGAGAGGAAATGCAATGGGTATCCCCATGCATCCCAAGAAGGTCTGTTAACCTCCCTAACCTTCAGCTGTGTCTCTTTTCGAAGTCTGTGTGTTACAGACAGTTCACACACTGAATCACTCACTCTGACCTTTCTTGCATTGCAGGTCACCCGTCCAGAGTACGAGGTTGAGACTGCCGATGGCAGAACAATTTCCAAGCGCAGAAAGACGAAAATTACAGCTGTGCTCGAGGTTAGTGACTGACATTCAGCAAAAAACCAGCTGTTTCTTGGATTTCTTTCTCTGTCCCCGTGTTGAAATTAGGACCCCCTATGAAACAGAATAAGAGGAGCACGCCCAAGGCTGTTATTACTCCAAGAGTTGCACTCAAGATAATGTTAAAACCATCTTTTTCTTGTTGAGATCTGGAAATGTTGCTTCTTCTTCTAACTGTCTGGCTGCCATATCCTGCCTTCCAAGGAAAGCCATTTTCACCTGAATAGTTTAAATCAGCCATTAGCTTACTACTCAATGAATTTCCTGGCTTCGGCTTTCCTATGCAGCGAATCAAGGGCGCTACTGCTACCCCGCTGCATCGTCCTTCGAACATAGGAGACCTGTTCTCCGAAGGATCGCTGAATCCATATGCAGACGACGATCCCTACGCTTTTGTTTAGATGCCTTCTTTTATCTGGTCATTCAGTGACTTCTGCACACTGTGTTGTTTGTCAGGTAACATAACATTACCACTTCACATATACATCACTCACTCTCCATCAGTCATTTTTCGTGTCTTCTTCCTATCTTCTGCATTCTTACAGACAGTGCCTTCTGTGCTCGAATCTGATACATCTGTTGTTCGTATTTTACTGTGTTCTTGCAGATAAACAGTAGAGCATGAGAGAGGTTGAACTCTACCTACAAGGTGAGAAATTTCCATTGTGTTTGCATTGCATATAGGAACCTTACAAGCATAGTGTTGCTTACACCATTGCTACTCTTTAGTTCAGCTTTCAGCAGTTTATTCGTAAACGAACAGACAGGGTAGTTATCATAAATAGTCAAAAACCTTTGTACTTTGTACAAAACGGTCACAAATCTTTGTTTTTGCACGATTTGGTAATACAAGTTTAAGCGTATAACAAAACGGTCATTCCGTCCTTCTCCATCCAAAATTCTGTTAATTTAATTTAATCCAGTCAGTTGTCCATGTCATCAAAATTAATAATAAAATCATAAAACTTAATCAAACAACCCAACCCAAACCCGAACCCACCTGAACTCTACCCACCTACCTCTCTCACTAGTACCAAGCCATCTTAACCTATCTTCCGTCCGAGTAAAAAACTCAGGGGTAATTAGCATAAATGGTAACAAACATTTGCACTTAGTACAAAATGGTCACAAACCTTTAATTTGTAACAATACGGTAACAAAACTTTGAAATTGTATAAATTGGTCACCGTTATCTAATTTATGACCGTTTTGTTTTAAGTGCAAAGGTTTGTTACCGAATCGTTACAAATTAAATGTTGGTCATGTTTTGAGGTCGGGTAGTTTGTTCGTTAAGTATATGACACTAACCACTTGAACGACATATAAGATGTCAGGTCATGTGTTCATCGACATATTTGCTTTGCCGAATAAGAATGCCCTCAGTTGACCTTTCAATTTCGATACCAAGAAAGTAAGAAAGTAGACATAGTTTTTTCAACTAAAAATCAGTCTGGAACCCGTTTGTGAGCCATCGAATTCTCTCATTGTCATCCTAAACAATATAATATCATTCACATACATTAACAAAACCACCATACAACTAGTGAATTGTAACGGTGATTGAGCGTTCAAACTTTTGAACTTAATTTGTACAAAACGGTCACCAAAAGTCTAATTTGCAACGACACGGTAACAAAAGTTTGAACTGGTATGAAATGGTCACACTGTTTAATTTGTGACCGTTTTGTTCTAAGTAAAAAAGTTTTGTTATCAAATGGTTACAAATTAAAGGTTTGTGACTGTTTTGTACTAAGTGCAAAGGTTTGTGATCATTTAGGCTAATTACCCAAAAACTCAGGGATCTCTCTCACCAGAAATTTCCCAGAACTCTTCCTCTGTCCCAATTCTTGAAAGTACCACTCAAGATTCCTTCCCCCCATTTTAACCAATCCTTTCCCCCATTGCGACTGCTGCTCTTCCCCAGGCATGGCTTCAACTCTTTAGATCCTGAAGAAGAAGAATCCAGCTCACCACCACACCCGCCTCCCGTCGTTGACTCGGTGCCGCCGTCAAACGCCATCACCGAACGAATCGATGTCGATAAAAAACGAATCGCCATGGCTCTCCACCGGTTCTCTCAACTCGTCTTTCTTGTAGTAGCTCAACTCCGTTGCCGGCCGTCAGATCTCAGTCGAATCGCCACCGATTTTCGTGCGGCCCCCGACCAAGTAGTTGGGGAAAATCGGGTCCCGTCGCCATACCTGCAATCGACCTTCAATCTCTCGGATGTCGTTCCCCTGCATATGTGCTTCACGAGCCGATCGAAACCGATCATCTTCGTGGAATAGTCTGCAGATCCCCGCCACAGCCGCTCAGTGAAAGAAGAAGAATGTGCCGCCGCTGGGTAGTGAGAGAGGTAGGTGGGTAGAGTCCGGTTGGGTTGGGTTGGGATGGGTTGGGCTGTTTGGTTAAGTTTTATTATTTTATTATTAATTTTGATGACATGGACTGCTGATTGGACTAAATTAATAGAATTTTGGATGGAGAAGGCCGGAATGACCGTTTTGTTATACGCTTAAACTTGTATTACCAAATCGTGTAAAAACAAAGATTTGTGACCGTTTTGTACAAAGCGCAAAGGTTTGTGACCATTTATGATAACTAACGCAGTTGTTAGTTTTTCCCGAGATATCCCAAAATTGGAACAACTTTGATACAAAATACACATACGACATTTTGCAGGCCTAAATCACTAAACAAACAAGAAAAGCAAATGAATGCATCGTCTTTCAAGTGGAGCTGCTGTTGTTTACAGTTGCGTGTCTCTGCTTCCTCCATCGATTCCTCGGTGAAGGACCATGTGTGGATAATAGAATTCTCGACTTCCCCACATGGTGACGTATATGTCGTTAATATGAGAAGATCCCTTCTCGTATTAATTTGGTTGAGTTGATAGCTAACTTGTATGTAGATCTCATGAAAATGGACATCATCATATGTTAAGTTAGAATCCCAAAATTCACCATCAAATTTGCCAATATAGGTTTGTCAAGAAGTCCAACTTAAACGATAAGATCCTAGTAATAAATCCGGAACGCTTAAAAGTCCCCATCTTTCCCGTTCAGACAACCATGAAGAATAATATTAAGAAGTTAAAGATTCAATGATCAATTTGTTATTGACTTCAACATTTAACGACCATCGGTACAATTAATCCGACATAATTTTGTGTATTGAATGTCACCATGGGAATGTTGAGGCAAAGTTGGTGCATCTTTTGTAGATGGCATTTGGATTGTCTTTGTTAGGTTTGGAAGACAAGGCTTTGATTTCGAGAACCATGGTATGCTATAGCTAGAATTGGATCAAACCCCATTCATTATCTATTTTGCTGGTTTTGATACCTTATATGTCAATTAATGGGTGGTGAGGCAACCATGCATGCTTTTAATCTCTTAATTTAATGCTTAGGCCAAAAACGAGAAGGCAATGCATTTCCCCTTCTTTTCAGTTTTGCATTAGAAGTATGTATGGCTCTTAATTCGGAGCAATTCAAGTGGTTAGGAGAACTCGATTGTATGTACTCATGATAAATTTGTATACTGGTTAGGTGTTCATATCGAGGGTTAACTAGATTTGTTTCATGAATTAGTAGTCCTAATAACTCAAATTATTGGGAAATGTTGTATAATGAATCTTATATAATTCCCTTTCATGCTCTCTTATGCGATACTCAACCCATGAACTAAAAGTATACATAGGCATGTAAACATATTGATCAGAAGCTCTTATAAGAGTAAGCTCATCTCGACAAATAAAATTGTTGAAAGAAATATCGTATTAAACCTTCCCTGCGATGTACACAAATTTCTTATATGACTATGACTCATAGATTGTGCAAATAAAAGCAAATTTTGTATCCACGTTGACGGTAGAATAAGTTGTAATATAAATACCTTTGGGGGAAGGCAATCACAACAAATAATTAAAGTTAATTTGGACAAATACCCAACATAAATAAGATATATCCCCATATTCAAATAACGACCTTAATTCCTTTGTTCCCCTTTGATCCCTTCCCTTTTCCTTTCTTTACATTTCCATCCTTCCTCCCTCAATATCCACCCTCTCTTACATATCCAACCCCTCAATTACCGCATATAAAACACACACACTTAAAAAAAAAAAACCCACATCAGTTACCAAAACAACACAAATTAATTAGTAAACATTGCTACACATGATTGGACCATCCTACACGATTACTCAATTCAATGAGTGTACCTGAAGCAACGGGTTGCAGCGGTGCAACCCCTACGATAAGGGTTGACCCTCTTATGCGCATCGCAATCGTAGTAGGAGTATCCACGCCAGCCACAGGGGATACTGTTCGCCCTAAGTGCTTGGTAGGTAATGTACCTCTGCCTCCCCGGGCCTATCTGCCATAACAACCTGTCGTGACTCTCCATATCCATCATGGAGTCGTCTTTATCCGCGTTAAAGCAATGCCCTTCCATGGCGTCGCAAGTGGCCAATGCCGTCCCCTCCCTAGCTTCTCCGTCGCACCTCCATGGAGGATCGACATTGTGGTGAACAGTAGTGCTTATTGTAGATGATGATTCGTCGACGGCTGCCATATGGCTAAGGCGAAGGCCGAAGAGAATGGACAAGACAAGGAGGCAGTGGCTAGGGGAAGCCATTTTGGGTTGTGTTTGTGAATGTGATGATGATGATGAAGTTTTGAGCTGTTGATGAGTGAATATATAGGAGTTGGTATTGTGTAATGTGTACGGATTGGGTCAATTAGACTAAAGGGTCACTAGATTTTGGGTTACGAACAAATGGATCATTCATTTTTTAGTGGTGCTATTTTCATTTAATTTAAGGTAATCACATAGACGTTTTCTAATGGGAATGTTGAGGCAAAGTTGGTTCATCTTTTTTGGTGGCATTTGGATTGTCTTTGTTAGTTTGGAAGAAGATGCTTTGATTTCGAGAACCGTGGTATGTTGTAGCTAGAATAGGATCAAACCCCATTCATTTGCTATTTTGCTGGTTTTGATACATTATATGCCAACAATGGTAATTGGTAAGGGGTGGACTGTGATAGCGTGGGTACGGGTTTCCTTATATATTTATACATATCAAATAAAGAAACATCGTTAAATAATTATCGTCACCACAAAAAAAGAAAAAGCATTTATCATCGTAAATACACCATCTTAAAGAAAATAAAATATGAATGAGCAACCACACAACAACCCAATAGTTGATCAGCTCGCGGAAAAGCGCATTCCCAACCTAGTTCACATGTAACTAATTAAAGTTAAGTGGTTAGTATGCAACTAAACCTTAATACTTATAGAGTATCATGCGCATTTAACCCGGTATGACTAAAGGAAAAAAAAAACGAATAATCTATAAAGTTCTATACCACTATAAGTGACTAGCTTGTACCCCCGACACATTGGTCGGCTGCAATACGATAATAGTATTTAACAAAGCGTCAAAACTTAAATTTCAGTAATCTTCTCCTCTTATATTCTTGCCATAATTATGTCAATGTAAAGCGAATTAAGAAAACGGTATCAATTTTACAAAATAGATAGCAATTACCATTAAGAAGGTCAAAATATTTTTTTAAGGTAATGAAGATATAGTATTATTATAAGATAGTCAAAACATTCCACTGCTGAAAATGAGCATCTATGGTATAGATTACTAACATGTTCTTTCTATGCTGATTCTTGTTGAAATTCAAAATGTAGGACTATATATGCAAGGAATTATTAACTCATATTACTTAATGATACAATATTATAGGTATTCCAAAATAACTGATACTGGTATTACCTTTTTATCATCAAGAATCTTCATTATTAATTCCACTATCCTCATGAAACAATAAACGCTTTTTATTTTTACATTTCTTGTGAAGCAAATTCAAACACAAAACACAATCATATATTGAAATGCAATTTTCATGACAATTTAGATAAATTTGGGTAGAAAAAACTAAATTGAGTAGGTCCTCGTCCCAGAACCCACTTATATATGTGGGGCGAGACGAGACATACTCATTTCACCACCATAACTCCAACGGGCCTCGATTAGATTCAAATCTGGAATCTGCAACTTCCAAACCTTCACGATCGCGACAGCTTTACCGTTAAGACTATCGTAGCTTCTTTCATGGCTATAGCCCAACGCTATTATCGTGAATATGACCCAAAAATCTTCCAAATCGTCATCTTATAAACGGGCTCTCAAGTCATCATGCTTAGTGACAAATTCATCTGTGGTGCGTCAATGGTCTGTTGCTCCTTGGAAATCCATATCGACTAGATGATTCCGATTACCAGTCTCTGTAACATAGCAACTCGCCAAACCAGAGCTTTTCCCAACCCGCCTTTGGCACCGAGCCACGGCCTCTCGGAACCACCACCACCACTACCACCCGTTCTGAAGCATCTCTTTGATTATTGCGGAGTTGGGTTAGACTCAGTTGCTGATGATATCAAGGTCGTTCTGATTCGGAACTATGGCACTTGTGAGGATGACACCTTGGTTTTTATCTCCGGTTTTCGTTTACACATTGCGGAGCAACGACTGGAGGGAGTTAGGAGTAAGCTACCGGCCGTCACGGGTGCCATTTTGTCCCCATGGTTTTATCATCATATTAACCTTAACGGGTTCATCTACTGGCTATTTTTCGACGATTACGGTGACGAGAACACTACTGATGATTATGTGATGGCATTTGATACCGGGAGTGATGTTTTCCACAAGATAAATTGCCCCGTTGTTATCCGTCCATCTCTATCTGCTCACCTCGGCATCTACCGTGACGACGCAATTGCTTTGATTGAGCAGTGGCGTTGGATCAAACATTTGGGATTCTGTTCTTCTGCTGTGTATTTACTTGCGCTGCAAGCTTTGTTCATCCTGCGGTATTCATCTATTCTTTCGGTTTGTCCATACTATGGCTCTTAACGTCATCAAATTTGTAATGTGTAGTAATCAATTGAAGATTGAACAAAAATTAAACATCCATCCATCCAACACACTTATTATTAGATCCATCAGCAGAGGAAATAATTACATCCCCAACTTCATTATTACACCATGTTTTTCCATAGTTAAACACTTCATTATATCATCCTTTTATTCATTACCCCTTTCTTCATTGATCTGATCATATCGCACATACATCTGAACAATGATCTACTGGGTATAACACGTACAATAACATACCTGTCTCTGATCTGCTGTAGCTTCCTCGCCTTCTTGATCTTCTTCTTGACTTTCCCACAGGGTGGTGGCATGTCGTTTGCCCTCAGGGCTTCGTGGCTGATGTACCTGTCTCTCTGCTTTGTCTCGGTGATGTTGTTGCCGCTGCGAGGTTCGACATGATGATGAACAGCACTTGTCGATGATGATTCGTCGTTGTCCGAATTGTGATGCCTCAGGGCTTCGGAGCTAATGTACCTGCGATCTCTCTGCTGTGGCTTCTTCGTCTCGGTGACATTGTGATGAACAGTACTTGTCGAAGATGATTTGACGGCGGCGACGGCCGTGATTGTGGCTAAGGCGAGGAGAATGGGGAGGATGAGCAGGCAGTGGTTATGGAAAGCCATTATTGTGGTTGTGTGTTGTACGTCAATGGTGATGGTGAGGATGGAGTTTGAGTTTTGTTGATAAGTGAATATATAGGGAGTTGGTATTGTGAGCGGTTTGGGTGGATTAGACTAAAAGGTCACTATATTTTGGGTTGCTAACAACTGGGTCATTGATTTTTTTTTATTATCTTTTTCTAGTTGTGCTAAAGATGAACTGATTATGTATGATGGTCACCGTCACTCCATCCATTTTATTTAATTTTATCCGGGGCAGCATGTCAATTCGTCTAAACTTTAATGATAGAAAAGTAACCAAATAAACGTTTCTAATTGGCTATCACACACCTGGAGGAATGGACCGGATTCGTTTCGAGCAAGCTGGGTTAGAATTAGATCGAGCAACGAGTTTGCTCTAATGGGGGCACACGTTACAATGGGGGTCGTCCATATCAACTAATTAGGGTCGAGAAGACCTTTTTCATATGAATTTGGTTGAGTTGATTGGTAACTTGGATGTAGATCTCATGGAAACGGACAATAGGATATTTGAAGTCCGAGTTTGCCAAATGGTTATATCAACGAATTTGAAATGGCGAGATCCTTCCATAATGCATAAAATCCCATATATCTTCACGTTGAGACGCCCATAAAAAATAATTCACCATGCATTAGTATAATTAACCCGATATGAGTTTGTGTATTGAATGCCACAATGGGAATGTTGAGGCAAAGTTGGTGCATCTTTTGTGGATGGCATTTGGATTGTCTTGTTAGGTTTGGAAGAAAAAGGCCTTGATTTTTGAGAACCGTGATATGCTATAGCTATAATTGGATCAAACCACAATCACTCTCTTTTTTGCTGGTTTTGATACGTTTATATGTCAAGAAGAGGGTGAAGTGTGATAGCATGGGTGGTGACTTGCAACCATGCTTTTGATCCCTTCATTTAATGCTTAGGCAAAAAACGAGAAGGCAATGTCTTTCCCCTCCTTTACGGTTTTTTACTAGAAGTATATGGCTCTTCATTTGAGTAATTCAAGTTGTTAGGAGGAGAAGTCCATTGTATGTACTCGCGATAAATTTGTACATCGGTTAGGTGTTAGTATTGAGGGTTAATGTAATTTGTACATCGGTTAGGTGTTAGTATTGTGGGTTAATGTAATTTGTACATCGGTTAGGTGTTAGTATTGAGGGTTAATGTAATTAGTTTTATGAATCAATTGGTCCCAAGTTTCCAATCACTCAAATTATTGAGAGATGTTGTATAATAGATCGTATATCAGTATACACTCTTAAACGATATTTAACTCATGAACTTGAAAATTACACAGACTGTAAACATCTTGGCCAAAACAGCCAGCTCATCTCAAGAACTGAAATCGTTGGAAGAGATACATAATTAAACCTTTTATTATTTATTCGTGGTTGTGTATAAATATTTCTTATATGATTGGAACTCATCAATTGTCGCAATGTTCATATCCACAACTATATATAGAAGAAAAAATTATATAAAGAATTCATGCAATGTCAATGATTTGAATCCACTAGGTATAGAAATGAAATTAGAGAGGAAACACAGTCCATTCGAAAAATTCACCATAAGACACATGAGGGTTAGTGTTGGTTGAATTCATAAGAATGATTGATGAATGTATAAAGCTAAATTATGAAATACATATAACAATAATAAATCCAGGGGACAATATTGACGAGTTAATTAGAAATACTTTGGGTGAGTAAATCACAGCAAATAATGAAGTTTGGAAAAATACCCACCATCAATAAGATATAATATATCCCCATATTACAAACAACACCCCCTCCATTGTTCCCCTTTGATCCTTTTCCTTTCTTTGCACTTCCATCCTTAGTTTCTCCCATTAATTAACAATACAAAAACAAACTAGTAAACATTGTCACACATGATTCGATCATCCCGCACGATTTACTCATTCAATGAGTGTACCTGAAGCAACGGGTTGCAGCGGTGCAACCCCTACGGTAAGGGTTGACCCTCTTGTGCGCATCGCAATCGTAGTAGGAGTTTCCACGCCAGCCACACGGGATACTGTTCGCCCTAAGTGCTTGGTAGGTAATGTACCTCTGCCTCCCCGAGCCCACCTGCCATAACAACCTATCGTGACTCTCCATATCCATCATGAAGTCTGTATCCGCGTTGAAGCAGTGTCCTTCCATGGCGTCGCACGTGGCCATTGACATTCCCGCCTCGTTGGAGTGGCCTATGTCGTCGCCTGTCATTGACTGTGCCATCGATTCGACTGTTGCTGCCGCAATGGCCAGGACGAGAAGAATCATCGAGACATTTATGGAGTTCATGATATCAGGGAAGAAAGAAAGGCGCAATTTTTTCGATAGGTGTTTTGGGAGAGGGGAGGGAGAATTGTATGTGTGTAGGCCCTTGACCCTTCCTGATCCGGAGAAGAGGAGGAAATGAGAGTGTGATGAAATGGAGAAAGGAAGAAACTTTGTGGCAATGTAGACATGGTGGGTTGTCAGAAGTTATTTTTGGGGATTAAAATTGGATGTTGAAGTTTTTCTGTGTGGTTGGTAATTTTTAGATTTTGTTGTGTGTTTGTCAGTTAATCAGTTAGGTTATCAATTAATTACCATTGGAGTAAAACGGTATGCTCTTTTCTTGCCGCTTGTCATGCTCTGCCATTGGGTTGATGTTAAAGTTTCAATTTGGTTATTTTCGGATGAACATCTGTTGACCAATGGAGTTTAGATGAGGTTGATTAGTCCACGAAGAATTAATTAGGTCGTAGCTATGCATTGTCGAAGTTTTTTTTAATATATCCTGTTGTTCGTTTGGAGTTTTGGTCAAACCACTTGGGCGCTAAATTCAATGTGAGTGTCGAGTAGGATCACTTAGCCATTCTTCATAATTGGATTCATACTTGTACATTTATAGAAAACATTGATTTATATAAACCAAAGAAATGTTTTTCTTTCATCAGTTGTTGATCCTAACGTTCGAATCCAGATAAATGTTTTCTCTTCAATGAAACATTGAAATTCCTATGTTCTACCAAAAAACTTCTATGGCATAAGCATAAGAAATGGTGTCACTTCAATTAATGAATCTTTCGTAAATGTTCGTGAATTTTCTATATTGTCTGGTTTCCATCAATTCTCCTATTGAACTTTTTGTGATTGTCTCGCCTATTTTCTTACAATTAGTGAGTGTGTTTTCTTTATCTTTTCATTAAAAACATAATATTACTTGACCTCTATATTCCCCTGAATTATATGCATAAAAAAAGCATAGTTAGCTTGTCCTAACTCACACTATAATCAACTCACCTTACCAAAATCTATGCACCAACACGAAGTAAGTATACTACAATGATTGAAATAATAACTCCGTTGTTTATACATTGTCATTTCTAATATACCCAAATAAATCAGAATCTAAGTTGCTAAACTGTCTAATTCGATCTGAACAAGATTATATACTTGAGTCACACCCAAGTTCCCTTAAGAACACTCATTCAGATTTTGTAACTTGCCATTATTCATGTGTATTGAGTTGATAATATGCCCTTTGAATTTGGGTTGAAAGTGCCAATGTTGTCAGAACCGAACTGGAGCATGACCCGGTAATGCGAACGGCTCGCACTTTAGTGGTCCAACCGGCATTAGACCGTTTAAAAACCATTAGAGAACCGGTACCTAATAGACGTTATCAGTATAAATAATGGACATTTCTTAATCAGAGCTCATCTCTTTCCTTCGAAATTGTGAAATTGAAATAAGGATTCAATTTGAGAGCCCGACGTTTTTTGTTTTTTTCAATTTTCAATTTTCTACAATTTTTTTAATTAAATTTAGTGGTTGAATGGCAAAAACCGAACGAACGGCTCGATCGGCTAACCGCCTCGACCGCTTGCCAACCACTACATAAAACCGGAGCGGCTTTTAGACTGTTCCGAACCGATTTTGTGACCGGGTGGCGGTTTTACCGGTCGGACCGAGCGGCTCGGCTCGGCTTTAATAACACTGGTTGAAACCCAATTTCTCAGCATCCTACTAATTTCCAAGAAGTTCTCGTGGAAACTAGACGTATGTATTGTACATAGTTAGCCCACCAAGAAACATCCAATCGCAACAGCGCGTAAGCCTGACATCATCATGGGCTCATCACAGATTTAAGTAACTGTCAAAACTGATTGCGATCCTTCCACGTAAGCCACCAGATCGCGAACGCGTGTCCCTATCCTAGGGTGTGGATGGAGACAACCATCTGGACATGTCGGTTAAGATCCATGAGGCGGCCCACCACCCAGAGAACGAAACAAACTCAACGTCAAGGCAATAACTGGACATGGGCTCCGGTGAGCACCAAAGGCCCACATAACACACACCTGTCACTCGCTGGACTTCTGATCCAAACTCCAGCCTTTTCATTACTGGCTGATTACACGGATGTATTGTACTATTGTAGAATGAGAATGCTTTGGGCTTTATCTAATTATATATAAAAAATGTTGAAAATGAAAACTTTCAATATTAAAACTATATATAGATTCTTACAATGCTGTCGTTAAATATATATGAGTTATTGAAATTAAAGTATTATACTTGTCACGATAATTTGTCATATGTGGATCGTGCCTATTAAAATAACAATAATAATAATAATATTTGCTATAGGTTTAGCCAAATCAATACGGTATAATATCACAGATATAAAATGAGAAAAGATTAAGATCAGACTTGATCAACCATGGACATCGTAAAATTCATAAAGACCTTGTTAACTTTGTCCGACCAGCTGTAATGATTACGAACTAGACTAACACCGTGGCCTATGATCTACGACTCGACTTATAGCCTCGTATTACCCACAAAATCGATTCGACCTTGACTAGTTATCCGGCTTTGTTATATCCTTTTTTTAGTTTTGTATTTATCCAGATGGGTTTTGATTTTGGAAACAAAATGAAGGAAAATTCCCTCAACACATGGTACCAAGCCATCAACAAAATGTGCTATAGAATTATTGGCTACATTTTATGTCCATTGAAAAAATACTATAGTAGTTGAGTGGTTAGAGTTAGATAATATTGATGCTAGTGGGTCCATAACATTGGTATTAATGTTGATATTGTGTACTAATTTGATTATGAAGCACATAACATTGGTTGCTAATTAGTCATATTCTATAATGTGAGTATGTGACTTCTCTTCTTCTCAACCACCCACATCAATCCACTTCCTATACGTGGCATCCCCTTAAAAACCCTTACAAATAATCAAAAGACCTACTCCAAAATTAGATTTGACCATCCTTATATATTATTAATCATCTGGGTCAAAGCAATGTTTATAGGTTCCATTATACAATTGATTAATTTGTCATTATCCAAAAGGTTATAAACATGGACTAGATGGATCAACCCAAAAACTTAAAGGGGGTAAAGATGAGAAGAATTAGAGCTGGGATTATCTATTTTAGCTACATTTTAAGTATACTAACATGAGAAGGTAGATTTTTTTTTTCTTTAACAAGAACTTACGATCACATCTGCCATTAAAGGGGATGTAGTAGATGTACATTTAAGAAGAGCAGTAGATGTTTTTAAACAATCATATGGTACCATACGAGGTGATCATCAATACGTACATTTTAGTAGCATTATCTTTTTCTTCTAACTTGTTATCTTAGTTTGGTTGGTTATATATGAATTCAACAAAACCACGATTGTAATTCGATCTAGAAGTATTGATATTAAACCTAGTTGGGTATTCTTTTTTTTCTTTTTCTTTGTGGAAGTAATCCGTCTAGAAAGGATTGACTAGCTAACTAGTTGATAGTGGCTAGTGGCGGGAATAAGGCATCTCAAAGTGGAAAAGAACCCTAAAAATTATACTAATGCAAAGATGATTATTATTCCCGACTTCTTAGTCAAATATCAACTTGCACCAAAAATGGGTTTCGTTTTTTTTTCTTCTTCCATAGAAAAATGGGTTTCGTTGTTACCAAAGTAGTTTCTAAAAGGCCAAATTAAAAAGAATAGGGTTTAGGTTATGTAGCTTGGATTACAAGGCATCCTGCATCATCATGTTTAATTAATCCCATAAGTTATTTGTACAATGATTATCCATATTATAATATAGTAATTTATTCCTTCTTCTGCGTATTGGATCACTCTTTTCCTTTTTGCAAATATACTAACATGGGTAATGGTGTTCAAGAAAGGTACTCATGTCTCTTTGCTTTTAATTGAGATTACAGAATAACATAAATATAATTAACCTTAACATGATATTTTTCTCAATCACATTTAGATTTATATCAACTGCCTGCACCAGCAACGGCCCGTGAGTGCAATTTTTCGTTCCGTTGGATATTATCGGAATCGTTTTTATTATTATTTCAGCATGAATTATAAATATTCAAATTTCAAAGTATCTACAAATTTTTATCGAGAATCAATTCAGATTCTTAACATGCTTTCTCTAGACTAGTTCAACAATAAAATTTCGACATTAATACATTAAAATTATAAATGTCAGAAGAAAAAAACTTGAAGCAATAGCCTGGATGCCTGATACGATAGATTGGTAAAAAAACCAAAAAACAATCATAACGAAAATCAAACTAAACCGGTTCGACATCGACTGGTCTCTTTCTCTGGTTCTCATATCAATCGTTGATGGAGAACATGGTTGTCACGCCGACCGACATGCCACCGGTTGTACCTGGTTTAATAAATACCTGTCATAAAATCGGTGTGACACCATAGGTATGACCGACATGATTGATATACGAATTTCTAAGTAAAATGACCTTATTTGAGTGAATGTAATTGATAAAAATTATTATATTATCTATTTTATGGGTATAAAAGTTAAATATTGATGTTATTTGTTGAATTCAAGTATAAATGTTTAGGTATTGACAACCTTAATGGAGAAATCCCAAAAAATATCAACAAACCCAAAAAAAAAAAAAAACTTAAAAAGGCAAGAAATTGAAGGTGCAGTGAGTCTCATAATCACAGACACCTGGTTGTGATGATTTGTCCGTTTCACAGCTTTCATTCGAGTACTCACCCGTGCTGCTACACAGTACTTAGCTCTCTTCTTCTAATTTGCTTTCTCCCTCCATCTCTCTAGTCATTCTTCATACCTTCTTGTCAATTTCCGTTTGGCCTCAACAACTCCTAGCTCCTGCTTTCCCTCCATGGTTCCTCCAGCTTGCTAACCTCTGCTGCTTCTTGAAGGTAACCACTTTTCTATTTTGTTCCAGTTTTCATAGATGGGTTTTCGTTTTCCTTACTTTTCAATTCCAAATCCCTTCCATGGCTTCGTTTTTATTGTTTTTTGGGGGAGAATTTCATGGTGGGTTCTCTGAGTTTCACCTGCTCTTGCCTCCTCTGGTTCTCTTCTTCTCCTCTGTAGCTCTCTCCTCTCTGTTTGACCTTCTGTAGAGTTGATAACAGTTGAATTCTGTTTTTTTTTTTTTTTTTGGGTAAGATCCATTGTGCTGTTTTCAGTAGTTAATTGGTGGTTGGTTTCCTTGTCATTTTCCAACTGATAGCAGATCGGGGTAAGCTCAAGAGTGTCAATCATGGAGGCTAAGGACAACCATATGGAAAAATCGCCTCTTCTTAACAAGGTGAAAATGAAGTTCCTTTCTTTACTTCACCTGTTGTTTTCAGCAATTGGTTTATGATCGTGATCGTTTCTCAAAATTTGGTTGGTTAATTTTGGTCTTAAAGGTTGCTAACGTGGAGCAGCAGTTCCTGGAGATGATCCATTCCTCCAAGGGTTTATGGCATTCGGAGGTTCAACTCATGTATAAAAAAATATGTTCTTGTTATGTGAAGCTTCTTGTTCTTGGTGATCCCAAGCTGGAAGAGCTTCAAAATGTTGAGTACTCGCTGTGGAAGCTTCACTACCGCCTTATTGACGAGTTTCGCAAGAGATTGAGACGAATTCCTGCTAATGGAGAACCTACTGCTGAATCTGTTGATGGGTTCAAGTCATTTCTATCAGAAGCTAGCTTATATTACCAGAATTTGATTCTTAAACTTAGAAAAAGCTATGGCCTCCAGGAGGGCTTTACTTTGGGTAGTAAAAATGGTGGAATGCAGAACAAGAAGCTTCCGTTCTTGTGCCATCGGTTTCTAGTTTGTCTAGGTGATCTTGCAAGATACAAAGAACAACAATGCGACAAATCGGGCCAACCGAACTGGTCCATTCCAGCTAGCCATTACTTGGAAGCCACAAAGGTTTGGCCTTTCAGTGGCAACCCTCAAAATCAGGTACTTGATAGCTGTTAGCTTCTTGCTTGCTTCTTCAACACAGCATATATGTGTAGCTTGAACTAAACCAGTTAGTTTGTTGGGTTCCTATAGTTGGCAGTGTTGGCTACATATGTTGGAGATGAGTTCCTAGCTTTGTACCATTGCATAAGGAGCTTAGTTGTTGAAGAACCTTTCCCTGATGCATGGAATAACCTTCTCTTGCTATGTGAAGAAGTAAGAATCATAAATTTCCTTCATCTTTCATGATTGATATTCCTTCCAAAAGAATGCCTGCTTATTGGCGCCTGTTCTTTTTGATCATTTGCAGAACAAGTCATCTCCATTAGCTTCCATTTCCAGTGATGCAGATTTTGATTTCTTGAAACAAGCATCTAGTGGTCAAATGACATCAGATTGCAAAGTCATCAAAGAACAACAAGAAGAAGAATCCAGTAGTGGAGCGAATTTGTGGGTTCTTATTATTAGAGTGATAAGCTTCTTCTTCCTAGATTCAAGGTACTTATTGATTGGAATCTTCCTTCAACCTGCTGTTTTCTAATGAATCTGCATGCAATCTGATTTCCAAATCCATGTATTTATATCTCTGTGGTAGTTTGGAGGAGTTTCCTAGTACTTTTGCATCTGCCATCAAGGAGCTGGAAACATTACTCTCACTAGATGATACAAAGCTGAAAGCTGCCCTGGAATCCTATCACTATAAGGACTCTAAGCAACCTTTCCGAACACTTCAATTCGTGTGCATATTCATCTTTGTGATCGAGCATCTCAGAAACAAAAAAGAAGATGTCAATGAGACAATGCAATGGGCATTGACTTCTACATTCATGGTAATGGGACGCCTCGTGGACAGATGTTCGAAGGCCAAACCTTCATCCTCATGCCCCCTGTCACCAGCTGTACTCATTTTTATCGAGTGGTTAGAAACCAACTTTGGGGACGTGGAAAAATATGGCTCGGATGATAGAACCACAGTGGCCACGGCCATATCTTACTTCTTCAGCTCTTTAAACGAGCTACTGAAGAAGCTGAATGCTGAAAAGGCTGAAGGTGATGAATGTGAAGTCAATCTTCCTCTTTGGGAAGACCATGAGTTGAGAGGGTTTGCACCTTTAGCTCCTTCTCATGCTGCATTGGATTTTTCCTTAACTCATCATCAAGGCTCAGCAGATAGTTTTGAGCGTGGGAAACAAAACCGTGTTCATAGAATAACCAATGCTGCCAAGAAGATTTCTGGCAGATCGAGTGGCAACCAGAAATGGTTCATTCATGACTTCTGTAGCCCGAGAATTGATGCAGCAGACGACGAGGAATCAATTTCTGGCAAAGGAAATGACAAAGCTGTTACCGATGAGAAATCAGGTAACCATCGGGCAAATGGGAAATCTGGTGCTGGTTTCTTAGACGAGGAAGAAGTCATTCTTTTCAAGCCTCTTACTAGACATAACTCTGAACCTATATACAAAAGCTGGAGCAACTGTTTCGAAGATCCCATGCCATCTTCAAGGGAAGCTGGGAACCAGGCAGTAGCTGCTGATGAGTGTTTGAGACGTGCAACGTCCTTACTGATAGCACAAAACCCGGCACAAGGAGACAACAATAACAATGGTTCCCCTTTCCATTCAGACCTCGCCAATTTCAGGCGCAGCAACAATTTGCAGCAGCCTATGAATGACACAGTTACTAGCATGTTCTCGGAGCCTTCCATCTCCCCTTCGTTCGGTTCCACCATTGCAGCAGGCCCCCCTTCACTCAATGCTTGGGTCTCGCCTTCCTCATCCGGCCACGAGAAGACAAGAGGGAAAAGTGTGAAGCAAACATTAGCACCCATTGAAGAAGCAGCAGCAGTAGTAGCATCTTCATCATTGAGTGAGCTCTCTATCAGTGAACCAGAAGCAAATACCAGCATCAGCTCAGGCCATTTGTCTTACTCACCTCCACTTCCTTCAGCACCATTTCTGCCTGATGATGATTGTTCCACCTGGCCTAGCAACTGTAACATTCCACCGCCGCCACCCCCTCATTTCTCGGATCATCATCAACAAGCACCAGCCGGGTTCTCGAATTGGAATGGTCTTCCTCGTGATTACACTTACTATCCTCCTGGATTCACATACCCTCTACCACAACAACAGCGGAGAATGACTTCAGCCGAGTGGCTGAGGCAATACAGGGAGAACAATCACAGGGCCAATGGTCACTTGTGGAAGCCCCCTAGTTATGGTAATCATGTTAGTTCTGATCAGCAATGGGGGATTCCGCCGCCATTGGTTTATGACCACTCGCCATCGATGATGCAGCCGGGGTTCTCTCCAGTTCATGGTTACTTCCCAAGTAGACAGGGGTTGTACGGGGAGAGTCCTTCGTTGAATGAGCCGGAGCCACTTTTGCAGTATCTCAAGGAGAAAGAATGGCTGATCCACCATAAAGATTCAAACTTTAGAGGACCCACGTTTATGGGAAGCTAGCTGATGCTAAAATACTTCAGTTCCTGGATTTGAGTAAAATTCATGTCAAATGAGATCGTAGTTAGTACGTGACTGGTTTGTATGTACGTACGTATTCATGTATGTATGTATGTATATCTATGTATATGAGTATATGTGTATGTATGTATATCTATGTATATGAGTATATGTGTATGTATCTAAGTATACTTATTTTGTTTAGCTGTTTTTCTTGGGGAAGAGCTTCAGATAAGACTATCTCCAACCCAAGCATGCAAATTTGGAGAAAGGGAGGTTTTTGGCTTTTTTCATCTCCAACCCACCAATTATTTGGCTTGCAAATTTGGAGAAGTGGGCTTGGGGGTGGATAGATAGAAGCTCATATGGAGATATGCAAGGAGAAGGTGGGGGACCAACCATGGAACACAAGCCCACACGCTGGGCCCCTCCACTTTCCAACATCTTCTTTTTCTTTTTTAACTTTCTTAATTTTTGATTGGTTGGTTATGAGTTGGGAAGGCAAATTTAGAAGGTTTAGGGTTGGAGCAAAAAGGTGTTTTGGGGAGGCAAATATGCACATTTGAGAGCTTGGGAGGCTAAATATAGCTTTTTGGGTTGGAGTTAGTCTAACAGAAGAGAGTGGAGAAGTAGAATGTCTTCTTTTCTGGGATTCGACTTTTGAGCCTATTGGGTGTCGAACTGGTACTGTTGTATCGATTTAGTAAATGATATGGTTCGACCGATAGTATAATCGATTTTGTGCTAGTTGCTGATTTAATAAAATATATTATCATCAAATGAATTTAAATGTATGTAAAACATATTTGAAACTTAAAAGCAATTTACTTACGATCTATATTCATATTTAAATAAAATTTAACATTCCAAACTAGACTATAAATATTTATATTTAAATACAACATTTAACATGAATTCAACAAATAACATAAATATTTATTTTTTGAAGTCATGAAATAAATTATAAATTAAACTTTTATTAATTAAATTCACTGAGAAGATGCCATTTTATTGGTTGGTCGAAAATTGATATATCGATTATTTTACCAACGATCTTAACAACGATTTCATTACCGACACCGGTTGAACCAGATCCAACCCGTCTGCATTTACGGCCTTTGACAAGTGACAACCATGGTGTTCGACTACGTGGATTTGACAAATGGGCCCGGCCCAAAGCCACCCATTTCCCGATATTTCTATTCCTCCTAGTCCTAGGCAGCCATCCCCATTCACCGACTGCAGGTCTCTCTCGGCTTCCACGATCTCTTCTTCTTCTTCTTCTTCTTCTTCTTCCCAATTTCCGGTCATCGGCGGCGGTCACTCTCGCTCCTGCTGTCCTGCTTCTAAGGTGAGTATCGCTTTCTCTTATCACTTCTAGTTAGCAGCATAGCAAGCTTGTTCAGCCTAAGTCTCGAGTTAGCGCAAGTATTTACTGTCTGCTTTCTCTGCATGGTCGGAAACTGGTGGTCGCCGTTAACCGCCATGGGCTCCCTTCCCTTTCCCCATGTAGCAGCCATCTTTAGTTTCACGATTCGGACCCACTTAACTACTCGCAGTCTACTATTTCTCTCGCATTCTCTGCAAATGTTGTATTTAAAATTTTAAATTAATGATAATGGGGCGGGGCAGGGCGGGTCAATACCCATGGCTCTCCCGGGGCTACTGCGAGTCGGGCTGGGGTAAAATTCAGTTGGGTACGAGACCTGTCAATCTATTCTTACATGTTATTTGAAAAAGTCCACGCAAATTTTACTTTTTACGACAAAACGAAGTAAAAACACTTTATGAATGAAAAATAGTGATAACAGAATAGGTAATTGAGTCTAACAAGTTGAAAGATCGATTCTAACTAGTTGAATAAAAGTCAATATAGGAGAAATATGTATAAATATTGTAAGAAATTGAAATAGAATGAGGCAAGAATAGGGTGATGTAGGGCGGATCAGAAGTACATACCTATACCCCGCCCTACGCTACTTCAGGTCGGGACTAGTAATACTCGCAGGACGAGTTCAAATTGCCATCACAAATTTAAATACGAGTATTATTTATTTATTTTAAATATCATATTTTATTTAGATATGAACATGGATTATAAGAAAATTAAGTCTTTATATCATGGTTTGCGAAACCATACCGGAAGCCATACCAGACTCGTCTATGATAGGGTATTTTGTGGTACGACCGTGGTTTAGCTGTTTCATACCGATAAAATAGCGTTTTTAGAATAAAAAATATTTTAAAAAACTTTACCAGCAAAATCAGAGTAGCGTTACGGAGTAATACGCTGTAAAATGTTAAATAGACATAAATGATATAGCAGTCAACAAAGTACATCATTACTTAAAATGTACCATTTTTATATGCATCGATTGAGAATTATAGATGGGTTATTAGCTGTATCTATTTATAATATTTTTATTCATAAAACACTCATTTATTAACATTTTTTTATATATATTAATACCAATTAGACTATATGAATTTATACTCTATGTTCGATTCTGACAACAAGCCGTTGATCCAATTAATTCCTAGAGTTGGTCGTTCCCTTTTGTTTCCAAAGGAATTCCTTCTCCCAAAATTTGGTCAATTAATTTTACCATTTTAAAGGATACCTTCCTTTTCCTTCCCCCATAATCTCGTTCAAATCATTCCTAAAAACTTGGTCCAATTAATTTCCAATAAATGAATGTTTCCCAGATAAACTTGGTCCATTTAATTCCCAATAAAGCAGATACATCCTCGAGCTTACCATTTTCCTCCAGATATTCCAAAAATTAAATGCCAAAATCTGCTGGTATTTCGCGGGAAGCCGATTCGACCCCAATTACCGACCGACACAATATTCTCTCTATATTTTGCATACTGTTTCGGATTTGGTCCGGTTTCCTGGTTCGCTCGACCGGTCCAGTATCGTAATCCATGCTTTATATATGTTTTTATGTATAGTTAAATTCATTTGATTTTAATTGAGTTTCACATTCTACGTATTTTGTTAAATTAGCATGAATCGGTGCAAACTAGTTATACCGTCAATAAAATAATTTTACTTTCTAAACCAGTACAACAATATAAACCTGTTCGACAATCTTTAGAATTGCTAACGTCGATTTGACAAATGAGCCCAGAGCCCAAAGCCGTTGTCAGAATCGAACATAGTAATTCCTTCTCCCAAGATTTGGTTCAATTAATTTCATCATTTTAAAGGATACCTTCCTGTTCCTTCCCCCATAATCTCGTTCAAATCATTCCTAAGATTAAAAGGGCTAAAAACTTGGTCCAATTAATTTCCAAGAAAGGACTGTTTCCCCATATTAACTTGGTCCATTTAATTCCCAATAAAGCACATACATCCTCGAGCTTACCATTTTCCTCCAGATCGTCCAAAAATTTAATGGCAGAACCGGCCGGTATTTCGCGGGAAGCCGACTCGACTCCAAATTACCGGCCGGCACAATATTTTCTACCTTTCCCGATTTGGTCTGGTTTCCGGTTTCCGGCCGGTCCGGTATCTAAATTCATTTGATTTTAATTGGGTTTCACATTCTACATATTTGTTCAATTGGCATGAATCGGTACAAACTAATTATACCACCAATCGAGTCATTTCATTTTTTAAACCGGTGCAACAGTAAAAAACCGGTTTGACAACCTTTGGAGTCAGACCACGTCGATTTGACGAATGGGCCCAGCCCAAAGCCACCCATTTCCCAATATATATAGTCCTTCTACCCAGCCATCTTCATTCACCCGGTTTCCCCGATCTCTGTTATTTTTCTTCCCAATTTCCGGTCATCGGCGGCGGTCACTCTCGCTCCTGCTGTCCTGCACCTAAGGTGAGTATCGCTTTCTCTTCTCACTTCTAGTCAGCAGCATCGCAAACTATTTCAGCCTAGTTCTGGAGTTAAGGCAAAGTATTTACTGTCTGTTTTCTCTGCATGGTCGGAAACTGATGCTCGCCGTTAACTGCCAAATGTTCCCTTCCGTTTCCCCATCTAGCAGCCATATTTAGTTTCACGATTCGAACCCACTTAACTACTTGCGGACTACTATTTCTCTCGTATTCTCTCTGCAATTGCTGTGAATAAACCCTGATTAACGATTTAGGTTTTTTCAATGATAAGATTGAAACTACAATCTCATCTTCGTTCAATCATGTCATTTTTTTTCTCTCCCTGCAGCTATGGGCGAAGGAATGGAAAAACTCAGGCTCTTCAACCCGGACATTCTCGAATTGGTGCTATCGAAGCTGCAGACTAAGGATTTGCTTCGGATGAAATTCGTTTCCAAAAGTTGGAGGGATATCATCCGCGACCGTTCTTTCGCGCTGCGACATTCGCGGCTGAGGCTGCCGCCGGTGTCCGGATTCCTATTCCAAAAGAACCTTGAATGGGAGGGGTTGGGTGTCTCTGCTGTGAGCTACATTTCGGCTGAGAGGAAAGAAGAAGAAGAACCACCAATGCTTCTCAGCAACATTGTTGATTCCATGCCGGCCGATTTCAAGATGGTCTCTTCCTGCAATGGCTTGATTTGTTGCACCCGCTACTCCGCTGAAAATGATACCTTGGCTATCCGTGTGGGGAACCCTTTAACTAGAGAATGGTTCGAGTGTGATTGGAAGCGTTGTGGTGGCAGGGCGTTTGCCATTGGGCTGACTTTCAATCCTTGCCGCGATCTTACCAACAATTCGACGAATTTCAAGTTGGTTCTGGTGCAGGAGGCAGTGGCCAGCATTGGGAAAGCATGTTTTGGGTTTTATGTGTACTCGTCCGAGACCGGAACTTGGAGGCTTTTGGATGTAGATGTAAGTGGCGACGATAGGTTCACGATGGGGGATACCAAATGTGTGTCTGTTAAAGGGTTCCTGTATTGGTCGACCGTTTCTGGGATCCTTGTGTTTGATGTGGAAAACGAGCTTGCTTATGTGATCCTTCGGCCAATCATGCCAATCGTAGAACGTGACCAAAGCTATGGAGCATCAGTTGCCATTATGGGGGAATCCGATGGTAAGCTTCAGTACGTGATGGTGTCCAGTGCTAGGCTGGTTATTTGGGCTCTTGAGGATCCCCAGGACGGCGGCAAATGGTCACTCGTGGTTGATAAGTTCTTTGCTGATATGCAGAATGATCTTGTTCGTTTTCTGTGTCTGCAAAGGGAGGAAAGGAGTTTTTCGATGTGGGGTTTTCCATTCGGATTCAAGGATGGTTTTATGGTACTGAGGGTGTCCTCGGATACAAGGAATAAAGGAGCTATTTACTTGCTCAACACAAGGGACGGTGGATTCAGCCGTTTTGCAGATGCAACTGGGTTTTCTATCATGGGCGGAATTACTCCCTGTGATGTGCTTCCGTACTCAATGAGTTTGGTTCCTTTAAATCGGCCATGATGAAGGTGTGCCCTGCCTCCTGTCCTGTCTTCTCTGCTGCTCATTATCATTATCTTCTCCATTGTTTCATAACGCGCCAGTTCGGTTCGACCATGATGTCACATTTGTCTCCTCTCTTATTGGACCAGACTCAGTCATCGAGGCCCAAGCCTGAACGGCCCATGACAGCTCCCTCCGCTAGCTGCGTCAGCTCGTGTAGTTGCCCTAGTTCAACAAGGACTAGGTTAATGGATTCTGTCTCTAGTACGAGACATATATATTGGTGTAAGGCCGAAAGGTCATGTATTGTGAATTCTGATCAATAAGATTAAAGCCGGAGAGGCTGAACTCTCCCGTGGATTAGTCCCGATCACCAAGTCGGGGATACCACGTAAAATCGCGTCTCTTGCTATTTACGTTTTACATATTTATCATGGTATCAGAGCATCCGGTTCAGTGGTAAGGACGTTTTTCTCGCAGCTATGGTGAACACGGACGAAACAAAGAAGTCCGAGTTTTTGGGTTCCAGCGGGAGCTCAGAAAAGGGTTCTGTCAATGGAGGTATTGATCAATCCTCGTTTTATTACCTCCATCCCTCAGATAGCAACAGTCAGTTGCAGGTAGGCGATCCCCTCACACCGACCAATTACGCTGAATGGGTTGTTGATGTAACCGACGCCTTAATTGTCAAGAACAAATTTAGTTTCGTTGATGGCACTCTACCTAAGCCCAAAGAAGACCCGGAGCTGCAAGCATGGACTCGATGCGATGCTCACGTCAAGGGTTGGCTTCGGATGGCCATGACTAAAGAAGTTCGTAGTAGCGTGCGCTACGCAAAGTCTGCGCGGGAAATCTGGGTTGACTTGAAAGAGAGATTCGGCCATGGTACTCTCACACGGGGCTATGAGCTTCGCCGACTCATCTCGGCACTATGGCAGGAGAAACTCTCGGTGTCAAGCTTCTATACTCAATTACGTACCTTTTGGGAAGAAGCAAACTCAATTTCTCCAAGTGAAATCTGCACCTGTGGACTTTGTCAATGTGGCCTTGAGCGCAGGATTCGGGCAAAGGAGGAGACAGCAAGGTTATTCGATTTCCTCATGGGGCTCGACGAAAGCTTTGGGATCGTGCGCAGTCAGATCCTGTCCATGAAGCCGCCACCTACCTTGGAGGAGGCTTATAACATCGTAGCTAACGATGAACACCAACGCCTCCTGGCACAGCGACGCAAGCCAACGCCTGAAGCAGCCGCTTTTGCCACTCAGAATGAGGGTGAACGCACTAGGAATGATGGCGAGCGACCAAGAACTAAGTGTACGCATTGCGGCAAGACTGGCCACTTGAAGGAGACGTGTTTTGAATTAATTGGATGGCCTTCTCGTGATAAGAATGGCCAAAGGGAACGACAAGACAAGCGGCGACGTCGTCCCAACGAGGCTCAACCACGAGCAGCAAAAACTGAAGTTGAGAGCAGCCCCATTCCAGGCTTCACCATGGAGCAGCTCGACCAACTAAAGAAGCTCCTTATTCCGTCAAAATCCGCAGAAGACCCTTCGGCCCATATGGCAGGTATGTTTCTTGATGGTTCTGAATGGATAATTGATTCGGGCTGTAACGAACACATCACTAGAGATGCATCGGTGTTGAATGGTGAATCAATTGATCAAGATTGTCATCCAGTCAGAATACCAAATGGGGATAGTATCCCGGTTAAAAGGATTGGGTCAGTAGAGCTAACGAGTGGGTTGAAACTGAAGCGGGTCTTGTACGTACCAGAGTTTAAGTGTAATCTACTGTCTGTCAGTCGATTGACTCAAGAAAACAATGTAGCCCTGATATTTCTTCGTGACATGTGTATCATCCAGGACTTACACTCCAGGAGCGTGATTGGGAGGGGGATTCTCCGTGACGGGTTATATTACTTGAAGATCTTGAGCAGTCAGGAACAGTTTGCGTTCACAGCTGATGGAAAAAGGTCGGTTTCTGAAGATGTATGGCACAACCGTCTCGGGCACCCTTCGTCTTCTCAGTTCGCACAGCTTAGTCGCTTGTTTTCTTCTGTTCCTAGTTCAGTTAAAGGCCCTTGTCACTCTTGTTTTAGGGCTAAGCAAACCCGAATTCCTTTTCCAACTAGTTCTATCAAGACATCAGATTGTTTTGAGCTGATTCACGTAGACATTTGGGGAGGATATCAAGTAGCTTCATTGAGCGGTGCTCACTATTTTTTGACTGTCGTGGATGATTTCAGCAGGGGTGTATGGGTATACTTACTCAAGTTTAAATCTGAAGTAGCTCGCTATCTGTTGATGTTTTGTGAGATGGTAGCGACGCAGTATAACAAGCGGGTTAAACGTATTCAAGCAGATAATGGATTGGAATTCAAAACTGCTGAGCTTCGTGAGTTTTATGAGAAATCTGGAATCATACTGCAGACAAGCTGCACAGATACACCTCAACAAAATGGGGTAGTAGAGCGCAAGCACCGACACATCCTTGAAGTTGCTCGGGCTTTGCGATTTCAAGCTGGTCTTCCTATTCGTTTTTGGGGAGAGTGTATTCTTACTGCTACTTATCTGATAAACAGGCTTCCAACTACAGCGACTGGCAAGACTCCGTTTGAAATACTGTTTGGCAAAACTGCTTTGTACGATCAATTGCGCGTCTTTGGATGCCTTGTCTATGCAAAAGACAATCACGGCAGCCTTCACAAATTCGCGGATCGGGGGCGAGCAGGAGTATTCTTAGGGTATGCAGCCACACAAAAGGGATATAAAATATATGATCTTATGTCCAAAAGGATCATAATGTCTCGTGATGTCGTGTTCCACGAACGGTACTTCCCTTTCCAGGCGCAAGATCCTAGGGAATTTCATTGGATTGATCCTGATGTGTTTGATGAAGTTTCAGTTCGGGAAGTGCAGCCCCCTATCCCAGTTGCCATCGAAGAATTGCCTTCTGCACCGTCCCACGTGCATGGCCATGCACCAATACCTCCCAATGTCTCAGCTGATAAATTCCCTTCTCCCTTGTCGGCGGAATTGTCCAACAGTAATGGTTCTTTGTCCAAAAGTAATGAGAGGCAAAATGGTCCTTTGTTGGCAGAATTGTCCAAAAGAAATGAGAGGCAACATGGTCATGATTTGCGGAGGTCACCCATCCCTTTTAATCTGACCGAACAGGAGCCCTCGCCTCCAGTACATCAGTCCCCATTGCCGAGCACCTCTAGTCCTCCAAAGGAAGCTCCTCTCGGTCGTGGTCTTCGCCAACGCTGGCCTTCCAAACGCCTGGCTATTTATGACACATGTGTCAATCTTGTTTCTAATGTCAAGTACCCTATTTCTAATCATGTATCATATGCTCGTGCCACGCCACGATATCGTGCATTTCTGGCCGCTCTCACACGCACTACCGAGCCTCGCTTCTTCCATGAGGCAGTCAGATACGCTTATTGGAGAGAGGCCATGAAGGCTGAAATCCGTGCACTTGAAGCAAACAGAACTTGGAGTCTTGTGTATGCACCGCCTAATGTGCATCTCATTGACTCGCGTTGGGTATTTCGTATCAAATATCGTCCTGATGGAACTATAGAGCGGTTCAAGGCACGGTTAGTTGCAAAAGGTTACACACAGGTTGAAGGACTTGATTATCATGAAACTTTTGCCCCGGTTGCAAAACTTGTCACTGTGCGTTGTCTGCTCGCAGTTGCCGTTAGTCGTGGTTGGTTCATACATCAGTTAGACGTCAATAATGCCTTCTTGCATGGGGATTTGCAAGAAGAGGTCTACATGAAGGTTCCTCCCGGTTTTGCTGAACCTGGTGATACGCGAGTTTGCCGTCTCCATAAGTCGATCTATGGATTGAAGCAGGCGTCCCGGAACTGGTATCAAAAGTTCACGGCTGCACTATGTGAACTTGGTTTCCGCTCATCACCTGCGGATCACTCGCTATTTGTTTTCAGACGTGGTGAGATTTTTGTCGTGGCTCTTATCTATGTCGATGATGTTATTCTTGCCGGAACTGACATGAATTTCATCAACCATGTTAAGAAGTTTTTGGATCACCGTTTTAGCATCAAGGACTTGGGGCCTCTCCGCTACTTTCTTGGTTTAGAGGTAGCGCGATCTCCTCAAGGGCTGGTAGTCAGTCAGAGGAAGTATGTTCTTGATATTCTGGAAGAAGCAGGTGTTCTTGGATCTCGGCCCAGCACCTTCCCGGTTGAACAGAATCATCAGTTGACCAAACCCTCTTCAGAGATTCTTGTTGATGGTTCTGCATATCGTCGTTTGGTGGGTCGCCTTCTTTATCTCACTGTTTCTCGACCAGACATCACCTATGGGGTTAATATCTTGAGTCGTTTTGTGCATGCTCCTACACAGGCGCATATGGATGCTGCCATGCGCATCCTCCGTTATTTGAAGTTGTCTCCTGGTCAGGGTCTGTATTTTCCTGCCGCTAATGATCTGCATCTCCATGCCTACTGTGATGCGGATTGGGGAGGGTGTCAATCCACCCGACGGTCAACTAGTGGTTTCTGCATTTTCCTTGGTACCACGCCCATCTCTTGGCGTACCAAACAGCAGAAAGTCGTTGCTAGATCATCTGCTGAGGCAGAGTACCGGGCCATGGCATCTACTGTTAGTGAAATCGTGTGGCTCCGATGGCTTCTTAGTGAACTTGGCGTCACTCAGTCTTGTGCTACTCCTCTTCGCTGTGATAATCAGGCCGCTCTCCACATTGCGTCAAATCCTGTCTTCCATGAACGCACCAAGCATGTGGAAATGGACTGTTATTTTGTACGCGAGCGTGTGACTTCTGGTGTCATTTCACCAGTCAAGGTTAGTTCTGAGCTCCAGATTGCTGATCTCTTCACAAAAGGGTTAGGGTCCGATCGTTTTCGTTTCTTGCTGTCCAAGCTGAACGTTCGTGACCTCCACCGTCCAGCTTGCGGGGGCGTATTGGACCAGACTCAGTCATCGAGGCCCAAGCCTGAACGGCCCATGACAGCTCCCTCCGCTAGCTGCGTCAGCTCGTGTAGTTGCCCTAGTTCAACAAGGACTAGGTTAATGGATTCTGTCTCTAGTACGAGACATATATATTGGTGTAAGGCCGAAAGGTCATGTATTGTGAATTCTGATCAATAAGATTAAAGCCGGAGAGGCTGAACTCTCCCGTGGATTAGTCCCGATCACCAAGTCGGGGATACCACGTAAAATCGCGTCTCTTGCTATTTACGTTTTACATATTTATCATCTCTTTCTTCCTCGTTGCCCATTTGCAGATGTGTGAATCCATTAGCAATTTGAATTTCTCCAGAACAAGATCTCTCGTCTGGTGTTGAGGTTACAGCTAGCTGAAGCTTCACATGTTCATTCTGTTAAAGAAAGGAATAAGTCTACTAGTGTAGGTTGCATTTGCTTGTTAGTTGTTTGCACTTTTGTGTTTTTCTCTCCTTTTTGTTTTGGAAAAATGGAATGCGGTTTAATCTGCAGATACAATTTCTCTATTAGATGAGCAACCCTATTAGTAAGTTTAGTGAGCAATGTTTGATTGAAATCGATTTCCAGTTGCGTACGATAGTAGATAACAGTTTTTGGATACCCCCAAGATAATGGCGGGAAAGATGGTATAACGAAACACATCAACGGTTCAAGAAGAGTTGGGCCTGCCGTGAAGCCTAAAGCCCAAACCATTCCTTCATCAGTCATCACTAGGGCTGTTAATGAACCAAGCCGTTCATGAACCAAGCCGCTCATGAACGGCTCGGTGTGCGACTCGAGAAAAACTCGTTCGACATTCGATTCGTTTTAATCGAGCCGGCTCGTGAACAAGCTCGTTAACTAAACGAGCCGAACTCGAGTCACACCATGTTCAGCTCGAAAGCTCGCGAACAAGCTCATTTAATGGTTTTGCATAAAAAAAGGATTAGAATTCATGGATTTTATGTATGGAAAATTGGGATAATATTGTGTTTTACTTTGCTAGACTTTGCTTCAGGTTTGAATGTAATTTTGTGCGCAGTTCTAGGTCAATCTTGAGCTATCATAAACATTTTATGAGCTGAACACGAATTTGGGCTCGTTAAACTTATTTGACGAGCCGAGCTCGAGCTTTCATTTTCATAAACGAGCCGAGCTCAAGCTTGCATATTAAAGCTCGTGACGAACACGAGCCGAGCTCGAGCCTGGAAATATATTAACGAGCCGAGCCTGAACTATGACAAAGTTCGGCTCGACTCGGCTCAATAACAGCCCTAGTCATCACTGATCACCCAAAATTTCCGATCTTTCTATTCTAACTGTGGTTTCACGGTCTCTCGCCGTCTTCTTCTTCCCCGTTTAGATCGGAAGTTTGAGATCGTTGATCTAGCCGTATCACTCTGATGGACAACCGGAAATCGGGTGTATCGCCGGCGGAGGCAGTCTTACTGGGCGCTCTCGCACCTGGAGTTAACGTTAGTATCGCCTTTTGCTTCCTCTCTCAGCTTCTTTACTTGGCAGTAAAACTACATAATTGTTTCAGCTGAGGTCTGTGTTTTTTGTTGGGGGTGTTTGAGATTTTTTTTCAGGCACCGACATGGAATACCCTGAAATCGGCGTTCGTGTTGCTGGGTGCGTGTCTCGCTGTGATGCTCGGTTTAGCTTTCTCTTCGAGCGACTCGGCTTTGGTGCTTCACGTCGGGTTCCTCGTTCTAATTGCGGCTACGCTGTTCTTTCTTCTCAGCTGGTAAAGTAATCCCTTCGAATTGGAGAATTCGGCATTTTTGTTACTTGAGTTCGAATCTGCTTAATTGAACTATGTGATTAGGCTGTGGGAATTATGAATTAGGGTTTGTTAGTTTGATTCCCAAGCAATTGATTGATGGTCGCACGGGGATGGAAACTAGATATGTTTTAGATCGTTCATTTCCAGTAATTTGAGTTCTGCCCATGATATGTTTTAGCAGCAAGTTGAGTCTTTTGTCTAAGACTGCATGAACTCATCACTCATCTAATCGTGGGATGATTCAGGCTTCGTAACTGAGTTCGTATATCTAATTAGAACAGCAAAATAACGAATCTCGATCAGGATTCGTTGTAACAAGCATATTGGATCAATATTGGATTGTTTCCAGTCTTTCTTTTCTTGGAAGTGATTCACTTAGGAAGCAGTTCTATATTATACCTTTGGGTCTTGTAAGCTTTTCTGTATGGTTCCTGAGAAACTGCAGTGCTCTGGGGATTTCCCATTTTGTCCAGGTTTCTGTCTCAGACTGGTCTGGTCTCAATCGAACACCAAATGCAAGAAATGGACCTCGTGCCAAAGGACCGGAAAGACGAGTAAATCACGCGAAAGATTGAAGCTTTATGGTAACCGGACCGTTCTTAGTCAGAAAGAAACATTCTACTCAGGATTCCATTTTGATTGAATTGGAAGACACGGTTACAAATATGATCAATTACAACTACATTGACGCGGAAAGAACTGAGAAGAAAAGATGAAGCGAACCGGTAGTGGCTCCCCAGGCAAAGGCGGAGTTGCATTGTCCTGCAGAGTCACTTTTCCCTTCCCTTGTTCTCCTTATTGTCGTGCTTTCTCTTCTTGGCCTTGAGGAAGCAGAAACATGAACAGCAGGGGAAATTGAATAGGAGCTTCATCTCTTTTTCCCACGTTCTGGTGGCTGGCTGGCCTTGAATGTTTGAGGGGAGAAACGCCATTTTGCAGTGTGTATTTATATAGAGCTGGTTCTTCGTTGTGTGTACATTTAGTCTTTTCGTGACCAGGCTTTCTGGGATGCTATATTGAGATTCCTTTCATTTGTACAGATAGACAGATGGGTCGATGCACAACTTGTGCAATTCTTTGAATTTGATAAGACTCTGACAGTCGAAGGTTTCGATTAGAAGCAGCAGCATAAAGCTCGGGATAACTTTCCGCAAGAGTACAGCGTGGTATCCACCTGTCTTTCCAAAATGAAATTGTCATTCCAGAGCCTGGTTTAATTACTGCATCTTTCCAGAAGTGGGAGGACACCTTGATTATGCGTCGCCAGATAGAGATTCACATTCGACCTGTATGAACATCAAAATTCCAGCAATCTTGAGGATACTCAAACTTGATGGTGATGAGAGATTTCCACCATGAGTGCTCTTCGTTCAGGAATCTTGAGATTGCCGTTTTGATCCAAGAAAGCCATTTTCCCCCAAAACCCATCCTGCGCATACAATGCAGAAGGAAGTTCCAGTTTACATGGTCAAAAGCTTTTTCTATATCAAACTCAAGGTTCCACCATCTGCTGGAATGTGCAATTCAGGTACACGTTCAGGGGTGGTATCCTGCAGAAATACCAGACCTTCCATCAACTCTTGACTTCTATATCCATCACCTGGCTACAAGGTCCCGTTGATAGGCCTCTTTGTCTACTTCCCGGAAACAAATTCTCTGTAAGTGATTGTTATTCATCACTGACCAAAGAAGTATTTCAAGGCCTCGGCAACACATTCCCAGCATGTACAATCTGGAACTCAGCTGCCCCTCCAAAGATTTCTGCATTCAGTTAGCTTGTTTATCAAAGGGAAGATTCTCACTATAGATCAACTTAGGCTGCGAGGTTGGTCAATCCCTAATCACTGTTGTTTGTGTTTTGATGCGGAGGAAACTACTGAACATCTTCTTCTTCACTGCACATTCTCTTCAAAAGTGCGGGCCAACTTCCTTATTCGGCTGCAACTGCACGGTCCCCTCCCTCGCCTATGCAGCGTCCTGCTCATTGAATGGAAGCATCCAACTCGCGGCTGTTGCTTCAAAAAATCACTACAATTGTTGCCTCTAGCCACCTTCTGGACCCTGTGGATTGAAAGGAATGCAAGAGTTTTCAAAGACAAGAAAGAAAGTATTGCCACTACAACTGCACAAATTAGCTATTCAATTTGTGAATGGGCAGCTTTCCACAAGGAGGTCTCTGGCAACGAAATTCAAGCACTTCATAGTTCATACAATGCTCATTGGTTGTAACACCAACCCCTCCTTTCAGCCTCATTGAAATGTTTATTTTAAAATTGTTCTGGTTCTTACATTTTTCTTTATGTAATCATCAGGAGCTAGTCCATTTCTTATGGACCCTCCACCTTTAAGATGGAATAAAATTTCAGCATCAATTCATTAAAAAAAAAACTTGTGCAATTCTTTGCTTCTGATGGAGAACAGTTGATCACAAGGTTGAATTAATTAAGGTATCGTTTGCTTGTGGGATTTGGGTGATGGATTTGGTATCAAATCCCAAGCATAATGGAATTGGCACAAGTTCATTGTTTGCTAAGGGACACAAATCCGTGAGGCCCATAAATTTGCAAATCCCACATTTCATTTGGGATTTGATAATGGAAGGCAAAATGTGAACAAATCCATCATGAATCTATGACAAAAATAAACTACACAAACAATGTACTCTTCCAAATCCATAATGCAACAAATCCATCATAAATTCAAAGGTTTTGAAAACTCAAAAACCCTCATTTTCAAATCCAACAAGCAAACGAGGCCAAAAAGTTTATTTTTTTTGTGGTAGCTTCCTCTTGGCAAATTCGTTCTAGGCCCGTTTTAGGCAAAGCAAAGGTTAAGGGTTTTGTATTAATTGGGGATATCAAGAATGGAAACAAAGAAAGGTTTAGTTTGAAAATCGAAATCAAGTCAAATTAAATTCAGTTTCGTGGAGATAAAATCATTGTACACTTTTGTTGGCAAATGCAATATAGCACATTAATCGTACACTTTGTCATACATTGGCGATAAAAGGATAACCACGTCATTAATATGCATATATAATAAAAATTGGCAATTAATAAGGCGAGTTTTAAAATAATTAAAGAGATAGCAAAAATATTACCTCGTATCTTTAGAAGGAACACATTATATATAAAAAAAGAGGTGTTATAAATGTATGATTGTCAAGAAGCATTTTTCTATCTATTGATTTATATATTGTGTCTCAACTCTCGACCGTAAGAGTAAGAAATCTATTTGAGTAATAAGAGTATTCTTCCAAATCTATTTGAGTAATAAGAGTATTCTTCCACTTCACTGTAGCTAAAGCTTAAAACATTCTTTTTTGTTTTTGTTTTTTGAAAGAGACCTATTATAGGGTGCTATTAGAGAGGGCGGGGAAGGGGGATACTAGCATCGTCCCTGGGATTCGAACCTAGGGCTCCAGGCTGAAAACCAGCGGTACGACCACTCGACCCGGCCTCATTCACAAGGTTCTTTTTATATCTTCCTTCATGTTGGTTAATTTCATTGCTCATTTTGTCACTCTTTGTCAAAACTTTGAGGTATTAAATCTAAGTTTGTGTCAATCACTTCCCCATTTGATAGAGCACTCAAATCCAATTCATCCTCCAAGGTCTAATAGCACGGGGATACAATAATTAATTTAGTTTTGAAATTCTTACTTTGGATCGAAACTACCAACCCTTAAAAGACCATATGATCTACAATTCAAGTTAAATGAATGAAAAATGACCTCGTGATTTTTCAAATTACATATGAATTTCTATCCAATTTCAATGAATCTACCAAAATGATGGATTGGTTTCAACCAAAATGGGGAAGTTGAACTTGAAATTATCATGGAACTAAAACAAGAAACACAGCCTGAAAATCACCAAAGAGTTTGCTTATATACTGTGAATGTTGATTGAAATCTAAGAAAATTAAAATTGATTCTCGATATATTCAACAATTTTAGGCATAGGTCTTATCATACGCTTCTAATAGATTAAATAATTTTTTTTGGGAAAAAATATCGGATTATAAAACACTTTTTTTGGGCGACATAAATATGACAATTTCATTTACTCTCCAACAAATCTAATGAAAATAGGCAACTAAGAAGGCTAGTCCTAAAGTAATTAGAAATAGCAAAATAATAATCCTCATTTTTGGAAGAAATGTAAAGTTTGGTGGTTTGAAAAGGAAAAAGAGACGTCATAAATATTTGATTCTCAATAAAAGAAATTTTTTTTCTTTCTTTCGTCCCCCTCCTTCCTTCTCCCGCTCACTCGCTCGTCTCTATATATTTTGCCGCGACCATCGAGAATAAAAGTATACTGTATAGAATTCAGATACTTTTCGAGGGCTCTGCTTTCACCTGGAGTTAACGTTCTTTGCCGCAAGGAATAGATATCGAATTCATGTAAGAGACCTACTCCTAGATCTTACTTCTCATCTCGTTATACCCTTTACTTTCGACACTCTGAATTCCATTTACAACTCCATCGCCTCCTAAAGCCTACGGAGGAAGTTCGTTTTTCTAATCTCTCTCCTTTTTCGTTGATATCTTTGTTCATTTGCGCCATTCTTATTAATAGATTATATGATTCTTGCAAAACATCCCTAATAGATTTGTCCAATCCCACTTTTAGTACTCTCCAATTATCTCATTCATGTTGCATTTGACACTTTATTTATTTATTTTGCTGGAAGTTGACACTTTATTTATAAACATACTGTGTTTTCCATAATATTACTATGGATAAAGGGAGGCGTAAAGATCAATGTTGAGTGCTCACTCTTGCTAGAGATGAGACAGTGTTGGCTGGTTCGAGTTGGAGGCAAAACCTAACCATCCATAACTAGCCACAAGATTGGGCTTTTCTTAGGCCCGCCATTGAAAGTTCAGCCCATTATCTTGTTATTTTTTCGTGGGGCCTGGTTTGTAGCTGATTTGGACCGGTTCCCCCCTACCAAACCTTTATCCATTGGCTAATATTACAGCGCACCGTAAAAAGTACGACACCGGTTACACACTTTTTAATTGGGCCGTGTGGATGTGATGTGGCATTAGTTGAGATTATACGAGCAAATACTAGTAATAAAATATCCCACCAGCATATTAGTAATCCTCTAAGTACTTACAATATGAATTTACATAGGAAACACTGTCCTTGAGATTGTACTAAGAAAATTATTCGATAGAACACAAAAATTATAATTTAATCGTAGTTCAACCATTTCATATTACTAAAAAACCATAACAATTTTAGCCTCTTTCGATCTGCCGGTAATATTACAAACACCAGAATTTACCGCCATATTTTCATTCATTTTCTTGGAAGTTCGTCCACAATTTCCGTACTGCCAGCTGGCCAAAGAAAAAAAATCCTTTCACCTGCTGCTGCAAGGGTGGTTTAAAGAAAACAATACAGACACTTTCTTCCTTACATACATGGCAGCCAAGCACGCTTCCCCAGGCGGCTCCCCGGCCACTCTCCTCCGCCAGCGTGGCACCGCCTCTCCGTCCGTTTCCACCACTCCAAAATCACTTACTGCGACACCTATATATACGAAATCCGTTCTTTGTTTCCTTGCTCTCGCTTTCTCCAAATCCGCCATTTTCGTCAGTTCCCTCTGTTTTCCTCTGCATGCGCGTCACAGATTTTTCTTTCACGCTTTCGTTCTCACCTCAAGCATTCTTCCCGTTTTCTGAATTCCGATCTTGGATTGTGATTGCAGAGAGAAAAGAAAGGATTTCTGACGATTCGGAGGAGGTTACGAGAAGCGCGAGACGAACGATGGCCGAGAATCGGCGGGATGCACAGAAGATGTTAGTTCAATTGCCTCACTGAACTTTTCCAGTTTGCTTAGCTCGTTTCCCCCCTCAAATTTAGCTTTTCTATCAGTTCGTTTTGCATCTCGCGATCAACGATGGTTGACGATGATTATCGTGGTGATTTCTTCTTCTTGTTTGACGGATTTGGTGGCGCGCAGGTTCGATAAGTACTTGCTGGATTACATGGTGAAGCGGAACATGCACGAGACCGCCGCGCACTTCAGAGTCGAAAGCAACGTTCCGCAGGCGGAAGTCCGTAAGTATTAGCTTTTATCATATGCTTTAAGAGTAACCTCTCTTTCTTTGCTGCTGCCGATTCATCTTAGTAAAGAGCTCAATCTTGCATCTACTCGATTCAATTCTGATACAGGTTAATTGATCCTAATAGTTTGAGTTCTTCAATGGTCCGAAAAATGCTCAATGATCTTATGCCATTATCTTTCTTGCTGATTGCATTGTCTAATTAGTCTTGGTTCATTTGTTGATTTAATTCTTGGGGGTGATCTTGATGATTTGAGTTGCTGATCTTGATTTTGCGTTGCATGATTAGTAGGAGCTAGCTAGCAAGTAACGAACATTCACTATTTGATACTTAATGACCCCTTAATTAGCTACATAGTCTCGGTCAACGAATCGCTCGTATCTTCCACTAATCTTTTCAGCCGTGAATGTCTAATGGTGTAACGAAACAAAAGATGTCACACGTTAATGGACTGCCCATATTTTCTTCTATGCATAATCGATATTTCTCTCTGTTGGGTTGCTGGACTTTGGATTATTATATAGCGGTGGAAAATTACTTTTTGGTCATCATTATTATCTAACATAAAGTTTCTCTCCCCCGTTTTTGTTTTGTTTTGAAGATACTGATACGGAAGAAGGGTTTTTGCACGAATGGTGGACAATATTGCATGACATGATGACCTCTAGGGAGGGTAGGAGTGGAGAGGTCCCGCCACCGCCAATGTTCAATGTACCGATGATCATTCTGAAATTTGAAATACCCTTTTAAAGTTAATTATGATGCATAGACTAATGACCAAATGATGCATAACTTGGTGTTAAGAGAGCTCTGTTCTTTTGTTCAGACTCATCAGCTAATGACACAGGATGAACTGCGGAGGATGCAGATAACTCGGGCAGTATTCGCTATGAATCAACAACAGACGCCAATGACGATGCAGTTTCGTGGTGGTGGTGGTGGTGGAACCAGCTTAGCCAGTGGTATGCATGCTGCAGCAGGGCAGATGCCAATCAGGGCTAGTCACCCTCGGGAGTATGGAAGGATTTTTAATGAGCATCAACAGCTTCATAATGTCATGCGGCTTCCTGTTGGAAACATGCTCTCCAATCCTCCGCATACTGCTGATATCCAGCCTCAACTGAATCTGCCCACATCACAGGCTGCTGCTGCTGCTGCTGCATCCAGTTCAGCTTCTCCAAGGTATATTTGCTTCTGTGATTATTGACATGATTATAGTTTGTTAATCGTTGAGTTCAATGATCTCCTGACTGATTACATTATTGATGTAATAATGCAGCTACTTGCAGAAGCAACCGTTTCAGAAGCCCGTTATGCATCAATTAATTGCGGTATGGAACATCATCCACTAATGAATCAGTTCATTTGGTAATAATGGGTTACATTCAATGTTAGCTAATTTGAGTCATTTTCCAATTGTTCAGGAAGGTGGGCAAGGGATCAGAATTGGTAACAGTAGTAACATGGTGAACAATGGCACAAATGGAGGAGCAGCTTTAGGCAGAGGTGACCCTGAATTTGTATCTGATTCCGATGCAGGTATAAGATGAATAAGCTTCAAAGCTGTTGGTGTCTCTCTAGAGTTCCAAGCAAACAACTTAATATTAATATCTGGATAATTTTTAAGGGACGATTCCAATGCCGCCAGAAGGATGGCTGACGAACTTTCTGATGAACACCCAAGAGTTTCCTCCTGGTTTCCTTTCAGATAAGAACCAGCAAGGTCAACAGAAGCCACGGGGTCAACGTGCACCGGCTGCAGAAGGAACTACTGCTGCTGGGCCTGGAACTTCTGGGCACACCAACATGGTAAATAGAAGAAAGGTAAAATCGATTAATATTTCAGGTTGGGGATGAAAGTGTTTTGTAAGTATGACAATTGTCTGATCGCCAATTGGTTTAAACTAAGACGACTGAACAAAAATGGAGAATCTGAGAAGAAAGACCGAGATCCAGATGTTTAAAAAATGCCAGTTTCTTTCTAGTCATTGGTATAGATTAATATATGCTAGCTATTGTATCCACTTTATGTTCCCATCTATGATTGGAGAACATCCACATTGTGCAGGATCTTGGAGAACCAGAATCTGAATATAAGTTCATGCAACCTTTCTTGTGTGCTGATGATGATGAAAATGATAATGAAGAAGGCAGTCGATTGATTAAAGGACATGATGAAGGTAAGCATCATTGAGTTCACAAAACAAACACCAGGTTTCTTGGTTTCCAAGTCTCTGTTCATGTGTAGATAAGTCAGGTATTTGTAATTATTTTCTTCACAGCGCACTATCCTCAAGCAACCTACCATGCAATACAACCAGTTAGAAGTCTGAAAATGGGCAAAATCAAGATGCAGTGCTGCCATTTCTCATCGAACGGGGAGTCGTTGGTCACCTCAGGATATGAGAAGAAGGTGAATATATATATATTATCATTCATCTACGGTTGTTTCTTTCAAACCCCTTTCTGTTTCACACTTGCATTGTTTTGACAGGTCGGGATCTGGAAGACACACGGTTATAGTTTTTTCTTTATAAAGACACACGATTATAGTTACACCGGGACTTCAGCTGGACATTCAGACCTAGTTACGGATATTCGTTTCCAACCAAGTACAACTGTCTTTGCCACATCGTCCTTCGATAAGACCGTCCAAATATGGGATGCAGAAACAGTAATACATCTCCTCCCCACCTTAAACCTGATACACTAGCTTACTTCCAAGTGTTCTTTCTAATGACTTGTTATCCACTGCAGCCAAGCAGGTCACTCTCCAAGCTCCATGGACATGGCGAGCAGGTACTTTCACTCGATTTCCACCCAAGACAGATCGATCGTCTTTGCTCAAGTGACCGCAATGGCAAGATTCGATTGTGGAATGTGAGCCAAGCTCGTCCTCTTAAAGTTTCCAAGGTCCAGCCCCCAACTCTTCTAAATACATGATCCCGTCCCTTAAAAATGCTCAACTTGGGTAACTTGTGTCTCACGCAAGTCTCAATCTGTGGCATTGCACTTGCAGGGAGCTACGGCGCAAGTCAGATTCCAGCCCCAATCAGGAAAGTTACTAGCTCTCGCTTCTGGGAATACTGTCTCCATAGTTGACTCGGAGACTTACGTTATCCAATTCACCTTGAAGGTAAAAAAAACTGATAAAACCTTGAATTATCCATTCTTTTTACTCCTCGCCAATTTTCATTACCACCTGTTTGAACTTAGAAGGACTCTTGCTTTACTGTTACCGGAATTCAGGACCATGTAAACGACGTTCGGTCCATCTGCTGGGATTCTACCGGGGAGCACATTGCTTCTGTGAGCAAAGAGAGCGCCCGAGTTTGGTCGCTAGCCGGCGGCGGGAAGTGTATGCACAAGCTGATGTCGCATGGCAGTAACTTCCACTCCTGCAGTTTTCATCCTCGCGTTTCGCAAGCCCTGTTGGTTGGTGGTTACAAGGTAAAAAAAAAGGTTAAAACACAACTCCTTTTTACCCCCACAAAGTGGACTTTCACCAAGTGGTTTTACTTTTGGTTTTGGCCTGGATTGATGCCACAGAAACTTGTGTACTGGAGTGCGAATCAGAGGTGGTCGACTGAAGCTCACAAAGAGATCATAGCTGCAATGGCGAGTTCTCAGACAACCGGATTGATAGCGTCTGCAAGCTATGATGGGTCTGTCAAGCTCTGGAAGTGAGGACTAATTTTTGACAAAGGATTTTTCTCCTGAACATGGGAGTTCTATACAATTCATACAGCAGCTGACGATTAGGGCTACAGAAACATCTTTTGACCAATCTATAGAGTTGAGCAGCAACAGGCAGTTACTGTTTTTTTGTTCTTAACATTTCTGGATTCTTGTTGAACATTTTTCTGCTGGGGTTACATCCGATTATCCGAACAATCTCTGCTGTTAATGGTTTGCAGATAGTTGGAATTATTGCCTCCATGCCATCGTTGTGAACTTGTCCTCATCACCTGTGATCCTGCAGGCACTATGAACAGATCCGCGATCTGAGACATGGTACACAGGAGTCCCATACCATCAATGTTTTTTACTCCGGATCAAGAGAAGGGAATGAATTTGGTGCTTCTTTTAGTACACTTTGTTCAGCTGCCAGAGTACAGACCAATTCTCTCTCTGCACAAAATCAAAGATGATACAAGATGGAGATTACAGTCTCTTCATCATTTCCACAGTTCCTCCATTGGAATGCCGCGCTCACGAGCAACATCCCTGAACTGCCTCATTTTCTGTACTGCAACGACTGTTGCTCTAGCGTTGTTGAGGGCATTGTTACTTCCAAGCTGCTTTCCCAGTGCATTTTCCACACCAGCCATTTCGAGCACAATTCTCACTGCACCTCCGGCAATCACTCCTGTACCGGGGGAGGCCGGCCTTAGCATCACATTTGCTGCTCCGTATTTCCCATCGGATCTGAATACCAAACATATAATGATGAGTTTTGAGACTGTCTAACTAGAAAGGGAAGTCCACAGAAGCTCAGAGAAGTACTGTTTTCACAAACAATTACATAGCATAGCCATAGACAGATGATATGATAGACAATCAACATTCTGCGAGAGTAACAGCTTAATCTCTTAAGAAATATAGGTTTTAAGTTTTAACTGGTGATGTGTAATTAGTCATTCGAACTCATCGTAGGGTCAACTCTCGAGAAAATATTCTCCCATTCAAGAACACTGGCACGCTGCTATACACGGGACTAATGTCATGAGGTAGAATCAAACTGCATCAAAGCAGATACCTTTGGTTTTTTTTTTAGATAACAGGCCTTTTGTATCACACTGAACACCGAAACTCGATATTGAGACAAGAGCAGAAACACTAAACTCGTCACGATAAATCACAGTCAGCATTTGCATTTCCTCCATCAGCATTTACCATTATGTTAGTTGATATGGCAGGCACTGTAACTGGAAAGACCAATTGCGATTTGTAGGGACGAGTTCGATGCTTTAGTTGCTACACTACTAAGTTCGATGTTCAATCTTGTATACTATGATCTAATTCTACAACCAAATGGTTGTTCTTTATGAGTTCTTAAACCCTTATTGGGCCAATTCAAGCTCCTAACAAGAGCCATAAACACCACATGCCACTTCAGCTTAGAGAAACCAACTTCAGAGCAAAACCTGATCATATCCTTCTTGTATACTATGGTCTAATTCTACAACTAAATGCGTGTTCTTTATGAGTTCTGAATCCCTTATAGGGCCAATTCAAGCTCCTACCTAGAGTCACAAACACTGCATGCCACTTCAGCTGAGAGGCAGTAACTTCAGAGCAGAACCTGATGAAATGAAACTTCAAAAAAGACAAGTTACCTGTGAGGGAAAGTGGAGTATTTGGTCAAAGGCACAGTGATGATGTTCCTCCTGGCATTAATGGCGGATTTCTGCACAGCGCCAATCACTTCCTTAGCCTTGCCAACGCCAACCCCGACCTGCCCTTGCTTATCCCCAACCACCACAATCGCCCTGAAGTGCAATTGCTTCCCTCCTTTCACCACTTTCGTCACCCTCCGCACCTGAATCACTCTCTCCTCGAACCCGTCTCTGATCTTATCCTTCTTCACCTTCCCAAACGCCGTCATCTTCTTCGCCTTCGAATCCATCACGTAAATGTCCTTGCCCAGATAGCTCTCCCCGCTGTACGCCGGCCCGTAGAGCTCCTCGTAGGCGGCGGCGATTTCATCCTCGGTCTCCGGCGGGCCCTCGTCGAAGTACGGCGGGGCGATGAACCCTTCCGGCGGGGTAGGAGGGTCGAAGACAATTTCCTCCTCGGATGCGAATTCGTCGTCGAAGAATGAAGTGTCGATTTCGCCCGGATTGGAGCGAGGAGCGGTAATCGTCGTCGTCGTGCCGGTGGATGAGAGGGACAGGCGGGAGAGGGAGGAGAGAAAGAGCTTACTGTTGGCGGGTTTGTTGAGGAGGAAGAAACGGGGAGTTGGGTTGTGGAGAGAAATGGAAGAGACGGCGGAGGAGGAAGAGGAGGATAGTGTCAGCGTCGTTGCCGCCATTGTTGCGGATCGAGGAAAGAAGGAAGAAGAAATGGTTATCGGGAAATTTGGGTTTTGGATAAAAGGGGATTGCGAACGGAAACGGGAAAGGAACCTGATAATAGGGTTTTGGGCTTGGAGCGATTGATGGGCCGTGGGCTTATCGGTCCCGAATGCTTTTTTGACAATTTTTTCTTCAGAGTGGCTCATTCAGTAGCTCGTCATGCTCTGTTGTTGTCACCTCGCTTTCATAAGGGGTTTGATTATGTTTTATGGTTCAATAGTCGATAGGTTCTTTGTAATCTGGGATCGTGGATTTTCCTCTTTTTAAGAGTGATCGATTGGCAAAAAAAAAAAAAAGACAATCTTTTCTTCATACTTTCTCACTAAACCTCTTACTTACATTGTACTTAGAAGTTTGAACAAAGTAACGCACTAAATCCAAGCTAAATGACCAATATGATAGTGTTCAATCACAACATTTTACTCTTCATTCGAAAACCATACAACTAATTTTCCATTCATTCTTAGTTACCATCTCACTTCATACGATATTTACATACAAGACCATCATATGAAATGTATTCTTTTATCATTTTTGTATAACTTTCCTCCACTTCTCTCAACTTCCATCATAATCATTACACTTCAGTTTTGCAAACTCACCCATCTTCTTTTAAACAGAAAATGTTAACCAGAAAGTTTAACCAACTTAGCTTAATGATTCCAAGTTCCAACCTTCTACAGTAGGATAAATAATTGGGCCGAGAAAAGGCCCATCATAAGTTTATAAGCCCATAACTAAAACAGTAGACAGAGCAATTGACATGCTGAAAAGAGGGCCCAAACTGAAAATCACATTATTTTACTTTGGAATATGGATGCCAATCGATAGATGTATCTTGATACCCATATATATTTCGTGACAGATTGGGTACATATACAATAATTTATTATAAGTTGTGGATCGAAATAAATAGATCTATATGAGTACATAATTAAAATAAAAAACACAAGATAACCACTGAAACTATAACATGATAAAATGTAGTTAGATTATTCGAAAATTTAGATTCTTCAAAGTTTTTACCATTCCCCCAGAATCGTATGGTATCATCCACTCTTATCAACAACTCTAGAGGGAGCTGGCTAGGGACACACAAGTGTTGACCAGCCACACCGCCACCGACGTAACCCTCTCACCACGTGTCACCAACGTATCCACGTGTCAATACTACACACCGCCACCGTCTGCCTCGTCGCCCCTCCATATATCTTTGCATCTACCGGATCCATAAACAAAGCTAAACGAGAAAGCAGCAAACAAACAACGTACCCAAAAGGGAAGAAAAAAAGAAGAAGATCCTGAAGCAGTTTTTTTCCCCCCTACTCCCAAGCTCTACTACGACCATGGCTGGCTTATCATCGATGACGAGAAGCGCGGCGTTCTGCCTCTCTCGGGCTTTCCCGAGAAACCAACCGTCTGCAAATCCCGGCCTCTTCCTCCGCCGCCGCGTCTCCTTCTCCTCCGCCGCCTCCAAATCCAATACTTACAACGAGGTATAATTAACAATAACCTACGTGACTCTGCTTTCTCTGCCTAATCATGGTAATTAGTAGTAACCGTCCTTCGCCACGTTTAGGGCTGGAACGCGGCGGACCGTGACAGGAGTCGGGACAAGGCCGAGAAGGCGAAGGACCGGGCCGACGACCTGACGGGGAAGGCCAGAGACCGGGCCGAGGAAATGAAGGACAGCGCCAAGGACTACGCCCGGGACACCAAGGAGACCGCGAAGGAGGCGTCTCGCGCGGCGGCCGAGAAGGCCAAGGAAGGCGCGTACAAGGCGGGCGAGGCGGCGGAAGGCACGAAGGAGCGGGCGAAGGAGTTCGCGTACGAGGCCAAGGAGAAGGCGAAAGAAGGCGCCAACAAGGCGGCGGAGACGGCGGAGGGCACGAAGGAGCGGGTGAAGGAGACCGCGTACGAGGCGAAGGAGAAGGCGAAGGAAGGCGGGGAGCGGGCGAAGGAGACTGCGTACGAGGCGAAGGAGCGAGCGAAGGGGACGGCGGAGAGCGTGGGGGAGAAGGCGAAGGAGACGGTGAAGGGGGTGTGGGAGGCGGCGAAGGACACGACGAACAAGATCAAGGAGACGGTGGTGGGGAAGGGGGATGATGAGGATGATGATGGTGATTTGAAGCGGAGGAGTGAGGATGATAAGAGAGGGTGGAAGACTATGGACGGTGACGTGGTGGACATGAGGAGGCGAGCCGGCGGCGAGGCCAAGAACAATAGGGATTTCTGATGGGCTTGGGGTTTGAATGTTGTGGTTTTGGGTTTGTTAAGGGTTTGGATGGGCTTTTGGGAGGGGATTTGAATAATATGGTGAGTGGTTGGGTAATTAGTGACTGTTTGCCGGCCCACACCCTCCAATAATATAATGTGTAATGGTTTGGGCAACGGAAGATGGAGAAGTCTTGTTATTTGCTTATTTCATGAAATCTTCAATGAAGTGTTTGTATCTTGTTTACTGCGTACGTAGTGCAAGCTTTGTTACTTTGAACAACGATGGAGTTGGATTCGTTTTTGGTAATTGGTCTATTCTCTAGAGACTGTGTTCCAGTCCTTCTGTACTATTTTAAGTGATTTGAATTTGGGACCTCGGGAAAGGCTATGGTGTTTGGACATTTTGGGATGTTCCATGTTTGACACTTTATTTTGTGTTTTGTAGCGTGACATAATCGTTCATTGTGTGTGTTCACATCTTAAATTCGTTGCGAAAACATATGGGATATATTTTTGTATGCGTTCTCTTATAAGTTATAACGTCCTAGTGCAATTGTAACAACCATGAAAACTCGATATCCAACCATGGGTCGACGTACACGTATAGGATAACCTTTGCTAGAGTGAAGAGTTCAGCTTTGGTTTAAACTATAGATTGGGGCGTATTTTGTACACAATTAGCAAGAGAAGCGACAAATTGGTTGATATTTCAGGTTGAGGTAGAGGTACAAATATAATGTCGTAGCAAGAGCCTGAGGAGCAAGTTGTGTAGCTAGGCCCAGCCTATAGCCGGCCCAAATCGACCACTACATGTGATTTGGTCTGGCGGTCCAAAAGCAAAAGACTAGGCCCATCGATCAGCTCCACCGGCTTGACCCTTCAGAAGCAAAATTTAACGCGGCGAAACAGATGTAGTGGCTGGTTAGACATGGGCGATAGTCGAGGTGCGCGGATCATATTAGATAATATTTGTACGTTCTTCAAAGGGTTAATATTTTCGTATGGCCTAAACTTTGACCTAAATAAACATCCTAGCCAATCTTTTCGATCTATAACATCCTGGCCCGAACTATACACCAAAATAAACAATTTGGCCAAACCCGATGTTTGACCGTTAACTTGGACGGTCAAACGCGTTGACTAACGGTCAACGCGTCACGTCACTGCCAAGTCAGAAGATCTGGTAAATATTTAATTTTTTTCATTTTTTATTTTTGGTTTAACTAAGGTATTAGATGATTTTTTTAATTTATAATAATCTAAAATTAGGGAATGTGTGGAAATTGTGAATTATTTTAAATATTTTATGCTGACTTGGCAGTGACATGGTGCGTTGACTAACGATCAACACGTTTGACCGTCCAAGTTAACGGTCAAAAGTCGGGTTTGGCCAAATTGTTTATTTTGGTGTATAGTTCGGGCCAGGATGTTATAGATCGAAAAGATTGGCCAGGATGTTTACTTTGATCAAAGTTCAGGCCAAACGAAAATATTAACCCTTCTTCAAAACAAAGAAATATAACATCTGAAATACTTCCTAAACAACAAAGAAACTGAGAGAACCGATTCAACAATAAAGTCTGGTTATTGTAAAAGATAATAAGCATAATTAAAACGACGACTTAGCACTTCATCGGGCCAACTACTTGTTCCTATAGATAAAGCATTTAAACATGTACGATCGGTGGGTCACATTTTGCATGCTATAGCCAAAACGTCCCGTCGTCTCCCCTCTTAAAAAAGGTTTCAGGAGTCCATTCCTCCTCCACCACCACCCATCATTTTTGTTAGTGCGGCACTGTTCCTAATTGGAAGACCTCAAGGCACAAAATTTAGGGTTTTTATGGATTCGGCAAATGTTTACCATTCAATCCTGTCTCCCTATTGAAGCGATCGAGCTACCCCAGAAATGGATATTGATCCATCTGAGTACTTGGGTCTCAAGTCTCTAATGCCTTTTTATTATTGGAGGTTTGACTAATTAGACTGGCCACAAAGAGGCAGGTGGACCTAAAACGCACAGCATCCACTCGAGGGAAGGTAATGGAGTAGTTAATTGCTTGGAAGTGAAGGGTTGACCAAAACGATCATGGCGATGGCGGGGAGTACATAAAACGACAGAACCAAGAAAAATAAAGAAAAAACCCCATACGATTTCGTCTCGCCATCAATTGATTATTGCCTTGCTCGCCATGATGACGTGGAGTGGGCAGGATCGGACGTGGACGTGGACGTGTCAAAGTACGTTACGTGTCACCATAATAAATTAATAATCAAACATAATTATGACTCGGATTATTGTTCTCTGTACACATCGACCGCACCATGATTGCTTCAATGCTTCTTTTATCGTTTGTGTCGTAATTATGGTCATGATTGTGTGTGAATGATTATTTCATATGTGGTGGTGTGTGTTGGCCGTTGGGTAGTGAATTGCTTAAGTGTGTTTGTAGATTAATTCTCATATATTATCACGATTTTGGCTAGTGCTTATATATAATTTGGATCCTACGTCATACAAGCACAACCATTGAAATCGTACGGTTAGGTTTATTGATAGATTTTTGAATACGATTAAATTAATATCGGGGATCTTATTACTACGCCATACAAGCACAACCAATGAACTCAACGGGTTTATGACATGGTATCAGAGTTTGTTTGTTCTTTAAGGTCACGTGTTCAAGTTTCCACGACTCCCAATATTAACAGTGTTATCGGAACCAACTTATATATGACATCAACCCGGTTTCCTTTTTGTGTTCGTGTTATGATTATGTTGGGAGCAAGGTTGTAGTCTATCTGATAGACGGTCAGGGAAGACGCAAGCAGTATGTCACAGTTGGATATGGAACCAAATGAACCATCCTAATTTCATGACGGGTACAGTACTGATTTACCTTTTTAACCACAAACATATTAAGAAAAATAATACTATAATGTAAATCGTGACCATTTAACTCTATTTGCTAATGTTACTTTTACTTCCTCTTCTTTGTTTCCTAGCATGTTTGCTGGATTTGCGCGAACCGTGACCCACTGCCACCCCTAATTATTAATATCGATTTTTGATAAAATTTTGTGTAAAATTTTTTGCGAGACAGTATTGATGATATGTTAGAAGTTTTAGTGTTTGATGATTTACATGTCTTTTATTCTACAAGGAATGAACGAATAGTAACGGTTAACAACTAAACCGTAAATCACAAAAATTTTCTAGTTCAACATTCGGTCATGTTCTAAAAACAGATCTCCTATCCCATTATTGCACCGCCCATCCCACATAGGTTGGGCTTCAGCCCACAAACATTATCTGCAACTTTTACTCGACCCATGGTGAGAAGTTGATAAGTTTGGGATTTGGAACTTGGGTTCGCTCACAGTCCAAGCCCATTTGATTTCCGAACCTTAATACGTTATTACTACTAAACCCTAAGACTCGATTCTTACACGTTACAAACTTTACAATCGAGAGTAGAAACTAGAAACCCTAATAATTCTGACGTGGCATAAATTCAGTACGTAGGCACATTGTGTGCCATCATGCAATTAGCGGTCGCACTCATTGACGTATATTGGTTCCAGCTTAACGTGGCATTGAATTAGATCCGAATACTGACGTGTCATAATTTGTTGCTTGAGCTGTACGTAATACATATACGTCAATAGAATAACCTAATAATATCGTGAATCTACACGCTAATTAAAGGAGAAATTTTACAATGCTATATAGTATTGGTGCTATAGATTTTTATCTTTATGGTACAACTTGAAGTTGTAACTTTAATGTTATGGTACAACTTCAGATTGTACCTATACTCTTTTGTCAAATTGTTTAATGGTACAACTTAAACTTGTACTTTCATTTGATGGTACAAGTTTAAGTTATAAAGTTGTACCATAACATAAAAACACAAATTCTTTTATGGTACAACCTGAACTTGTACATTTAACGTTATGGTACAACTTTAAGTTGTACATTAAAGCACCAATACTTTATATCATAATAGAAGTGCTCTGATTAAAGGGACGGCAGGTGTCTGCCCTAAATTGCATTAGTGTAAAATTCTTTTTTTGCAAGACGACGACAAGATTTGACAATGCTTGCATAAAGTTTGGTCCTGGATTTCGATAGAAGCCACCATATCAATATGTATATTTGAACAACGAAAAATTGCTCTTTTTTTATGGGATGTGCACATTTTTTGTGTTGTAGTCTAGGTTTTGCTTCGATGATACCTCTTCATTTTGTTAATAGCATAAATTTAGTGAAATAGTCGAATATTTCGTGGTCATACATAATAATTTTTAAAATATATATCATTCTTTGTTTGTAAGCAATGGAGAAATTTATTTTTTGAACACAGAAACATACTCGTTCTCGTTAGTCGTATTGGCGACGATTCAGGTGATCGGTTGACCAATCCCATTTTAACCTATACCAATGGCTCCCAAGACCATTATATCATAATAAGGTCAAATACATAGAAAGCAAAACCTAGACGATTCAAAGCTACACCCAAAATCGAATTATATGATCTCTTCTTTTTCATCAAAATAAGCGTTAGAATATGCATATGGTGTCGTTTACCGTTGACTGGAAAAATTCCCTAAAAAATAACCTTATATAGTATCCCTGTCCATAGTTAACCCAAAAATTTCTTAAACCCAACTACCAATGGGTTATGAGATTCATGAAATCGTACACACAACCACGAATTAAAGTTTTATGCGGGGCTATAGCCTCTCGTATCATCAATGTGGCTCGGTCGTGTGGACTCTAGATGATGATGACGGCATCGACATATTAACAAACCCTAGCTTGCTATATATCTAGTCTAGGGATCATCGTTAGTTCACTAGTCAGTAGTCACCAAGAAGTTAATAATTGGATTCTGATCAAATCCAGTCTCCTAACGGATTTGAATTTCAAGGGCCCTCCTAATTATGAACTACTTAGGCAAAGAAAGTAGCACGCCACTATAGTCCAAATATGCTCTGGACCTACGTTTTTTTAGTGGGAGCACAGAGCCAACAATATTAAGGTACAAAAATTAGACCTGATTTTGTTGTAGCTAAAAAACCACACAATTCGAATTCCATAGAGGAAGTCATCGTTTCGCAACAATCTTAGACATTGGTTAATAAAGTAAGAAAATGTGGGTCTTGGGGGATTCATCTAAACCCTCCAATAAAGAAGCAACACACCTCCCTTAATTGCAATAGTACCAAAATTAAGCATCACATTAACCAAAGTGAATTCATATAAATTGACCACAAAGATGGGAAAGAAGACCAACAAACATACAACTAAATTAACAAATCCACCCCATTCCAACATTACATTGTCAAATGTTATCTCCCTCTTTAATCTCACTATACCACCACAATTATACCCCCCACCCCCCAAAATCCCTTGTTTTTTCCCCCAATAAAAAAACCAAGATTTTGGAAAACATAGAAAAGAAAATCCACCCTGAAATCCTCTTCTCTTGAGGACTCACATATACCCACCCACCCCCCAAAACCCCAAACAAAAGAACCCAAAACCAGAAATCATCATGCATACATATTTACACACATCTAGCTAGCTACCCCAATTATGTTCTTACAATGTAAATAAAGTAGCAAAATTAAAAACTAGGTCTTTTTTTAATTTGTTTCTGACCTTAGTACTGGACATTCTCTTCTCTTCTTCTTCTTAACCCCAACTCGCCGACGAGATTGAAAGAGGATCCGAGGCTCCTTTCTCAGCCCAATATTTATAAAAAAAAGGAACTTCCTCAGCTGCTGATGAATCTCTCAGATCCAATCTCCTTCTCATCGTCCCTTCTGCTCTATCCCCAAAACCTAGATGAAGATCCCACATAACCCCCTTGAATCGTCTGCTCGTATGAATTTGTCAGGTATTCATGAATCCTCGACGAATCTTTCACCGCGTTAAGAAAGAAAATAGTGACCTAAAAAAAAAAATTGAAAAAGGTTTGGGCTAGATCAAGGAAGTCACGGAAGGTCCAATATTCCCCGGATCGTGCCACAGCGCGTTCCAGTAAGCCGACTGAGGATCCGACCCGATCTGCTCCACCACCACCTGCCCGGAATTGTTAAAATTCCACTCCTGCTGCCCGTTCTGCCCGTACTGCTCCGGCTTCACCCCGCTGCTCATTTGCAAGCCGTCGAACCCCGCCGCCGCGGCCTGGAAGTGTTGGTCGACGGAGCTCAGCCTCTTGACGACGTTGTTGTTCGACGACGACGAGGACGAGGAAGAGAACTTGTTGTTGAGGGTGGACGCCAACAGCGTCGCCATCGTCGGAGAAAGAATCGCCGAATTATCGTTATTATTAGAAGCGCCGCCGCCGCCGCCGAAATAGGAACCCGCCGCCGCGGTGTAGTTGAAGGCGCCCCCGCTGGATGCGAAGGAATTATTACTAGCCAGCTGGTCGTACGGATGAGGAGGGTTGCTGCTCTGCTGCTGCTTGCCGTAGAACAGTGGAGGGTTATTCATCTGGTCGATGATTCGAAACTGCTGCTGGCCGTGGCTAGGGTTTTCCGTGGTTGGTGGTGGGTGAGGAAGCTGAGTGATGTTATTGCTGCTATTCGTAATGACGGAGGAGGAGGGGCGGTGCTTGAGGTGGCGCTTGTTCTTGCGGCAGCCGCCGCCGACGGGGACGTTGCGGAGGGTGCCGCCGCGGGTCCAGTAGCGCTTGCAGCCTTTGCAGAAGTGGCGGGGCTGGGAGAGGCTGTAGTTGTTGTAGTAGCAGAACTTGGTGTTGGCCGAGTCGCACCGCGGGCAACGCAGCGCCGCCGCGGCGGCCTGGTTGGGGTTCTGCTGTTGGTGGTGGTGGTGGTCTTGGTTAGTTTCCATGGTGGAGGAGGAGGAGGAGGAGAGATTTGTTGTCATGAAGCTGATGCATAAAAAGGGTGGAGAATGGAGATAAGAAACTCGGAGGAGGAAGAGAGGAAGGAGAAGAAGGGGAGATTCGGTTTCCAAGGGGAAGAGAACAAAGGAAGGAAGAGCGAGTGGGGGGATGTGGACGTGTAAGTTGTATAGTGAAGGTGTTTTTTGGAGGGTAATAATTGAAGTGTGGAGAATGAAAGTGAAAGTTAGGATGAATGGAAGAAGAAAAAAAAAGGAATTGTTGAGAAAATAATAGGAGAAAACTTGTGACCATTCGTTGGTAGTTGATGGAGTCATCTTCATATATATATGATTTTCGGTGTTTGAATAACGATCATATTTCGATTATTTTTTTGTTTGATTTTATCTTTCGTCTGATTGATAGTACGACAAAGATGAAAAAGACGTGATTGATCTGTTACGTTCTATTCTTATTTGATTTTGTCTGATTGTGTACGATATTGTTCGCTTAATATACATGTATTGCGAATTTCGTTAAGTTGTATTTTTCATTCTGGTATTTAATTCATGGAACTGAAAATTTTCTATCTCCCAAATGATCTTACCTTATTGATAATGTCTAACTCATATACCTGAATGAAACCTATCGCAACCAGTGGCGGATCCAGGGCTGGGCCAACCAATGCCCCTGCCCAGCCCTCCTCCAAATACAGAATTAGTTTAGTGCTTATAAAATTTTTCGATTTAGATATTTGACCCAGTGCTATTTAAAATCCTGTCTAGTTTTATTAGATAATAGGATTTTGTGTAACTAGGAAAATGGTTCAGATGAACATATCCAAACCATTACTCTAAATTTATACTAAATTTTCTATAGCCCCAATGATTTTATTTGAAAAAAGACATGAAAACCTAAAAGTGTAAAGTTTCATTAAAATAAAATAAAAACTCTAAACTAAAGCACACCCTTCCTTGCAAAATTCAAAAAATTTCCCAATCCCCCCAAAACAAAACAAGAACGAGGAGACGAGCAGATCCAAAATGGATTTCTCCGCCAGCCCGTCGAGCTGGTTTTCTTTCCATTCTTTTGATTAAGAAAATATTTACAACCTTGTTGAGTTATCATTTAGATCGCCTCAATTGAGTGGGGCACTAGATTCTAACCGTTCTTTCTGGTGTTTTGATGAAGAAAATATTTACAAACTTGCTCAAGAGTTTAGCTTCGAGACTTTGAATGCTATGAGATGCATTCTTTGGAGAATGCACTACTCATGTGAGGAAGATGAAGTTTCTTCTCTTGCAAAATTATTAGAGAAGCTGGAGGAAACAGGGATGGACACACAATACAAATTGATTTGTTGGTTGATTTGTTTAGTGTTGACCTAGTCGTTTCAACAACTACCATGGAGAGAATATTTTCAGCAATGGAACATGAACATTGATTTGTGCAACAAAATGAGCGATGAATTTCTCGTTGATTACTTAGCTATTTTCTTTGAAAAAGAGTATATTATCAGTATGGATGGACATTATATTATATAATTTTCATTGTAATGAAAACTATATTATTATATATTTTTGTTTAAGGTATATCTAATATTCTATTCAAATGCAGCCCGGTGCTCTCTTATGTCCTGGATCCGCCGCTTACCGCAACGCATATTGTAAACCAAGTTGTTTGATCCTACATGCACACTCTTTGTTTTGCTCCGAGCCATTGTATTTCCTACCTTCTTCCTCCTAACAATTAACTCAGATTTTGTTCGGTGGGTGACGAAATTACCTACGTTGATAGCAAAAGTGACTATAGCTTCTTCTCAAACTCTCAAAACCATGCAAACTTGCATGTAAATTTGAGAAATGTAGTATCTGATAAGACTTTAGTCTGTTCGTTGGATTTAGTTCTCTGAGTGTATATATTTAGCCCCCCCTCTATTCAAATTCTCGTTCAAATTTATGGTTCCACTACTAATTTTGTTTGCGGTGTTAGCTAAAGCTAGGGTTTGGAGTGGGGAATATAATGGTTAGAAAGGCGACAAAAGAAGACAGTAGCGGTTGGTTGGATTGGTGGGTGGATGGAATGTAGTGGGCGGGCGGTTTATTAATTAAGTAGAAAGAGAGAGACAAGGGAATGTGGTGATGGAATAAATTTATTAGAGCTAGGGTTATGATAAACAAGGATCAATCGGAGAATTTATGTCAGAAGGATCAATTTTAATTAATACTATTACATTGAGGTCACAATTTCACGTGATTGGGCTCAATTTGCTAGTTTTATTATAGCAAAAAATATTAAGGTCACAATTTCACGTGATTGGGAACAATTTGCTAGTTTTATTATTATAAGAAAAAATAGCATGAACGACATCTTCGGTCAATCCCGGTCAAGGGTTTATATTAGGATGGATCTCTATTTTCAGAATGGGGTGGGATGCTGAATAAAAAAACATGTCACCCGCTAATATGATAGTTTGTGAACTATAATATATTAAATATATAATACACAAGTTTAGTAAGAATTTATATCTACTGATGAATAATTTCGACTCTATATCATCCACCCCCAAAAGTTATAACAAATCATTCGAACTATCACATAAAAGAAATCATACAAAATTATTGAATTCGGATTAGTAATTAGGGTGACAATCGATAGTGGATAATGGAAAGCCGACAAGGAGGCTGGGAAATAAAAAAAGGGAAGTAGAAATAAAATTAGAAATTCAAGTTGGATGGTTTTTATCTTACGGTTAAAATTTATTTCTTTTTTTTTTTGGTAAAAACAGTAAACTTGTGGACCATCCTAACCAAGGTGGTTCACTTGGTTTTCATGTCAAAAAATTAAAAATCCAGTCCATCCTAACCGTCCAAACAAATGAGCCAAATTGCTATAATAACCGGTTTGGCCGTTCTATTGGTTAAGCCGTTGATATGCAGGTTCTTATAGCTAGCTAGGGTTTACTCATTTCGAATTGTGAGCTATGAACTCATAACCTTTAAAACCTAGTCTAACAATTAATGTAATAATTGGGCAGTTGTTTGAAATGCAAATCAATTACAGTTAGGTCAATACGAGTAGTTGTCGAGACAAATTGGTTTCGTCCCATCCCTGGATACCTGGTACATGGCAACAAGGAAAGCGGCTAATTGGCTCCACCTCTGAAGGCGCACCATCTTGGGTACCACGATCTTTCGTTGTTTAAATACCGACAATGGTATCAAATGAATCTTTGAATCCAAAATTCTTCATATTGACCGCCATTAGTTCATCAATCACAAAGTTACATGAACCTGGTGCAAACTTCAAATCATACATACTTTCGCTCACAAATTAGATGTGTGTACAACATCGATATAAGATTCAATCTTGACCTCGCGTGGAATTTCTTCCTAATCTAACAACTTGAGTAATATAATTCATACCATTTGTATAGCATGAACACACATTAGTTCACATCTCGATGTATGTACATATGAACAAGCATGGGATAGGATTGGAAGACATAAAGTTGAGATGGCAGAGATGAATCTTCGAGAGGTTCAAGAAAGTAAAAGAGAGAGACAACCAACGAGTCTTCAAACACTGGACATGAAATTGGGTGGACTGAACAGTGAACGCAGAGAGATTCCCCAGCAGCAGCAGCATCAAGCAACGTGACGAGACACGACCAACATTCCCTTACCTGTTTTGTGTAGAGAGAGAGAGAGAGAGAGAGAGAGAGAGAGAGAGAGAGAGAGAGGGAATCCCTATACACAAAGCAAATCCCACTTTCTGTAGATTAATTAGCATGTGGTGGTAATACTTATAATATTACTCTCTCGATATACTATCATATCTTCTGCAAATTGTTTAGAGAGAGAGAGGGAAATATTGGACGGTGGCGATAGAGTAGTGGTGGTGAAGCTTTAACAGCCCAGCAAAGCCAGCAAAGACTTGGATCAGAGAAAGGAGGGAATGTGAACATTCCAAGAAGAAAACGACAACTCACTAGGCATTGGGGCCTGTCTTTCTGGCCAGGCGGGGGTGGGTTTGAAAATTTCAACATATAAAATCCGGTACTTATGAATACTCGATAAATTTATAGGAGGAATTCAATCGCATTCACAGTACTTTGTGGATGACCACCAAAAGGGTAACGCAGAAATGACCGTAAGGGTTGGATTCCCTTCTTTCAATTATATATTCATATGTTCCATCAAAACGAATTTCAAGAGAAAAATCGATGAGCGAGTTAAATTGATGGGTATAGGGATTGACTCTGTGTGATCTCAGTTTGTTGGAATTTGAATGTAGAGGTAACTTTTATAAATAATGTCATCATATTTAAGCTAATTAACGAGCGTGATCGTTAGATGTGACGATGAAACACTATCAACTCGTCAGTTTTCTCTTCGTTGGAAGTGATACATGGAAAACTACTTGCATATTAAGCTAGCGAATAATCATGTCTCACATATATATGACTTAGCAATTTGTTCTTTGATCGTGGTAGTAGTTTCATGCACTCTTTTTTTTTTTAGTTAATCATCATCATCATGAAAATGAGTCTTACATTTTAGTTCGTATTTTGGATCTCATACTGCTTTTTAACTTGAATAAGCATGGTCATATCTCGTGGTACACATTATTGCAAGTTAAACACAACTAGTGAAGAAATTTTATTTCTTCCTCTTGGAAATAATGATGAATCGTTCGAGAACATTGAATTTAAGAGAAATTATATTTTTCAAACAATTTAATTTCATGATTCTTTTTACATAAATGAAATGTACTTTCATCGCATTCTATTCGAGGCCTTGGTTTGGGCACATATGATGAACAAAGTATTGCTCTGTCTCTATTAGGTTTTTACCGGCCTCGAATTTTCGACAACCGTTTTAATGGTTTACCCCATGAAACTTAGGGTTGGATTCAGGTGATAATCCAATTAGGTTACTTTAAGACAAAATGTATCTCGGATAATTAGATTTCTTTTATGAATATCGATTTTTTTTTTCCGTTTAGTTATCCTAAGGTAAACCGGAGTTAAAAAAAGGCTTTTATTATTCTGATATTAGATTAAAAATGGTTATATTCTTAACCCCCTGTTTTTTTACGGAGGAAAAGGGGGTGAAGGAAAGTGTTTGAAGGGAAATTAAATTCCCAATGTATTTTCCCTTGTTTCTGAAAGAAGGGGGTTAGGGAAAAGAAAGGAAAATTTACTGCACCATCAATCCCTCCAAAAGCAAGAGAAAACTAATACCATCATATTTAATTCAGCCATCTCTCTCCTCTCTCTTCTCTCCCTCTTTTCCCCTTCTCCTTCGTGCGTGCTT